GCCTACAGGTGGAAGCTGGGGTGGAAGCTGGGGTGGTGGTGTTTGGTGCTGTTTGGTTGGTTGTAGAGTGGCAAGGGGCGTTATGTATGAATGCAGCATAAGTGCTCGAGTTGACTGCCTGAACTAGCTTGCAGGCTTCGCCCCATTTGTGATTACTGGTGTGAGTATGACTTTTAAAGAGGCCAACACGGCCTGATGGATGTATTATGCTCCATTAGGAGAGGTGAGTACCTCCAGTGGATGGATGGATGGATTAATGGATGGATTATTGGATGGATGGGTGAGTGAGTGCAGGTTGACAGGTATTGAGCGAGAGTGTTGAGACCACCACAGCCGGCTCAGTCCCTGGTGGGATGGAGGGACGGGTGAATGGGCCTGGTGGCTTAAGCACCACCTGATGCCTCCTCCTCTCTTTTTGTTTAAAGTGAAGAAATGATATCATAGGCAACTAAGGGAAAGGGTGTGTAATGGTAGGAGTGTTTCCTTTTGCTCTTCAATGTCACATTACTCCCTTTGGAAGTCAAATAATTCCCTAAATGCAATCAATTGTCGTTTCAACCTGATATCTTCCATGGAAACACCTCTCACACAGCAGCGATGTGTATCTGCAGCTACAGAATACAAAAGAACAAAGCAACAAGCCTCTGCATGCCACACACAGTCACTGCTTCATGTGGCCACAACATGTTGGAGGTCTTTACTTCGTTATACAAAGAGGTACCTCAAGGGAAAGACTTTGTTTTATCTTTGGCACTGGCTGTGTGTGTTGTTTAATTTAAGTCATAAAATATCGATGACGATCTTTTTGATGATTGCACATGACTTATTATACAAGCACTTGTATTTTGCTGACTTAAATGAAATTCTGAGATTTTTAGCAATTCAGTTTTTCCTATCGCTGAATGATTCAAAATGTGTCACCTCTCAATCAGCAATAATCAATCTGCAAGTCAGTGGTTTCACAATCAATATGAATCTGAGACGTTGGTGTGACCTTTACTGCCACTCACATCCTGCCTTACACGCTGAGCAATCCATTTCTTCGTCACATGATGGTGAATGTGTGTTGATGTTGATTTAAACGATGATAGAGGGCTTTGTCTGGGTAAATATGCAGAATTGTATAATATAGCTAATAATTACTGGTGAATATTGCATTTATAAATAACTTACCACTGACACAGCAGATGTAAGGAATTTGCCTGGATTACATTTTAATATTTACATAATCAGAAAATAAAAGGCCGATAAATGTATCTGCCAAGTTTCAAAATGTTCACCCTGAACATGCCTGCAAAATGTTTAGTGACATTAAATATGCTTTCCTAATCATAAACAATATCCACTACTAACAACAACTGAAGGTATTGGTTAACTTCATGGAAAGATCATGTTCTTGGTTGAATAAAAAAAAACATGACATGACATGTTGACTTTAAAACCATTTACTAAAACCACAATCGTCCCCTAACCTTAACCAAAGTGTGTGTTTGTTGTCTATACATGCCAGAATACAGCAGCCCTCTGCTTTATACACAAACAAACAAACACATTAGTGGCATGTAGACGTAATTATCTACCACTCATCATCATTCTATTTGGGTATGAAAAAACAGTTCAATACACTCGTATTTAGCCAAACGCTTACTATTAAAAGCACTTTTGATTCCTCTTTCACCATAAAGGCATTGCTTTCTTTCACAATCGAACTGGATCACAGGGTGAGTATCACAATTGATCATTTTGTGGGTGAAGTATTCCTTCAACTCAGTCATTTCTAGGAATTAAACATCCTCTTAGTTCAGTTTCAAATCTTCTTACTTCTGCATCATGAAGATTTCGGCATCCATGCAGTCATGTTGAAAACAGGGACTTCCCTTTCCCTTGTCTTTGCTACACTGACTGTTGGACAGGTGTTTTGTCTTTGAGATATTTAGAACAAAGCAGAGGTAAATCCCCTCACAGGATTGAGACCTGTTTAACTCACCATGAGGAGTCATTTGAGCCTGAAACCTCAACAACAGCTTAATGGAGAGAAAGGAACTAGTAATAATGAATCTCATATTCGAGCCCGTGAAGTTGTTTCTGTACGGATTATTTAGTTTGAGGCATGTAACTTCGAAGACAAAAAGTACATTGACTGCTCTCAAAACAAAACTGTTGAGAACAAACAGTACAATTCTGACAGTCTCCCAAATGTCTGTGCTTCTCATCAACACTCTCTGTGGGGGTGTTTTTATTCACCTGCTGCTAACTGCGTCAGAAACATCTACAGTAGAAAGGTTGTTGATGCACGGGTGTGCCTCCAGCCCTTCGTTCTTGTTTACCATCAGCCGCACTCGTCCGGCATGTTCCTGGAACAGAAAATGCACCAGAGGGCTGGAGATGGACATGTGTCCACTCCTCCACAGGGTCAGCAGAGGAGACCTCCACACTGACAGGCTGCAGCTGGGACTCCCGGCCTTGCTGCGTAGCATCATTGTGATTTAATCATCGGGAGAAAGAGAGGGATTGTTCCTCAGGATGTGTGTGTCTGGCCCACGCAGTGTGACTGTCAAAGCCAATCTCAATGCTGGATTATTCTTCTTGTTGTTTCCTTATTTAACACATTTAAAGTTCATTGACACAAATGCATCTGTGAGTGGACACAACTGCCTTTTTGTGTGAGTGTGTTGCTTCTCCATAGGATGTGTTTGTAGGCTCTATTGGTACCATATGTCCTCCTCGGCCTCCGCTGTTGAGTCTATTTTCGGGGAAATGACCTCACAAACAGAAGCATTGCTAATCTGATATCTGGTTCCCTTTTTTCTTCAAATGCGTGATCAATGAAGTGTCACTTTCAAACATCTGGAGGGCTTGTGAAGGCCTGAGTCACCACAGGGTGGGTCGGGCCTATGGCTGTGTACATATTGAATGTACCATACATGAGTCTTACAACACAACGCCTACAGAAGTTGTGAAACAATTTTCTATCGGCCATCCGAGGTGATTCACTCTCCTCATCTCTCTGATGAAATGGAAATGAATCACAAACACTCCCTTGTCAGGTGACTTCCTTTTCTGAATCAGGGGTCATATCTGAGGGTTCTTGGACACACATACACACACATTCACCCAACCCTTACAGATGGCTACAATCAACCTCTTGTGCATTTACCGTCAATGAAGCATCACTGCCACACTTTTATACATCAGTCATGCATAATGGCATTCTTAACACGTTAGTACGACTGAATCAATCTTCATGGATTTCAGTCCAATACTGACTCAAATAGCTGAATCAGCTATTGTTACAATAAGCTAATCTGATATCAAACACCATTAATTCAATAGATTTACATCTTTGTTTGAGTTTTTTTGCATTATATTCTTACAAAGTTAGAAAACCAATGTTTAAATCAATCCTGACATAAAATAAACATCCTATTTACTTCCACACAAGGAGGCGAAAATACTAGTATCAGATCAGTACTCTTTATTGGCCAATACCATGAGCGATTTATTTTTTTTTAAATAAGATTGGTCAATACAGAAGACTTTAAAAGGCCAAATAGAAATTGTATTACCGGGCTATTCTTCATATTTCAAAAACGCTGCATCTAATATGGAATAAGTATTTCTTTACTCTAAAGGTTGCCCATCTGATATAGTTTGTGTTATAGTCAGTCAATCCAAGTTATTCTTTACCTTTTTTAAATTATGTATAAATTCAGGCTTTCGTGGGAAACCATTGGGTCACTTTTTTGTCTGATTCTGACCATTACGGAACGGCTGACCTGTGAGAAGAGGACACTGCCCATTTTCTGTAAATGTTCTACAAGTGCTTATTATGCTAAGAATGTTAAATGTGCTGACATTTTAAAAAACTTTGTGTAGGCAATGTTCTCTTTTGTCCTAAAAGGCTTTTTGGGGAGCCCTGCTCGCCCAACCTACACTGCCTCACAGTTATTGATTCAGCCTCTAGCTTATTGATCAACCCAACGGGGGGTCTAAGGCACAGCTGTGTCTTTACGGACCACCATGCCAGTCTCCTAATGACCGGTTAAGCACTCATTTGCAGAAAAAGACCAAAACAAGTCATACACAATTAAAGCAATAATGGTGCACATTGCTGTTTGTTTATAATGTCTTTAATTTGGCATCAGATATAAGAGCTGCATTCTTTCAGCAGACTGGATTTCTAAATTCATGAATGCTAAATAAATAAAAAAGCCTTGAAGTTCACTGACTTAATGTGATAAATACATTTCACAAAAAAGAAAAAAAAAAAACTCCCTAATGATTTGTGGTTGGAAAGTAGTAAATGTTACGAAATAGAGGTTGGTGATGTAAACAGATTCAAGACACATGGATCAGGCAGAAAGAAAACATCCGCAACATTTCGTACTTTCAGAGGACCTCTGAAAGGTGTTTTAGGACCGTTCAGAGGTCCTAAAACACCTGCCAAAACCTCACCTCCTGAGGCTGGTTTGTACGTTCCTAGAAGCTGGGAGGCCTTTCCAGAGCCTATCCCATAATTTCTTGGCAGCCTTAGGTGAAAATATGCAACCCGTGACCACTAGATGGGGAACAGGAGGTCAGCAGTGCCCACGCTGAGTCTACCACAGAGGGACTACTTGTAGATTTGACCCTGCTGGATAAAGCCACTGATAGTGAAGGGGGAACCGCTGCTGTTGGTGAAAGTGACAGTGGAAAGAAAACGGAAGAAGAGTGGAGAAAGATGAGTGTGAACCTTTTTACTAGACTAGAGGTTCCAGTGTGACGAGAGAGAGAGAGAGAGAGAGAGAGAGAAGAGAGAGAGAGAGAGAGAGAGAGAGGAGAGAGAGAGAGAGAGAGAGAGAGAGAGAAAGAGAGAGAGAGATGAGAGAAAAGAGAGACAGAGAGAAGAGACACGCTTTGAGGAGGAGGCACTGAAGCAGGGGACAAGGCCTGAGGTGGGGGGAAGGGGGGTGTCGGGGGGGAGTGGTTAGCCTCTATTACTGCCTGTATATAGAGAAGACAGGGGTCTGACGGAGCAGATCCAAGAGAGGTGAGAAACGGGCACAAGAGAGACTGACTTTTTACCTCTCTTCCAGTGGATGACTTCCTGAGCAACACTTTTTTATTTTATCGGATTACAAAACCAGGATTTCTCCCTCCACTAAAGGTAACAACACTTATCTTTCTTCCCATTCCACAGACTTCAGACAGGTGCAGGCTCAGTGCTTAGTTTATGCTGATCTCATGCTACTTTAAATAGCTTTTGATTTATGGAAACTTAAGCTCTTTTGATTTACATTTTTCTGAGATTAGAGCTAATCCCTGCCTGCTTTATTTAAAGAAAGGCACACAATTTAAGTAAGTCTTTATTGTGGCGACATGTTTACCTTCTGGGTGTATGATGTAGGACACAATATTGAAGTTATTAATAGGTTTAGAATATGAGCGGGAGACTTGCAAGGTATTTTTTCTTCCCATGAGGTTATTGAGTCCACTGTGTGTGGCGGATCCTGTTGTGTAATTCACAATCAAACTGATAACACAGATTGCAGTTATCCTCACACTCACCTGTTGTGGTGCCGGCTTCTTTAGACACCTGCACGCTGTTATAAATGCTCTCTGTTCTCCTTGACCTGGTGGCTGTTTTAAAAATAGAGCTGCAAAGATAATGGTCAAGGACTGTGTGACACTGGAGCTGAAAGGGCTTTTTATGCAGATATCCTAAAACAAAAAGCATGACTTATCTGTTGGGTGGTGCACTTTGTGTAGTATCAAAGTTCAGCTGTGTGAAGGAAAGTGAAACAGTGGGGTCATCATGAGATACAAAGTTACAAAGTGTAAGCAGGGATCATTAAAGGTTTACTTCTCACTGACCTCTCACAGCCATACAGGTTTTTAGTTGTTCATGATTTAAATGTGTCTCCTAATATTTCTGCCTCCACCCCAAATAAATGGGGAGGTGGACACATTTTGAATTGAGCTCACAGCATTGAAAAGTACATTCAAATTATTCAAACTTGTTAAAAGCTGTCATAAAGACAATTCCCCCCCCCCAACACATTTTCAAAGGTTAGTTCTTATATTATTTTTAGCAATTAGGCATATTCAAGACCTACCTGGACACTGGGAAGAGATGCTGTAGAAGATTGAACACAACCCTGTCAGCTTCTTTGAATTTGATAAGAAACGGGGGAAATAAAAACATTGCAAGATACCACAAGAGGTGAGGGAGATAATTTTTTCGGGGAAATGTTGGGTTAACTGATCCTTTTTAATTAATGTATCTGAAAATTATCATAGTTTCCGCTCAGTGTTTCTCAAGTTACTGTGAGGTTTAGGTTGTGAACATGGTCCTGAGGCTGAGACTGTGACAGGGCAGTTCTAATTTTACTGTGTAGTGTGTGTGTGTCTGTACATTAGGCATGTACAGTATGTCTGTGTGTGTATGTGTGTGTGTGTGTGTGTGTGTCACCCTTGTTGAGGGTTCATCTGTCCCGTGGCTGCAGTGTGGCATCAGTAGCTCGGCTACAGCTGTCTGCAGCACTGATGGACCATATGGCAGGTTCTGTAGGTTTCATTAGACTGAAAGGAGCTGAGATTATCAACTCAACTCAAATGTGTCTTCAGCTGAGAACTGTACAATTATATTTGCTTATAAATGAATTAAGGCACATTTTAGTTGCTCTACATTAAGAACTAGGTTGCTCTCTTATTGGAAGTTATTGATTAAGGTATTGTTAGCAGCCATCATTAGGAGCACTTGTGTTTGACAGTTTGACCTAAAGGCCTCAGCAGCAGCTCGTTCAGCAGACTGGTGGGTGTTTTATTGCACTGCTGCTCAGAGTCCGCCACAACAAAACACTTGTGTAAAGGAGGGGACCTGCCCATCCCATGCTGCCATATGCCCATTTGTGAGTGTGTGAGTGAGGTGTCTGTGTGTGTGACTAAAGGCCCAGTCATGCAGAAAACAGGACAGCAAATATATTTTCCAGAGCTCTGCTTTATGTGGAGAGTGTCCATTGTGCTGTGAGATCTGATTGGGTAATTAATGATGCTATTTATGTAAGCAGCGGGCCAACCCCTCGCCTTTGTCCTGCACCTCACCGACTCACACGCTCAGTAACCTGAGACCAATACACACACACATCCACACAAACAATCATACACATGGATGATTGTTTGACCTTTGTCTGGCCTGAGAGTGAGAGTTGTGGATTACTCGTGTACACACACGTACACACACGTACACACACACCCGGTCATTGAAGGTGTTGCACGTATGTGTACCAATACTTGAAAATAAATAGTGTGGCAGTTAAATTCAGTGGAATACCTGTATTACAGACACGGTGGCCAAAGGGAAATGTACCTATTTGCATCAAAGTAAAATCAAAAATCACGATCAGGTGACACAAATAGTGAAAGCACTTTTCATTTCTTAAATCACTCAATGTTTAGATTGTCTGAGTCACCAGCTAGGGCACAAGTGTGAGTCTATTAGCTTTTGTGACTTAATAAACAGACATGTACTGTATGTTTATAGTTTCCCTCTGCCTGCCTTGTTGCTGTGCCAGCATGACATTTGGATACATTTTATTATCCTTCATGTCCATTAAAACGTGTGGGCTGTTTCTGTTCACTCAGACAATTTCCTTGAGTGTGACGGATTAGCTTTGACAACAGGACATTACTTTATTTCCGGTACTAAGATAGCATGCTAATATCATACAGCAACAACCCCCTCCCTAATTGTAACTGCACTGACAAGTCCCTCTTAGATAAAGTACAAATAATAATAATTACAGGATTATAGTGCAGCTGGATTAACATGTAACAATGCTGCACTTGTGAAGTACTGACAGTTCAAGTAGGACTTTATCCCAGCACTAGGAGAGGAAATAAAGAAAATGAGGGAACCACATGAAGATCTGACAGTCCAAGAAGGTTGCTAAAGAACCTTTCACCTGCAGACCTGAAGTAATCCTATTGTATATCATTCAATGAGTTTAAATACCTCATCACATGCCTGTTTTCATATTTAGCTGCTGTTTGTCTTGGAAGCTTGAAGGGAACATGAGTATAAATAAGCAGATGATCTCCTGGAATCATGTGGGTTTGCTGCCAGCTTTGTTTAAATGTATCTTCTGTGTGTGTGTTTGTGTTCAAACCGAGTGCATGTGCATCAGTGTGTATGTGAATTACGCAGCGGGAGGTTGACAGTGTGTTGGCAGCAGTCATACTCCAATTATGCTGCTCACAGTGTGAACTCTCCACCTCTCTTCCTGTGGATTGTGAAGCATTTGGAGTGTCTCTTGTTAGGAAAAGCGGGCCAACGTTCACGCACATTTTTCTTTTATAGTATTACCTTTACCAAAACATCTTTATATCCTATTTCCTGTCTGCTCTTTCTCCCAGATTCATCATGAAGCTCTTCCTGTTGTCGGTGGCGGCGCTGCTCCTGGTGGTGGCAGAGAGCTCTGCAGAAAGAATCCTGTCCAGAAGAACCAAGAGGGATCTGGCCAACCCGCTGCATGTTGGGGGCATCAGGGACCCTCATGGCTCCTACTGCGAGAGGAGGGGGGGCTGCTGCCCCGGCAGAGACGACATCTGCACCGTTCCCTACCTGGACACCATCTGCTACTGCGACCTGTTCTGCAACCGCACCATCTCCGACTGCTGCCCCGACTTCTGGGGACATTGTCTGGGCATTCAGCCGCCTTTCATAGGTGAGTAAGGGTGCACAAGCCAGTGTGTAAATGTTTGTATCAGTGAGTTTGCAGATGTGTGTGGGCCTGTCGTAGATAGTTAGGTTCACAGAGAGCAACACAGAAACCCACTGACAGACTCAGCAGCATGAAACCTAAAAATGAAATACAATTACATACCTGCTTTTTTCAAATCACAAGAAAGAAACATGGTTCAAGTAATAATTTCGATTTAAGTAAAAGTCTGTTAAGTCATTATCTTTTAACAAATAGGTTACACAATGGTGATTGAGCCTATGACCCGCTGATGAAAGCTTTTGTATTTGCAGTTTTACAGACGGTTTGTCTCTGGGCGACACTGTATCGATTATAAACTTCAATAACTGCTTATCACCATTTGTTCGATTGTAACTTTAAATTAAGAAATGTACAAACATGATTGGACAGGCCATATTTGTTAGGCCTGTATAACTTGTTTTTTCAAATAAATACATATTAGAACTTGATGCTGAAATAAAATGTAAGTAAACAGATACATTCCTAAAAAAACATTTCCCTGCTCTCAAAAAAAAAAGTAAGATTATCGTCCTTTCAGCAAAGATTAAAATAACAATCCCCTCTCCCCTTCCTGCTCCTCTGTCCTCTTCTGGTCTTATTTTTTAACAGTCCCTTAGTAGAAAGGTTAAGATTTTAGCTAATTTAGTATTCTCTTTTCTTACTACTGTTGGATTCCCTACATAGTTTTACTAGCCTCCTCTTAGTGCAGAGGTGTAAAATGTGCTAGCGACAGCAGAGGTCTACCTGAGAACAGAGCAGGGAACAGTGGGCTTCTTATTAAGCCAGACAGAGGGGGGGTGGATGGAGGGATGAATGGAGGTCAGGAGAAAGAATGTGGGCTATGTGGCGGGAAGGAGGGACAGCGAGCGGGCGCAGGTATGTGTTCCCCGGACGACAAAGTAGCGGGATCATGATCTGGGACACAAAAATGAATGCATGTTTAAGACACACACACACACACACACACACACACACACACACACACACACACACACACACACACACACACACACACACACACACACACACACACACACACACACACACACACACACACACACACACACACACACACACACACACACACACACACACACTTCAAAAGGAAGGGGGTGATAGATTCTATTTTAAAGTGTGTCTCTCTTTTTTATCACAAGTTGATGTAATCCATGACTCAACATTCAACGCTATATTTAGCTCGATTTTTCTCATATTGTTGTAAAAGTTAGTGTCTAAGTATAATATTTGCTTACAGAAAAAAACGTCTCCATCACATCATAAAAAAAGAGTCACGCTAACTTATTACATGAAACCACATACTTTCAGTCCAACAGAATCCCCCTGATATAAAATCCTTCAATGCCAATGAGTAACTTGTCACACCGCTCTGCAGTAACTCAGTGCTGAGACAGCTGTGAGGGGGAAGATGGGTAACAGAGGGCCTCACTCATAAATCACACAATCAGCTCTGGGCCTCACACAAGAGGAAAGGAAACCTGCGCACATTGTAAATCTTCAGCCAGCTCATGCCTTAAATTCCACATAAAACTCACACTGACAGCATCTTCCACTGCTTTAGGAAAAACCTCCCTGTGAATCTGTCAACAAGTCAATATAGTTTTCACAACTTATAAGTAAGCAGGGTTTAAGTGTAATGGGTCAAAATAAATCAAAAGCACTGCTTATATTGTGTCATTGCAGAATTATAGCTGACAAATGTACAAATGTGTTGGTGTTTAATTATTGATGTACTAGACACTGGAGGTGGTGAGGTGGAGAATAATCAGTTTAAAGCGTGACGAGGGCCCAGGAAGCCTGGGAAGGCAGCAGAAAAGCTAACGCCACATTCCTACACTGGATTACTGGAGCTCAGAGCTGCTTAGTCTGCAAATATTCTGTATGTACACTCACATAGGAACACACACAGGGAGTTATGATAACACTTTTTATTGTGCTTGCAAGTGAAGGCATCATATTGTATTATATTAGGTGTGCCTGTACCTCTGTCTCCCAGTTGTGTATTATCATAAATATTAAACTGTGACTCTTTGTCTCCTCTCAGGCACCTGCGAAAGAAATGGAAACACATTCTTTTCAGGGCAAACATACAGAGAGAACTGCAATTTATGGTATGTAAACTCCTTTTTTCTCACTCTTTTAACCTATTAAATGCCCCATTTCGTAGCTTGGAAACTTCCTCTATGTTCACTTCATCTATATTCTCTGCACTACTTGTCACAAGACTTCATATCAACCACTAAATGAAAGATATATTCAAGCCCAATATGCCATGTTTTTATGGATGTGCTATAACAACAAAATGTAGATCTCTTGGGCATCACATTTCTCCACATTTCATACTGACGTTGAGTACTTGATATTCCTAAAACCTCTGGGATCTGGGGTAAAAAGTTGGGTGGGTTTACAAAATATGTTTGCACGCAGCATGTGTTTCTAATAATAAAGCCACTGGTGGGCGTAACATTCAGCTTTTCTATCTATATTTTTAGTGGAAGTCTTATGACAGGATCTTCATATCACACACACGTTGTCCCTTTCTACCTCCGTTTCCTCTACTGTCCCTCCTTGTTTATAACGGGATCATTCTTTATAAGTTGTTTTGACAGCAGGAAAAAGCACAGGTGTAAATTATACATTACTGATGGGTGGTTTACATTAACCGTAGCTGGTGCTAGTATTGTGCGCTCTACTCTGGCAGACTGTCACTGGAACGGACACTTGACAAGGACATAGCCATCATTTTTGTTATTTGTTACACCAGCTAGTGCTTTTCCTGCCTTGACAAGTTACAATGACTGTTTTGATATGGCCTAGTGCAGTATGAGAGTTATGAGATAGACAATAAAGAAATTCACACTTAAAGTTAAGGAAACAAGTGACTTTAGGTAGGTTTTAGATGCTACCAAGAACAATATGTATTACATCAGTTGAGTAGGTTCTATTTCCGGTTTGCTTTGTTTGTTGGTTTAGTTGTTAGTTTGTTTATTTTCATCAGCCAAGAAAAGCCGATGCAAATATGAATGTGGATACACAAATTATTTTTCACTTAAGTTGACATTGCAAACATAGGGTATGGCCTTGGGGGAGGAGTTAGTCTTGTTTTCAAATGTACTAGATTATTTATTAAAGGGCTAATGCTGATAAACCCTATTTGTTATTATTTATCCTAAAGCATTCACTGTTATGATCTTAAAAAAATGAAAAACAGCTCAGCAGTCTGTGTCTGTAACAGTATGTATAACTGAGAATACATAATAAAAAACAGGAAACTGGAAAATAAAGATACAAATGTGTTCCCTATGCTGGAAAATAAAACAAAGCCCGTGTATTCTTGTTTTCTTTCTTTGTTTAGATCTCCTTGACAAGGTTGCATATTGTTTCCAGTTCAGCTTTTAATGTTATGACCCTCAAATGATAAGAGTTTCTAAAAACAGTAGTTGAGATTAGCTCTCAGTGACGGCAAAGTGTCTTTTTTATCTCCTTGGCCTTCTGCACGCTGAGGGCAACATGAGTCTGTTGTCATTTTTCTGCGAGATATCGGCGGCAGTCAAGGAGAGGGAAAGCAGATCTTGAGAGAGGAAGGAGACAGATGAGGTCAAGTTAGTGAAGACAGGAGGAAGGGAAGTTAAATTCCTCACCTGTCCTCCACTGTGGTTTCTCACGGCTGTGTTATTTGATGTTCCTCAGAAACCCTGTGTACGTGCGTGAGCATGTACACAAATGTTGACCATTTGTACATCCTTATTATATTTATCCTAACGCAACAAGAACACGCTGTGGCTGTGTGTCACGACAAGTCTTACCCAAACTAGGCTGACCTCGCTGATCTGCACATCCTCTGCTTAAAACCTCGCAGCTGTTCGACTTCAGAAGCTGCGCTGCATCAATCTAAAAGGCCTGAAATATAACTTTTATCATGGCAGCTCAATTAGGTTCGACCTGAAGGGTCTGATGGTTGCGTAGATATGTGAAAAAGGCAGTTAATTGATGAATGGTGTGACAAGCTTTTCTTCTTGAGGAAAGACTTGGGGAGGTTGGTCTAAAAATAACCTCCAGTGTCCCAGTTGACTGGAAAAAAGCGTTTATGTGCTAACTCCCCCTTTCACCGTTAACAAAAGAGTCTTACACAAACGCTCTCACATGTGTTTGTAAAGGCAACACACATTGATGCTTGAAAAATTGCACCACCGCTTTGGTGCAGAGGGACACACACACTCCCTTTTCCTGCTCCCACTCTCTCCATTTATTAATTTCCCAAATGTGCGTCCTCCCGGCTCGGTCAGGGCTGCGGGGTGGAGGACAGACAGGGCTTCCTCTCTGAGTCAAAAGGCCGCTCTCCCTCTTTCCCTTCCAACGTCTCTCATTAGAAGAGGTCAAACTCTCACATGTTGTTATCTAACCTCCTACATGTCTTGACAAACCACTGGCTTAAGCAAACTAGAAAGCCACATATCAAAGATATAGTCCATACAAATCTGCTCTTTGACAATCAGTAGCACAATATGTTATAACTTTTAGTTTCAAATACTTCCTTGGCAGATTCAGTGCAAGACAGCACAGAGAGACAAGCTGACTGAGCATGAAGTATTAAAGCAATGAAGATGCACTGTGATGCATGGCACTGTGTTAATGGGATCCCAAGCTGAGACTTTTTCTTCCATGAGCCGTTGGCATCCTGAAGACTCTTTATCTGTCCCAAGTGATCTGAAACGCGGCGCTTCCTGCTCACACACAACCCAGGACGAGCAACTATCTCCTGATTTGGCAGCAGCTCTACGGTCTGAGTGCACTTTGGTTTGGACAACTGCCAATGCCAGCTTGTTTTGAAGTGGTTGCATAGTTCCTCAGATGAGGTAGACGCATCATATCTAAATGTACACAAACATGGCTCTGATTCCCCTGATCTGACAGGATTTGGCGAGGCAATGTACCGATTCAGGAAACCTTATTGTCTATGAAATATTGTTTAAAAAAGTGTCTTGGATGCTCACAAACATCATCATAAAATATACACACATGAAATGACTTAGACATAGAAATGTATTAAAACACAACATCATTTATTAAATAAATAAGAGTAGGTGTGTAAAACTGCTTTATAAGTAATACCATTATATTTGGCCTCGTTTAAAATGGATATTGCAGTTGGAACTTAAGAGTTTTGGTTAGTCCTCAGAGGTGGTCTTGGGCTGTTCCCCGATGGGAGTAGCTGGAGGACTGTGTAAAGCAGGGGTGTCAAACTCAAGGCCCGGGAGCCAAATCCGGCCCGCAACTTCATGTAATGTGGCCCGCAAGAGCATGCAAAGAATATAATACGTTTATTATACGGTTACATGCCACTTTACAGAGGCACGTTGCCCATAAACTACATGTCCCACAATGCATCTTGTTTTGTGACATGCGCACTGAAGAGACTTGCAATTATTTGCCCTAGACTTCTGCTTTCAGACGTAGTTAATTATGAAGTTATTACCCTATCCGATAATAATCCAATGCACAGGAAATTATGTATTATAATACATTATTATATATTATATATTTATATAGTCTTAAAGTCACAACCGGCCCTTTAAGTGCAACCATAATGCTGATGTGGCCCGGGATGAAATTGAGTTTGACACCCCTGGTGTAAAGGGTGTGTGAAGGGTCCTGAATGGAGTAGTTTGCCTTTATTTTAACTGCAGGACTGTAAATGTAAGTGATGCCGGAGTTGGTTGCGTTCTTGATACGTTTATTCTTTCGTTTCTGAGCCTCAAACAAACAAAAACAAACTCCAATCTGTGTACATGCATGATCTCAAGGGTGATTGGTGGTCTCTTTCTCTAAAAGACAGAGAATGTGAAAAATGGCCTCCCACTGTCCTCCGAGACATCATATTTCTTTTCTCAGGCACAGTCTGTCCCCCTGTCTCCATGAGTCTGTCATTACGCCTGTCCCAGTGTGTGCATCCTGTGCTATTACTGTGTGAATTTATTGTTGTATTTTACACACTGGCGCTGAGCTGCATGTACAGTGTGTATTCCTGATGAAGGGAGGGAGAGGTTAAATGTCACTGTCTCTCTCCTCTAATCAAAGCTATCAAAAGTGCCCGCTCTAAACTGTGTAAAAGTGTGTGTGTGAGTGATGAAAATGGTTTTGTTGATCAGATCTCAGAGACCCAGCAGGGAGGAGTCCAGTTTGAGAGGTGATACACACCGTGTGCGTGTGCGTGTGCGTGTGTGTGTGTGTGTGTGTGTGTGTGTGTGTGTGTGTGTGTGTGTGTGTGTGTGTGTGTGTGTGTGTGTGTGTGTGTGTCCTCCCGGGCAGGTTCCCCTCTCTGTAAACATGCTGTCTAATGTACAGTAGACTGTATGGTTGGAAGTCTATACAGGCCTGTGTGGGAAACATCCCTCATTCTTTCTCTCTCGCTAGCGAACTCATTTATTATGATATCCCCCGAACGCCGGCTGACCTTGCAGCTGTTATTTATGGTGACTTAGAAACTTTATTTAAGCAGGTACAGCGAGGGCCCTGAGAACGAAAATATTTACAGTCAGACTACCAAAAAAACATCTTTAAAATCTGCAAAAGGGGGTTAACCAATCTGTGGGATTAATTTAAATGAAACATAATACATGGATCTAGTCCCGACATTTAATAACGTTTCTATACATTAAAAGACCAACGTTGAGATACAGAGAGTAGAAATACTGATAAAGGGCGTTGTGATAGATTCATTTTATAATAATCGGACATTTTGGGAAGCATGCTTATTTGCTTCCTTGCTCAGAGTCAGATGAGAAGATTGATACCGCAGTGCTCTCAAATGAATATGTATAGGCAGCCATCAGCCAGTTAGCTTAGCATCAAGACTTAAACTAAATCCTGATTATTAAACACACAAGTTATGGTTACTTATAGCTAACAAAGAGATTAACTTATTTGTTATCTTTGAAGGTGCTTTCCTTTCCTTTCCAGTTTGTATAATAAGATAAGCTAACTAGCTGTTGGTGGTTTTCATATTTGCTGTACAGGCAGAAAGTTGTCACACTACTCTTGTAAAAAAGAAAGGAACATCATTACAGAAGGTCTCCAGATGTAGTTTATGACAAAGTAACATACTTTGGAGGAGAATGTAAAGTTTTAAAAGGACAGGACAGTTTTATTGTTTTGATTTAGTAAAGGATGAAATATACAGGATGAATGTCCTGTCAGAATGGAAAATCCATGATTACGGTTTTAAACAATGAATCAGACTGTTTAAATGGTTTAGCAAGAGCCAATCATTAACTTTGAAGTATGAGCGGAAGGTGAACTGAAGGCATCGTGACTCATCTGTGGCAGTAAGGCAAGCCGTATGTCTGGATCATTTTTGTCAAGCACAATTTTGAACTACATGTACTTAACTGAAGTGTTTCCATTTATGCTCCTCTGCATTTGAGAGAGAAATGTCAAACTGTTTACTACGCTTCAATTATTTCACCTGTTCATATTTTTGTTTGAAACATACAAGCTTATGATGCATTGTTATAGATGTATTACTATATCCCAATTATGTGTCCTTCTGAAAGGGTCAAACAGGACTTTCACTTTTAGAAGTCCGTAAATGGGTTTTTGTATTTGGTACTTTGACTTAAAGTGAAGGATTTTGATACTTTCCCAAAGCACACACACACACTTAAACACATACACAGTCCTCAAAAAGTACATAGTGCAAGTTATTTTTGAGCATCCCTAAAGAAAACATCCTCGTCATCATTAATATCCTGTTCCCTTATCCCTCCTGTCATCTTCTTCCTGGCTCCTTCTGTCCTTTCTTTGGATTTTGTGTCCCGCGGCCTTAAAAGGCTGAATGTTTCCTTTGACCTCTCCCTCTGTTTTCTCACTCCCTCATTCCTTCTATTTCCATTTAATGTGACTGACGTCCTTTTCATAATAATTGTCTTATTTAGGAATTCCTCTGAGCCCCTGCATATTTGTGTATGTCCCAGAAAGTCTTTCTATTTTAGCTGTGACTTCACTGGATTTAGCATAAATAAATAAATACAACTATTATAATGCAATTACAGTGGCTAATGCCTTTTAATGGACTCATGTCTTTGCCCTTCTGTCTCTCCTCTGTAGTACATGTGGGACCACGGGACGCTGGGAGTGTGACCAGAACGCCTGTCTGATGGACCAGGACATCATCTATTCTGTTAACAGAGGGAACTATGGGTAAATAAAACAAACACAGCCTCACATAAACACACACATACTCATATTAGGGTGGGTGTTCTAACCCTAACCTTATTATGTTTATTACAAACACATCCTCATTATTTGTTGTGCTTTCAGCTGGAAGGCAGGTAACTACAGTCAGCTCTACGGCATGACTCTGGACGAGGGTATCCGGTTCCGCCTGGGCACGCAGAGACCCTCCAGGACTATTATGAACATGAACGAAATCCAGGTACAGGACAGTCTTCTTCCTTGATACAAAGAAAATAAATACAGAAATAGAAACATGTGGGTGGTCAACTTCGTGAAGGCACAGGAATACAATTAAGTTTTGATATGCATATTCTCTGCTCAAGTGCCCTTCAGCAAGTCATGGAAACCTTTCCATCGTCAGTGTTTTGGAGATGACTTTTGACCTCTGACCTGGTGGCATGAGTGACTTTCCACGGAAGATGATCAAGTTACTTGTTGCTACTGGGTGTAACCTCTGTAACAGGGGGTTCCCCTTTAAATTCCTCTTATAAAATACCTGCAACTACATCACATATGTGTTGTTGCATATTTTCAGTGTTGGTCAAAAGGAGGAGAGCAGGAAGTTGTTGCGACATGTGAGAATGCAGAGAATTAGGGAATTGTTACAGTTTTTCCACTTATCACTTCTTCAAAAGCACCTGCATACTTCCTGTTGGTGATATGATGATATTATGATTTTGTGGTATGCACTTTTACAACACTTTACAACAAGGGGCCACTGATCAAAACGTTTCTCGCCTAATTACGGTGGTTTGTTGGTAAGTGATGGCGTCTCTGGCTGGAACCTCAGGCCTCTCTATTCCTCTCAGTCTTTGTTTACATTTCAGCCAGACAGATTACATAAGACGGAACCAAAACATCACACAGAGAAGAAGACGGGGGAGATGGTGGCTGCCTTGAGAATAAAGCCAATCTTCTCTTTAGTCTACACCTCCATCCACCCCCTTCATCCATCCATCCTCACTCCCCCCCCGTCTAGTTCTCCCAACATTCCCTGACACTTCCACCCTAAAAACACCCCCCCCCCCCCCCCTCCTTCCGCCATCAGCGTGTCCCTACCTGTGCAAGGAACCAGATCAGAGCCCATTCATAAATCTCTGTCGCTGTCTCCTCTCATGTCTGTCTGTAGGCTCAGGTGTAACGAATAGTGAATTCATTAAGACATAGTTTTGCAGTCTTTTCCTCTCTTTCATCATGCCTTTCGGTCAGGTGTCTGTTATTTTGGACTTTAACCTTCCACAACTACAAATCTCCGACCAGAAGCACATTCCTTAGTTATGTATCAGGTGCCCATTTGTGCTTTGAATACCTCCCTAGTAATCAGAGGAATGCTGCGCAGCCAGACAGAGAGAAGGCGGGACAGTTATACAGTAGTGTGTGTGTCTGTTATCACACATAACTCTGAGATTAAGAGAGGATCCAACCACGAGTGGAGACTAATAGATCGAGTATGTTTGGCATCTGGGATGCACCTTCGAGTAAATATGCGTTATCAGGAAAATACTTGCACTCCATCACTGACTTATCATCCTAATTAGGAGTTATCTCACAGTGGTATTGGTATTTTAAGATAGATGCCAAGAGTTCAGCTGGTACAAATGACTCATTGGATGAAACTATGCGGCCTCATGGTTTCATGGGGAGGACGGGGATCAGAGGTTCCTGTTTCATCTACAGCGTCAGAGATTGACACTGGGCCAAATGGTCCTAATCGCTTGTGAATAAATCCCTTCTACTGGAGGGTTGATTAGCAGGTTTACGTAATCTGCCTGTAATCTAAACTTGTTATACAAAGAGTCCACAAGTATTTCAATTGCAGTTGTTTTATTGTGGGCAAATAATAGCAACACAGTCCCACTGCTGCTGCTCTGATCTGAGTTTTAAACTGCTGTTTCTTGTATTTTACTCTAAATCCTGTTTTACATAATAGGCTGAATAATGGTTTACTCTAAATAGTAATGTTTCCTCAATCAATCAGTTCTGTGAGAGTGCAACCGTAATTAAGCTTTATTTACTTGACTCTGTTTTTCTTCCTGTCAGATGAACATGGATCCTCAGGCCGAGCGTCTTCCAAGCTACTTCAACTCAACAGAGAAGTGGCCCGGAAAGATTCACGAACCGCTGGACCAGGGCAACTGTGCTGCATCCTGGGCTTTCTCCACTGCAGGTAGAATAGATTACATGAAGGAAAAATGCAATGTTTATAAGATACAGGAAAGACAAAAAAAAAGAAGAAAAAGGGGACATAGGTTAAAAAAGAATTCCCCCAAATACTAAGGTCTTGTTCCAAACACTGTCATTTTACATACCATAAACATACTTACAGGACGATACAACCATTATTCTTACAATCATCCGTTTCAGTTTTTAAATAGTTTGTCAGTTTTTTGCATGACATGTTTTAATATTGTCCATCCTCTTCACTAGCTGTGGCATCAGACAGAATCTCTATCCAGTCCATGGGTCACATGACTCCTCAACTGTCACCACAAAATCTCATTTCCTGTGACACGCGCAACCAGGGAGGCTGTGCGGGGGGGCGCATCGACGGAGCCTGGTGGTACCTCCGGCGTAGAGGGTAAAGGTTTTATATAAATAGGAAACAAAAAAGGAAAGCAACATACAATCTGTTGGGTGATATCTGATGAAATAGTTGGCTCAATCTTTCCATCCCTCCTCTTCTCTCTCAGAGTGGTGACTGAGGACTGTTATCCATACCAATCCCCACTGGAAGCCCCCGCGGAGGTGGGCCGCTGCATGATGCAGAGTCGCTCAGTGGGCCGGGGGAAGAGGCAGGCCACCCAGCGCTGCCCCAACACACACAACTACCACAACAACATCTACCAGTCCACACCGCCCTACAGGCTCTCATCCAATGTAAGCAGTGCACAAACACTAAACAGTACATATGTGATGCATACAGTCACACTGACTCCCCTCACACGCTCATGTTAAACCTCCAGAGAAACACAACATGTTTTGAATCTCCAGTGAACATGCAGCTGTACATTTTTGGGATGTCCTCTTGCTACACTGGGCTGTTTCACAAGTGTTTATTACTGTATGTGTTTCTGCACATTTTCTCATGCATTCCTGAGTGCGTTGAGAATGAACATGGGAATGAACATGATCAAATGCTCAACAGCACTCTTCACTGAATCAGTGAAGGGCAAGGAGTTTCATTTTTATGAAATATAATACAACATTTATTCAATTCTAAATGTAGTTACATCAGCTTAAATTATACTGGATTTACTGGCCGGTGAGTGGATAAAAACAATTTACAGAATGCACTTTAGATATCCTTATTAATAATCATTATCTGTATTGCTGGAATTAGATTTCTGTGTTAACCTTCTTATATCAGGTTACTTGGTTCTTTCTGCAGACCAGAGGGCATATTGAGGTCGAAGAAGCAAAACAGAAACGGAGAAACAAAAGTGCTGCATATACATTTAAATGATATCTCCTAAAGCTTGAGACTTAAATACCTACATAACTATGAGCTCTAAATTGTTAATGTTGAAGGAAAAGTGTACAAAGTGTTTTGATCATGGGATCATACCTTTTCAGTTTGAGACCCCAAAAGACAACATTTGGTATCTCCACAGGACCTACACTTACACAAAGAAAGCATGAATACAAACAGCCCAGCACACATTATCTTAGATGAACAGACAAGTGTAATGAGGAAGAAAGCGATTCTTTAGGAAAATGAATCACAAAATCACATTTGAAAGCACTGTCATGCATTATACTCTGCCGATTAGTAACCCAATAAAAACGGGTCACGACCCATCTTGGGATCGCGACCCTCACTTCAGGAAAGACTGTTCTAAATCAGATCTTCTAGTAGTCCGCTTCATGGAGAAAGCACCTCTGCCCTCCTCCTTTAGCACAAAGTATCATGTGACACCCTCTAAACTGTTTCCAGAAGCCGTCTCTGCATGCAGCTTCGTGCATCTTGTTTGAAATTCAAAGTTGACCACTGAGCTGCAGCCGACCTGTGGTTTTATCGGCCAGCATCCATCTCCGCTAAATGGCGGCTAATGCCTCTCAAAACCTTAAGTGCCTGTTGTTTTTGTCTCACGATGGCCTGTGAAGTCAATAAGCCGGGCATTAAGGCCTGGGGCCCTGCTGGACTCAATCTTGTTATCTGACTTTTAACATCCAGGGGGTTTGTTTTCCTCCTCTCCATTTCACTGACATGTAATGATCTCTCTCTCTCTCTCTCTCTCCCTCTCTCTCTCTCTCTCTCTCTCTCTCTCTCTCTCTCTCTCTCTCTCTCTCTCTCTCTCTCTCTCTCTCTCTCTCTCTGCCTACAACATTTTCTTCTATCGTCTCTCTTAGGAAAAGGAGATCATGAAGGAGATTATGGATAATGGCCCCGTGCAAGGTAAGGCACACTTGAAACCAATATTTTAGCGTGAACATTTGCTGTGTGTTACATTTTAAAGTTAAAAACAACACAACACTCTCAAGAGACTCACAAATAAAAACACGTGCACCATGAAGCCTCGTGTTCGGTATCTGACTTGGGTGACGTCAGGGTTGACCTTGTCATCCTGATGGTTTTGTCCCAGGTTTCCACTTTGACCCCCAGTCACCTGGTCACAGATGATAGGCCTTCATGTCAGTGTGGTTAAAATTACCTTCATTTACTAGCCCGCCTCAATGTCTGGGGCCTCTGTGTGTGTGTGTGTGTGTGTGTGTGTGTGTGTGTGTGTGTGTGTGTGTGTGTGTGTGTGTGTGTGTGTGTGTGTGTGTGTGTGTGTGTGTGTGTGTGTGTGTGTGTGTGTGTGTGTGTGTGTGTGTGTGTGTGTGGGTGTGTGTGTGTGTGTGTGTGTGTGGGTGGGTGGGTGTGTGTGTGTGTGTGTGTGGAGGTCTACACACTGTTTTCAGACAGAGAACACTGGATTTGGGGCAGGTAACCCTCGATAAAGGGAATTTTTTTAGCATCCCGAGAATATTTTTCCAGTGAGCTGGAATAAGAAAAAATTACTCACGACTTCAAACACACACACACACACACACACACACACACACACACACACACACACACACACACACACACACACACATATTCAGGGGTGAAATTGGAATTTGTTTGTTTAAATTACATCATTACTTTTAGATTATGTGTTGTTTGAATAATATATATACACAATATTATGTGTGTGCTTGTGTGTGTTATATCCTTCTGTTAATTCACCATGCTTGTTTGTTCTTGCAGCTATTATGGAGGTCCACGAGGATTTCTTTGTCTATAAGAGTGGGATCTACAAACACACTGACGTCAGCTTCACCAAACCTCCACAATACCGCAAACACGGCACACACTCGATCAGAATCACCGGGTAAGTTGCCAGCATACAGTAGCAGTTCAAACAGTTTTAAGTGTTGTTGCCACTGTTCTGTGAACCAACAGTCTATTAGTCATGGCATAACTGTAAGTGGACATTTGCTCCGTGCACAAACACGATAAGACTCAATATAAACTTCTTTGAGGTTGTGCTTGTATTTTGTGCCTTTTGATGATAAAAGGTTTTGTTCAGTGGGAGTTATTGAAAGGAAAACCATGTACAATGTTCCACAAGTAGTGAATGGGGTCCGGACAAAAACATCAGCTTTCCTTCCTCTCGATCCAAGTCTGCTGGTTTCCTTGTTGCTACATGCTCCACAGATGCTGTTTCAGCAGAAAAAGTGTTTATTAAGGATGAATCGGGTTTTAATCTACGCAAATCTAATCTTCACCTGCACGTGTTGCACACTGCCGAGAATTTACGTGACAATAAGCTTCCCTCCCCGTCTGTTGCTCTTGGAGACACACCTTGGCTCCACTCCTCTGTCTGGCCCAGACGAGCGCCTCCTCCTCCCCCCTTTCTCCTCTATCTAGAAACTACGGCAACCACAAATATGCAGACGGGCAGACGGCTGACACACCTGGATTACCTGCCCCCACCCATCCGCCTCTTGTTATTCCCCCTCGCTTTCCTGCCCCGTCTCTTTGGTGTCTCCCTCATCACTCCTCAGCTGGCCATCACACTCACTCTTCCTCCTCCTTCTCTCCTCTCCTCGCCCAAGCCAAAACACTCTTATTATCATGTATCTGCACACGGACAGGTAGTGGTTTGCTGCTGTTTTGGTGTGTTGTTCGGAGGGCAGTGGGAGGTGTTTGACCTGTAAAAAGTCAGACACATCGTTCAAACATGTTAAATATTTGACAGGGCTTTTCTCTGCGCGTCCAGCAGGTGTTAAAGTGTGTCTGTCATCATGACAATGATAGGTTGCCGCTCACTATTCTCACTTTCCAAATTAGGAAAATTAGCATTTACCTCGTAATGGTTGTCTAACGGCTGCGGAGGAATGTATTGAATGTTTGGAAGCATTTGACTTTACTGTAGAACCTCAGCATCTGAGCTTTTTCATCAACATCATTTTCTCCAGGAATGACTTCACAGCGCTATGATAAAAGCAGTCTCTCTACTCTTATCTGATTGGCCTTTGGTGAAGACCCGTTTACAAGCAGCTTGTGATGTCCCTTTTGATGTGCGTGTATATTTGATCACATTTCCTTTCATGCTGCATATGGCCTGTATAGGCATGTGTATGATAAAACCCTCAGCCTCCAACCTGTACTTAACTTGTTTTTAAGTGTCTTCTTGAAAGCTATAGATGCACATGTATGTAAGACTTCGCTCTGTGGACAGTAATTACATCTATCAGCCTGTTTGTCATAAACTCTGGAGGTATGCAGGGTGTTAGATGATGCTGAAAATGACTCCTGCTCTTTGGTCCTTTGGTCCTCACCACTGACTGGGCGACTGGATGTGGATGTACCCGCGACATGGGTTTAGGGACGGATGGAGCGAAACGAAGAGTGAGGGGTCATGGTGGTTTGGGCTCCAACCTGCCAGCCACAGGCATCAGTGTGTTTACATAGGCCAAATCCCATAGCGATGCGTTCTTTTAAGCCCAGGGCCTGGGAAAGTTTGTGGAAAAAGCATTGAGGTCCACTGTGGTGGAAAGGGCATTGTCTGGGCCGCTGATCCTGACTGCAGCGGACAGAGAGCGGGGGATCAATCCTCGGAGAAGGGGTCAGGGGTGGGCCGAGGGGCGTTGGGGAAGGGCGGGGCATGTGGGCACAGCGGTATGCCCATCATTGTCCCGGAGTTAGCAAGTGAGCCGATTGGAGGCCAGATAAGAGATCAGCAGTGGTCCGACTCTGTCTGCCTCTGTCCATGCCAACAAATATGCAGCAAGGCAGGCATGCATGTGGGATCACACACACATATACAGGTGTGAATGCTCCCTTTCTCACACACACCGATCCCATCCTTTCTCCCGTCGGTTTTCTGATTGTATTGGGCATCTGTTGTTTACCCAGCTGTCTTTTAATGTGTCTGCTCCTGCTCTGTGTGACGTCTGACATGGGCTAATAAAGATGGTCGCTGATAGAGGGTTGGCACTATCTGCCAGTGTTGTGATGGGGGGCTTCTGAGTTTGGCAGAGTCTGATCAGAGCCACTCTTATTTCCCAGCATTCCTCTCCCTTCTAAAAAATAACAAGCGATTGGGCACTGGCAGTCTCTTGGGAAACAAAAGGCCTGGAGTGCAAAAACAGGATGGGAATTGGCTTTGAGAGACTGTTTTGATCATGACGAGCAGAAGCGGCGGGCGTCTAAAGGTTGGCAGTGGCAAGGCTAAGACCAAAGTGCAGGGCGTGATGGGAATGTATGGGCATTGGTCAAGGTGCCTGAGAACAAAGCTGCTGGAGAGGATGGAGGCAACTAGGCGGTGTCCAGATATAAATACTCTGTTTTCAGGATGTTGTTAACAAGATGAAAGAGTTTTTCCCCCACTTGAACACTACCTATGTCTTTTCCTGCCTTTCTTTATCAATAATGCCAAGCCTGTTCTAGGGAGACACATTCCTTTGAAGTGTTTACTTTGACAAGTTTTCCATAATTCAAAAATAGCTTCCCAACTCTGATACCGCTGTTTTGACATGTTCTGATATTTTGTTTTCCTGTTGTTTGACTCCAATGCATGTTGAGTAACGTTCTTCTCTGCTTCCTGAACCAGGTGGGGAGAGGAGAGAAACTATGATGAGTCATCAAAAAAATACTGGGTAAGTAATTTCAGTGTGTAAAACAAACCGAAAACCCTTTGCTCAAACATTGTGCTTTTTCTAATGAATAAAAAAATACATTTAATGAAGGTGTTGTCTTTTCTGCTTTTTGCCTTATGTTCATGATTATAACCAGATACTGTACATGCATTCTCAAATCAAAATCTGCATCATCTGTACTAAGTTTCATATAATTTCCTCTTCAGATTGCTGCCAACTCCTGGGGAAAGAACTGGGGAGAGAACGGCTTCTTCCGTATCGCCCGTGGGGACAATGAGTGTGAGATTGAAACGTTTGTGATCGGTGTGTGGGGAAGGATCACGATGGAAGACATGCACAAACATCATCACCAACATCGTCGCCGACACATTTAGAGACACAGCAGATGCTAAAACCCCACAGAGAACTTTGTTTTGAATCCAACATATAGATGTGTTTTACCCCAGACGAGAACCAGACTAAAAGTCTCAGAACTTCAGCACATCCCGTACCTGTCACAATGGCTGGGACAGACACAAAATTAACCCCAGAGCCCCTGAAACCCTCTCTTTTTATACCTTACATCACTCTGGGGGTCAATACACCCCCTTGTCTCCTCCATATTTACCCTATAAAGAGACTACCCCTCCCCTCTCCCTGTAACTCAAGGTTTTTGGCACAAAAAGTAACAAAGATAAACTCAACTAAGCTCTTAAAAATAGCCTTACAACCTCAGGTACCAATGATCCAAAGACCACACTTCCCAGAATCCTTAGTGTAACATCAAACCATGCTTATGTCAAAGTTTGGCGATGACAGGAGAAGAAGCTCAATCTTATTCTTCTTTGTCCTTCTTTGTCAACATAACCCTTTAGTCTTTTCTTAATCTAGGATCTAGTCAGACTCAATTTCAGAAGGACGGTTTGGAAAAGAAGAAATCTGAGAGCCAGATTATCAGACTTCAGAGAGACACACCCAGCAAAGTGTGTAACATGATAATGTCATATAAGGTCATATATGACCTTACTGACATTAACCTGTCAGCTATACAGACGCTCCACGTTCTCACACATTCCAGTGAAAACGTAAAATCTAAAACTGAAAACAGAAGATTTGATGTGGAGTATACTATTACAAAAACTCTGATTTTGTATTTTCTGAAGATACAGAGCCACAGACTATTACCTGCCATCAACATGAGTCCCAACACCACCAGTGAATCAGGCTTAATCGTCACCCTTCTTCTACATGTTTATACAGTGTTCATGCACAAAGTAAAATGTGTATAATTTTGCTGCAGGTGAAATAAATATTTTGTAGATAAAAGAGTCACAATTAACAATCAAATGTAAAAAGAAAAAAAAGCCATGCTGCCATTCTTGACTCCCAAATCTCATTAAAAAGATGAAATTGATGCGTAAAGAGGGTAGAAAGATTTTATTGCCTTAAAAACAGAGTTGTTTTGACCACTGCAAAGAAAGAAAGTTTGTGTATAGTAGTCTTAAATTGCTCCATTCTGTGTACACTGTTACAATTTGAGCAAACAAGTTATTTTTTTGTAGCTGTTATATTGTGAAGTTTTATTTTACTACGTGTTTTTCCGATGTACTGTATGTAGTAACTTTCATAGAACACACTCATCACTCACTCTGTTGCTTTTCTGCTACTGCATAATGAGGAGGAGGATGGGGGGGGGGGATACTGCTGCTGCTGAGGGCCACTCTGCTAAAAGTCGCTGCAGAATCTGTAGTTTTAAATGTAATAAAACCCCTTTTTAATAAGGGCAGAAACACCTTAAGACATTACGTTTGCAAATGAGCTGTTTGGCTTAATGTCATCCTTTTTATTAAGAAAGCATAACATGTTCAAACGTATCAGATGTGTGCCTCAGCCCTTTATGGTCTTTTTCAGATGTTCAGATCTTTTTGGAGCAAAGCCTCGCTTGGGAAAAATAAATCATGGTGTATTATTACCCATTACCTTAGATAACATCCCGGTGCACTTCAGCTGTAACTTCAAAAGCCTTTTTCATTTCTATATCATCTTGTGATCTTAAAGGTCCCTTTATCTCTCTCCTTCAGGCGTGATGAGCAGATAGGCATAAAAGCAAAGAGAAATGTCTGGATGGACAGGCAATGTGCAATGTGGTGGAGAGATAAGCAGCTTAGGCAAGTTTCTCATGCAGCGTCCTGGATCTTTGTTTTCATTCGTAAGTAAGTGAAGACACGGGAAGATGGCAAGCAGCCTATTAACACGCAATAAACCACAGATTTATAATAAATGACAACAAGGATGTATTCGAATCCGAGACATGATTTTGTCAGTGTCCATTTATTTAGCTTATAGTATGTTAGATTAACGGCCTTTACGGTTCATGTTACCTTGGAACGCTATATATGACACTTGATTATGTAGAAGAGGGGTTAAAAGAAAACAACCTCTGATATATAAGTATACTCTCAAGTAAATGTTCATGAACAATACGTGCCACATTCATTTAGATTATTTGTATTTCAGATGGGACCAATACTTTATCTTTATTACAAAAGGTGATCTGCAAAACCCAAATATATATTCCATAGCGACTTAACTAACATTCAGCAGCCGTTTTCCCCAACATCACAACCTCTCCTCCAAAACAAACAAACCGGGAGCTGCAGCAGACATCCACTCAGAAGTTGTGTATTTTATATAAAATGAACCACTCCATATTCAGTGATGTGTAGACTTTATTTATGACCAGATGTGTAAATTATATACTTTTATTCCTCGTTTGCCTGTGCAATGTTTTATTATCTTCCTGTCTCTTGTATTGTGTGCACTAAATGCAATACCACATTAGTGTTCACCTGTGCGGCACAATAAAGTCTTTCCCAAACGTAGTCTCATGGTGTCACGCCTATTGTCTCATATTTAAACAGGGGGATATGATCGGGGGGGAAACGCAGTATAAAGCTCACATGTATGTAGGTTAAATGGTTAAGAAGGAGTGATTTTTAGGAACATTAGGGATCAGGGAGTCACAATGGGAGGGACTGGGTGTGGGGGGGTCGGGGGAAAGCTCCATGGGACGAGGCCGGGTGGGATGAGGACAGTTTTTATAAGATCCTGCTGTGTCAGCATACTCTTCCGTCACTGAGGGCAATTACTCTGACCGTCAGTCAGTGGGAGACCAGGCCAAAGAGTTAGCATAATCCTTCATAAATATTACAGATAAAACAATTTTTTTAAATGTGGGGAATATATGCTTTGAATCATGTCATATTTTACCAACTAGAAGCCAAAGATCTAGAATCATAGAGAGCCTTCATGTTCACATATTCATGTGTAATGGTGAGATTTGGGGAAAGTGGAAAGAGTCCCTTTTTCTTTTATACAAACTTTCAAGATTTAAAAAGTATCATGTTTTCAATGAAATTACGTGGCAGGACCAAAAAGAAAACAGAAAGATAAATAAAATAATAGATATCAAGATAAACTTTTTTGTTTGTTTTTCCTCAGTATTTTCTAGCAAAAAGAAACAATTGTCAGTGATTTATGATCTTAGAAAATGGATATTGATTGTGAAAGTTGGTTTTAGACTCATTAACTTTTTATTCTGTGGATTGTAAATGTGTACACCAATCTAGATATGGCTTCCATTCATTTATGTTGTCAGCTTTGCTTGGTGTGAATGACTTAACAATAACACTGCTCAAACACACAGACATGCCCACTGCGGTGTCTCTTTCCTGCGTGCTTGTGTTTTGTTCAATAAGAAATTATTTATGTTTGCCTTTTAGCTAATTGTGTTACCACCCTATTTCTTTAATTACACAATCCACCTTTGAGTTTGTTTTGCTGTTCTTAGCATTTTTTAGCATGTTTGAGTCTCTGTATACCCCATAAACAGCTGGGGCAACATCTGCCTCGGAGACTAATTGCAGGTCTGTAAAATGAACCACATGTAGTCAATGTCATCCCACACAGAAGTTCAAGAGACACTTTGGCTAATAGAGGGGTGAGCAGACGCCTCGGAGGGTGACCTTCACCTTGCATTCCTGCATTTAAACCTCAACTATGAACTTTTGAATGACATTTATATACATTGGTCAAGTTAAACTTAACTTAAACTGAAAGCACATATTTGGTCTGGCCAGTTTCTGTTAGTATTATGTGAAATAAATGTCTGTTGTTGCAATTGTATATTCAATTTCAGTCTTAAAAATATATTCTAGAGATCTAGCCGTGTCCCTCTCAAATGCAACCACTACAAAGTATAGCTTTAAACTGTAAAGCAGAATAAGGAATTTTTAATGGCAATACTTAAAAAAAAGAATCTCATATTTTCCCCTTTTACACTATTGTGATGCAAATTGTGTATTTTGTTTTGCTTGAGGTCAAACATACAGAAAGTTAAAGTGTCTATGAGCAACCTGCTTACCTTGTTATGATAAAAAAAGATCATACAAATGTTAGGGCCTAAAATACTTTCCAATGCTTTTGAAGATAATTTTGCAATGTGATTTGATTTGATGAAGGCTTTGACCTGAAAAAAACTAATACTATAATAGAAAATGCACTTATATAAACTACATGAGTGTTAAATAAAGACATTATTTTAAGTAACTTTAGATTAATGAAATATCAGCACCATTCTTGTTTCCTCAATTTCTACGAATCTGGTGCTATAAAACCTCATATTATAGCCTCGCAAAAAGCCATTAAGACCTGGCCTGAGTGGAAGCTTGACAGCGGGGTTATGAAAGAATCCGCAGAGAAGCTCACAATATTACAGAGCTTATCTCTCCGCAGCAGCCACAGAGACCAAGTATGGAAACTTGGATCAAGGGATCTGTCCTGTGACTGTTTACATTTCTCTCATTGTTTCTACGTCACCAAGTAGCCGAAGCATTCATTACCCCGGCAGCTACTGCTCCTCTCCTCCCAGCTGATGGTGAAGTATGGACGAGTACCAAGAAAAAGGAGGAAGCCGTTATTAAAGACGGGGGCAGGGGAACAATCAGAGGCTGGAGACCCCACCCTGGCCCCCCCCCCAGTACAGGAAGGGGATCCTCTCCTCAGGTTGTGCTGTATGTACTCACATGCAGGCACAAACAACACTTTTCCATGAGCTGACTGTACTTTAGTGTACCCTGGGGAGAAAAACAAACATGTTGTGGAAGATCATGCTGGCTGCCACAAGCAAAGTTACCATTGAGGAAAAACGAATTAGAACAGACATAGTTTGGGGGAATCCTTGTTCGAAATAAGGAAACAGGAAGCAAATCAAATACCTTCAGGGGGAATCCTGAGACAGACAAATTGACTGTATAGCTTTGATGTATTGTTCTCTGCTGTGTAGACTAATATTTCCACATAGTATACTTCCCCACATATTAAGCACTCCCCAAGGGGAAACATTCCTTTAGTTGTCTGAATTTGCTCCAGTATAAAGAGAAGATTATGATTGTAGATACAGGATCAATGTTTCTCAACAGTCTGCACTTGTATCTGATATTTAATCCTGATTCAACCTGTAATGCAAGGCCCAATTCCCTCATCAAATCAAAATGCTCTGCTACTTTAAGTGGAGTGGTTCAGTGCTGCCATCTTCTGGCGGCCTTTCAGTTCATCAACAAAAATCGCACCAATATTTGAGGACCAGCTTTATTGAATTTGCCAAATTACAGAAAGATTTAAGAAAAAGGAAAGTTAAATAATACCATTGTTCATTTACAATCATTTGACACATGATTATGTTATGTTCCTCATGACTACTTCTAAAAAACAAATCCATATTACAAGAATATAACTTTAGAAAACATATCAAGCAGACCGTGAAAGGCCTCCAGCATCAGACGTCATCTCTTCAGTAGATCAGTCAACACTGTGCGGTGTCTGTCCTCGACTCAAAGTGGCATTGTCCTCTTTTAAACAAACTGTCTGTCGCCCTCTATCGAGGGCCGTTCCCTCTCCTGCACTCACACATCCTGTAGGCACATATGTAGAAAATACCTGCAACGGACAAGAGCAATGTGTTAAGTGATTTAGAGTATTTATGATCAAAACCTCACATTCAGTAGGTCTAATGAATTAATATGGTTCTGAATACATTTGAGTCAATGTAGGTCAGTTTTTGTGTGATTACACTGATGATTTTTCTGCTTGAAATCTCATTAGAACTATGTACAAATATATTTTAAGATTTGACTCATACTATGTCAATCAGACTAAATATAGTGTCAAAATACATTACAAAAAGGTCATTTTCTTCAATATTGGCCTTCATTTCTGGACAAAGCCTTGTCCTTTCTCACCTGCAAAGAAGTTCATGAGCATGGCCACCCAGCCCAGGATGTAGGACCAGGAGAAGCGCCAGTCCCCAAAGCGTCTCCCGAGGAAGTTGACTGTCACTCCAGTGTAAATGGCCATACCGAGCAGAACAAAGAAAGCTATGGGGAGAGGGATGTACATGTCAGTAAGGATTGATGTTTCATTTATGGTTTGCGTGTTGATTTAGAAGAAACCAGACTCACTGGAGACGAAAAACATGATTCCTGCAGCAAAGGAGCGGTTGAACCTTTCAAAAGAGGAGAAGTGAGCAAAAGACATGATGCCAGCTATGATGCCGGCAAAGCACGACATCCCTGAAAGGATCATGAAGGCCCGGGTGGCATTCCAGTAAGCTGGAAAGAAACAGGTAGAAATCAGCAGAGCATCATTATAAATAGCTTTACAAACAAGTCAATACCTTTAAAGGAGACATGCTTTTATTTAGGTTCATACATTCGATTTGGTCATCTACTAGAAAGTGTTTACATGCTTTAATGTGAAAAGAAAGAAAGAAAGATTATTATCGACATATTGTCTGTCTGGAAAGAACTGTATTTACCCTCTGTCTGTAACGTTGCATTTATGCAGAGTTCGAAGAAGTACTCAGACCCTTTACTTAGGTCAAAGTTAAATACGATGGTCTTAAAATACCCCATTACAAGTAAAAGTCATGAATTGATCATGCTACTTAAGTATAAGTACAGAAGCATTATCAGCATAATCTACTTCAAGTATCTAAAGTTAAGGTACTCAATATGCACAATGGCTCTTTTCACAGTATTTTTTTTATCATAGAATAGTATTTTATCCCGTTCGGATCAATAACAACTACATAGTCATATTATTTTTTACATTTATGTTTGTCAAAAATGAGCTAATTTAAGATACTTTTTGAAATACTGGGTAGATTATCGGTACAGTATCTGCTTTACGTCATATAAGGATATCATGCTTTTATATGTTCAAATTAGCTGAGTGGAGTAGAATTATATGTAGTATAAAATGGAAATACTTTAGTAAAGCAAAACAAGGTCAAAATAATCATTGCAATACTTAAATCAATTTAATTAGTTACATTTCATCAATGACATTTAGCACCTGTCTCTTTCAAACCCCCTTCAGAAAAGTCTCAGTCTCTTCCTTAATTACTGACATGCATTTTCACTTCCTCTGAATAGAACTACAATTATTGAGTTTTTTTCTTCTTTTCTTTTCACTTTAATGTTCACTTAATTACCTCCATGTATTGTTCTGTGAAAGGAACTTTAAATTCTTCCCATTATGATTTTAGTTTTTAGCTCAGGCACGCTCTAACCACTTCATCATTGGACAACTTAATAAAGCTATTCAACCGTTCAGCTTGAATTATTCTGAGAAATAATCTTGTTCTTTTCATACTCAACAAACTCAAACGCACATAATGAAGCTGTATATGGAAATCAGATGTGTGTTTCTTACACAACAAAATAAACATGTATAAGCATATAACAAGCCTAATCTGGTGCATACAGGAACTTAAATAAAAAGGATTAGCAAGGCGTTTAGGCTCAGAGATCACTGTCCAGACACGCAGCGGTATGACAAAACCTGCGTGGAAACAGAGCAACCCAACACCAATTCCTGATAGTCATCTTATCAGGGTTTGGCGCCCTGAGCGTCCTTACCTATGCTGTCAGTCTGCATGTAGCACTTGTTGGAGATGCAGTACCTCCACAGGCCCTGATGGGCATAGTTTCCAGAGAGACGGTACTGCATCCAGTAGTCCGTTGCAGTGGAGACCACCAAGAGGATATTACCAACTATGGCACAGAAAAGGCCCCCTCCCATAAAGCTGTACATCTTGAGCTGAGATAACGGGCCCGCTGCAGAGCAACTGTAACATAGGAAGGAAAATTATGGAAGTTAAGGATATTGTATAAAATCATGTACTGCGCACAAATGTTCACCCACATAATTTCAATGTTTCAAATCTTTAAGATATTTAAGAGATTTTGCACTGAAGACAAGGATCATTTTTTTGTCAATATGCAATAAAGGGGTTGCTCAACACAAGACCTGCAACCCCAAAGGCTGATTATACAATGCTCAAAAAGCACACTATGAACTAAAAATATGTTCCTGACATCATGGTAAAAAAATGCATTGGCACTCAGCATCTTCATACAAATTCTCCAAAAACTAAACAAATTATCCAATAAAAAAAAGGGATGTGAAATCAAATTGAACTTGATCATGCCTTTGAAGCTCTGTCTGAATAGCACACTTGATGCCAGCCAATCATACATCCATACCCAGATTAGGACAACCACAGAAATATGAAGCATATATCCAAATTGAAAATATGACTTCATAAATGAAAAATCCACAAGCACACTTATAGTTGCCCGAAAATACCTTATAACATATTGTACCAAACTTTTACTCAACCATATTTACCTCTGCTTTAGTGGAACCATCACTACTAGTTGAACTGATTAGAGGAATAGCTTTGATGTTGCAGTTTGTTGTTCCCCTTCCCAATCCTCACTGCTTGTTCGGCTGTAATGAGGTTTTATCTGATTCTGCCAGCCTCTGTCCAATCAAAATGTATTGCTGGGATGCACACACAAAAAGCACCCTGATATTTGATCCCTTACCTTGTTTCTGGAAATACACCCTCTCACTGCCCACCAGGTAAAGATAGAAGCGGGTGGAGGGGAAAAGAGAGAGAGATGCTGCTCACTTTGGGGAAAAGAGGGGGAGTCACAGACAACACTACAACCAACAAGTTGTCCCCTGGTTTTTCTGTCGATTAAAGCAAAATCCTTTGCAGCAATCACCCTCGCTGTGTGGGATGCACTTGAATGAGACACCACAGGGGCCACAGTGAATGTGACCTTGTACATTTGAGTGTGTGTCTGTGTGGGGTTTGTGGGGCCTCGGAAAAGGGGTGGTGACCCATGTTTCTTTTTTTTTTGTTTGTTTATAAATGGTGTGCTCTAGAACGGGGGATATGCATAGGTTTGCACTACTGTCTGCGTCAATGCAACATGCTGAAACACACACTTCTCTTTCAGTGCTGTCACTGTGGCGGTGTGGCGGGACACATATAGAGGCAGCGCTCGATACAGACAGTGTTTCTCTACCTGTAGTATCGGATCTATCATTTATTTTTATTAAATAATGAGATCTGTAGGTTATGGAGTAGACGGAATAAATGACTATACATCTTAATATTTAGCAACAAATGTGACTCGCAGAAACACAAATAATACATGTGCTTTTTAAGTGTCTATTCCTCTCTACACACACACTTTATTATTCTCCAAAAATTCAAGACAATACCGTATTTCAATATTTTTCAATCCAAGTATTGTTGTGTCTCGTCAAATGTGTTTGTTTTGTTTATGTATTTTGTCTGTCATTTCCTGTTTTATTTTGTATTTACCTCTTGTCTTTCATTTCAGGCCCTGTTTTCTTCCTCCCCCTGTGTGTTTTTCCCGCCATCATCAGTGTCTGCCCCGCCCCTGATTGTTTCCACCTGTTCCCACTCACCTCATGTTTAAATAGTCCTGTCTCTCCCCTGTCCTGTGTCAGTTCGTCTTGTTTGTTTCCCCGAATGGTCGTGCCAAGCCTCAGCTCAGAAAGGATCGCTTTTTCACTCATGTCAGGTTTTGTTGGCTTAAAGGGGACCTATCATGCAAAATGCACTTTTGTACGTCTTTTATACATGAATATGTGTCCCCGGTGTTCCAGGGAACTCACCAAGTGTCAGAAAACACAACCCTCTCTATTTTCCTCCATACCCAAATCTCTAAAAAAAAGGGGCTGCAACGGATCTGATAAAAACTGATCCAGATTTGAACACTGTCCTGATGTCAGGACGGTGGCGCTACGGCTATTGGGCCAACTCCACCAATCAGGAGGAGACAGCCACGGCCATTGCCGTTCGAAAGCGCTGGAGACGCTGTAGTACATATGCCAGGCCAGTAGATGGTGCTGTTCTCACTGAATCTGCCCCTGCACAAACAGAGCTAGAAATTGTCAAATTGAGCAAAATGAGGCATGGCTAAAATGCATGATCTGTTTGGTATTTTGAAGAAAAAAAAGTATAAATATGCCTTATATAGGTATGGTCCTACACTATATTATTCAAATATAGCATGATCGGTCCACTTTAAGTTTTTATTAAGTCCTCTTTTTGTTACGCTAGTTTTTTCCTCCTTGTGAGCGCCTTTTGTTATTTCGACCACCTACTCTGTTAAGAGGGATTACCTGAACTGAGAAAATAAATATACTTTGTCTCTGGGTCGTGCATTTGGCTTCATCAGTTTGTGTCGAGGTCCTGACAAGTATAATTCTATAACAACTGAGGTCAGGGATTATGACAGATTCTCTGATTTTCTGTTTGTCTGCATTTGTTTGGGTGTAAGAGAAACATTTTGTGTTGCAGCATCATAAAAAGACATGGCATTGTACAATAAAAATTAAAAGACAAGAAATAAACAAGAAAGTAGAAAATATACATGATGAATTTACAAATTAACAATAACAAGATATAAAGCAAGGTATTATATTTACATAAGTATGTGACAGATGGAATATTAGATATTAGACTGAATATAAATGTAAAATGTACAGTGAAGAGAAAAACTATGGAGCAGAGAGTTCTCTGCCAGCCAGAGGTGATTTGTTGTACAGTGTTATTGCAGTCGGCAGGAATGTTTTCCTGTATCTGTCCTTGTGACAGCGGAACTGCAGCAGTCTGTTGGAGAAGGAGCTCCGCTGTCCGTCCAGCTGCAGGTGGAGAGGATGGGTGGGGTTATCCATGATGGACAAAAGCCTGTTCAGTGTCCTCCTCTCCAACACAGCTTCAAAAGTGTCCAGCTTGATGACGATGATAGACCCAGCTTTCCTGGTCAGTTTATTGATTCTGCTGGTGTCACCGGCTCTGATGCTGCCCCCCCAGCAGACCGCAGCAAAGAAGAGTACACTGGCCACAACAGACTGTTAGAAGATCTCCAGCATCTTGCTGCACACGTTGAAGGATCTCAGCTTCTTCAGGAAATAGAGTCGGCTCATCCCCTTCTTGTACACAGCGTCAGTGTTGATCCTCCAGTTCAGACCGTTGTCTAAGTGCACTCCCAGGTATTTGTAGTCCTCCACAACAGCCACATCCTCTCCCAGAATGCACAGGGGCTGTGGAGACGTCCTCTTCCTCCTGAAATCAATGACCATCTCTCTGGTCTTGGCCACCTTCAGAAGCAGAGTCCACTCCACAAAATCACCCACCAGTGCTCTGTACTCCTCCTCCCGTCCATCCCTTATACACCCTACCACTGCAGAGTCATCCGAAAATGTCTGCAGATGACAAGACTCAGAGTTGTATTGAAAGTCTGAGGTGTATAAGGTGAACAGGAAAGGAGACAGCACACTGCCCAGCCGGACGTACTGTGGTCTGTCTGTGAGGTAGTTGGCAATTCAGGAGATGGTGGACAAGTTTACCCTCATAGCCTGCAGCTTGTCACTCAGTAGCCGTGGCTGGATCGTGTTGAATGCGCTAGAGAAATCAAAAAAGGTGATTCTCACAGTGCAACCCGATCCATCCAGGTATGAGTGAGCACGCTGCAGCAGGTAAATAATAGCATCGTCCACGCCCAGTTGAGGCTGGTAGGCAAATTGCAGAGGGTCTAGAAATGATCTCACCTGCGGTCTGAGATGGGCCAAGACCAGTCTCTCCAGCACCTTCATCACATGAGATGTGAGAGCTACTGGCCGATAGTCATTGAGCCCAGAAGGAGTCGTCTTTTTAGGGACAGGAACCACGCAGGACGTCTTCCATAGCACCGGTCTCGAGGTACAGGCTCAGGTTGAACAGGTGTTGAAGAACAGGAGACAGCTGGCTGAGAGGGTGTATGCATGGGGGAATGATTCAGTCTTTCAGTGTGAGAAAAAAAATAATAAGAAAGGGAAGGTACTGAAGAAAAGGGTGGCCCAAAGGTTTTTAGTGACATGGGTCACTGAAAACCGGAGATGTGACTAAAAAATAAGTAAGTGGTCAGTGAAAAAATATAATAGCATACCATTTCAGACTGTCCATAATGAACTGCTGCTGGCCCAAGCCAAGAGCAACAGCTAAATCCTTCCAAAGAACAGCCTGAATAACTATATTACTTCCTAGTTCTAGCTATATTATAGTATGACGTGATACAGAACCAGCTTCAGGCTCCACCAAGACTCTGGCCAGTTGCAGGTTGGATCTCCATTGGTGATCCTTCAGGGACTTTAAGATGTACTCATTACTAAAGAGGAACAAACTACAGGGTCCTCTATTTAAATAACATAAAAGACACTAACATCTGTGGTTACCATAGGTACATTTAATTGGTTGATCAAAACTAGCGAGAAGGCTGACATTTAAATGTGAAACAACTCAATTTTTAGGACACACTCAACAGATGCAGACACAAAAGACAAATACTTGCCATAGAGCCATTGATGATGTTATGATGTGATGATAACCTTTATCTTTCAGACGTGACGCTGCAATTGGATATTCAACCAGTTAAATAGTTATTACAGAATGCTTATTGCAATAATAAGCTTCAGATTCCTGAGTGCTGGAGCAGATATGATTTTAATCATTTCAATTCATTTTTATTTTAATAAAAGTAAATGATAAAGGCAAAGTACTTTGATCTACACTGTTGCCTATTACGAATCAAGGAGAGTGTTGTTTGCTGTACAGGTTGTAATAGTGGGCTATTCAGGCTGCCACTTATTATAATAATAATAAGGCGTGTGGTGCAGTGGGTTGTGTGTTGGTTTTCGAATCAGGTGGTCACTGGTTCAAACCCCACTGCAGTCAGCATGTCGTTGTGTCCCTGGGCAAGACACTTCACCCCAATTTGCTCCTGTGGTGATTGTCCACAGTATTGAGTATGTAAGTCACTGGATAAAAGCGTCTAACAAGTAACATGTAAAAAAACTGATTCTTTGTATTGTTGATCTAAATGTCAATATCATTCTTTCTTAAGTTGCACATAATTAAGCCAATGTCAGTACGTTTTGTAGTGTCCATAAAATATAAACCTGTTAACACTGTTATTGTCAATAGTAGTTTTTACAGCAACCTATTTTACGTATGTCTGTGTGTGTGTGTGTGTGTGTGTGTGTGTGTGTGTGTGTGTGTGTGTGTGTGTGTGTGTGTGTGTGTGTGTGTGTGTGTTTGTGTTTGTGTTTGTGTTTAATGTTTAATGTGCCCTGTTTGTATGATATTAAGACCAGTCAAAGGGGATTTTTCAAGAATGGTGACAAATAGATAATTAACTTCTTATCTGTCATGTCAGAGCACAACATTGTGTTTTGTTTTGTCAAAAAAAGTATGGCAATACCTCAATTTTTATAAAGAGTGATTTAAAATACAAACATGCTGCAAATCTTTTATTTCATTCAAATGACAACTGGTTCAGTGGATACATGTTCAAACAACTGTCCTGACACTACAGGCCAACTACAACCTAGAGAGACATGATCTAACAGGCCACTTCTTTATCAGACTTTAATTAAACCTGCATCAACAACGTACAATTCAAGGGGGAAACTTATTTCCAATCTTGGGATTTGAGCCGACGGACATCATGGATGAACAGGGGAACTTCATAAGCTTCTTTCTGGAAAAAGGTTTGACCTCTTATGACCCGGAAGCTGCCGCCAGACCCGAGCTGTTCCATCGGCGGAGTAAAGATGGCTGACCAAGGCGCCGCAGATCCTGGAAATAACAACAATAATAAACCTGAAGAAGCAGAGGGAACTATTATTAAGGTCACAGTGAAAACACCTAAAGACAAAGAAGAAATCGCCATCGCAGAAGATGCTTCTGTCACTCAGGTAAGTCGTTTCGCAGGTGGGAAGCTGCCTGCTCTAACGTCATGCCCACAACTTCAGCTAGGAAGCTAGCTAGCCCTGTTAGCAATTATCGTCACTCTTACCGGCTAACTGATAGTGTGTGAAACCAACGTGTTTGTGTGTGATGAAAGTACTACTGCTTTGGTGAACAACTGTGTGGTCTTATAAACGCCGTTGACATCCGATATGAGAGGTATAGCCACGTTAATAAAGGAAATGGCTAACCGGCTAACGAGCTAACGGTTAACAGTTAGCTAGTTCGCTAACTCAGCTTGCGAGCTAAGTCTACGTTAGCTAACTGTAGCCAAACAAGTGTCAGCTGACGGGCTGTACTGAAGCCACAGTGGCCTGATAAAACCATGGAAGTGATTTTGGATAAATGTTGTGATGAATTGCTTTCATTTCCCATTTTAGCTCAACAGCTTAGGGTTAGCTAAGGATTGCTATCACTCTAGTCTAGAACATTCTCACTGCTGCCACTGAGTCATTCGGCTTTCCAGGGAATAAACCTACTCTCAGAGCTACTGTTGGCTTGGCGACGTGTTACAGTGAAACCATAAGGCGACCCATGCAGCCACAGTGGTTTCTTTATCTTTGTTTCCCGTCTAGACAAGTTATTGTAATTACAGTGTGGTCAAGTAGCCTCTTTTATCTGGTTGTGTGTGTCTCATGTTCAACCATTGGACTTGGATCCCTCACTTCCAAGTGTGTGTTGTCATCCTTATCGACATGTGGCTTTAAATTGGATAATAGTAAGATTTTGAATTTTGTGTGACACATAATTTATATAATTTTTAAGTGCTTTGAAATAGTTAAAGCTGAGGAATTAATTGCATAACAGCATTCTTTGTTCTTCATTTTTTACTTAAATCCTCATCATCTACCACACAGTGGTTGCTAGTCTGCCAGGGTGTACACAAAACAATAATTAAGGTCATCTGCTTTTTAAAAACACACATTATCAAAGAAACTATACTCAGGGAGAAAAGAAAATGTCCAAAACAGCATCGACTATTACAAAAATAATGACACTATTTGCGCGATTCATCAGCTTTGTTTCAGTTTCTCTTGATCTTGTAGCTCTTGTTTCACCTTTAACATATCAGATCATTTGTGAATGTCAACATTTGAGTGTGTGGCCCCATCAGCACAATATAAAACTGACTGGGATGCTGTGATAAGATATGATCGCCCTTATTTACTGTTGAAGAAAACGTGTAATAGGAAAGCAGCTTTGTATTGGATAAGACTAATTTCTGTACAAATGACACTTTACACGGTAGTCAAAGAGTAACCGTGAATTGGCAGATTTTGTGGCGTGTTCAAACTGCTGCTAATAGGATAAGTACAAAGGTCTTTCTTGGAAACTGGAATTTAAGGCCTGAAGGTTGCAACAGAACAGAAAAAGGTTCTAACAGCCATACTGAGGTGTAACCATATTATTCTTGATATTATCCTTTTTTAATTTCCTGTTTCTTTCCCACCTTACTTTTTTTGTCCCATTTGATCTAATCTCTCTTCATTTCATGCTGTCTTTTAGTTTAAAGAAGAGATCTCAAGGCGGTTCAAAGCCAAACAGGACCAGTTGGTTTTGATTTTTGCAGGGAAGATCTTGAAGGATGGCGACAGCCTCAGCCAGCACGGCATCAAGGATGGCCTGACAGTTCACCTGGTCATAAAGACGGCACAGAAGTAAGGCTCCATTATTGTACAAAGCATGCTGGTTTGACCATCAATTTGTTGTAATAATGTTCAACATTTAATACAATCTTGGTTTGAAATTAAGTGAACTGCACTTTATTTAACTGAGTACTAATCTTGCCATACGCCTTGAAATTCTCTTTCTAGGGCAGGAGATGGCGGTAGCACCTCGGCCTCTAGCTCGACCTCCACTCAGGCAGGCAATTCCTCCGCCTCTAGTCCGGGTATCAACCCCTCCTCCTCAGCAGGCTCTACTGGCACTGACGCACCAAACACACAGACGCCCAACATACTGAGTGAGTCCAACTAAGTGTAACTATTTACATTGAAACAGCCATAATTATCTCTGTGAATTAGTTATTAACCATCCGACCTTCCTCAGCTGGCTTTGGTGACCTGGCCGGTCTGTCTGGAATGGGCATGGGCTCGGCTAACTTCATGGAGCTGCAGCAGCAGATGCAGAGGCAGCTCATGTCCAACCCAGAGATGCTGTCTCAGATCATGGAGAACCCGTTGGTACAGAACATGATGTCCAACCCAGACCTGATGAGACAGATGATCATGGCCAACCCTCAGATGCAAACGCTGATGGAACGCAACCCGGAGATCTCCCACATGCTCAACAACCCGGAGCTCATGAGACAGGTAAAGTATTTGAATATGGGCTGAATAGCACTTCGATAGTGAACACAGGCACAACTACAGTGGGTTCCTACTGCAGTTGGATCTGTATATTCAGGATTTTACTATCTTGGTTTAGAATTAACATTTACTTGACTTTCCCCCCTCTCATCATCTCTCACCATCAGACCATGGAGCTAGCCAGGAACCCAGCCATGATGCAAGAAATGATGCGAAACCAGGACCGGGCTCTGAGCAACTTGGAGAGCATCCCAGGGGGTTACAATGCGTTGCGGAGGATGTACACGGACATCCAGGAACCCATGTTTAGCGCTGCCAGGGAACAGGTACCTGGGAGTGATTATCCCTTGATCTATTTCCCTTTTATTTCCTTTGTCTATCCTTTTAGGCTAATGGTTCCACACATTCCACAGTATAACCTTTGTCTGGTTTAACTTGCCATTGTTGCCTGAATTACTAAATGTCCACTTTTGGTGTCATATCTCTTTTTCTATAGTTTGGCAACAATCCATTCTCAGCTCTAGGTGGGAACTCTGAGTCTGGTGCCCAGCCATCACGGACAGAGAACCGGGAGCCCCTGCCTAATCCATGGGGGCCACAAAATTCTTCTAACCCATCTGAGAGTGGAGGGGCCACCACAGGAAGCACTAGCACCCCTGGGGGCACCAATCCCAGTGTGTCCAACCCTCTGGGCATCAACGCTGGCAGCCTGGGCAATGGTAAGAACAGAGCAGACTAAGATTCTCAATACACCTTGTTTTCAAGTCATTTATTAAATTACAAACAAACACATTTCTTTTCCTGTGCGTTTCAGGGATGTTCAACAGCCCGGGCATGCAGAGTCTAATGCAGCAGATCTCGGAAAACCCTCAGCTGATGCAGAACATGCTCTCGGCTCCCTACATGCGCAGTATGATGCAGTCGCTCTCTCAAAACCCAGAGTTGGCCTCCCAGGTATGCAACAGCAAGATGTGAACAAGCAAACACAAACTGTACATACAAAACCCAGAGTGCAGAAAACAGGCACACGTCACATTACAGTGCAAGTCCCGGTTATTTAGATTGTGTTAAACCTCTTTGTTATTCACATTGCATACCACATAGGGAATCGATTGATTATGTTAAACTCTGCAGTTGGTAAGGAATTGTAAATAAAAGGATCTGGCTAAGCCTGTTGTGCATTAGGCCAGTGAGCCCAGCTAGTGACTTACTCAACAGAAGGGATGTCTGGTAATCTCCATCTGCATTTGCAGCAAATATTACAAAGCAAAACCAACACAGCCCTTATTAACTTGGTTTTAACAAACAATGCAGACTGTACGGAAAAGAAACTCACAGGGAGACTCCAGAGCTTTTATTTCTCTGATTGAACATTCTGCCAGCAAGAAAGTGCTAAACCAAACAGTATATCATTTTAAATGTTACTTTAGTGAGTGAGAAGCGTGGCCAGATGTTGAATGATGCATAAACTTGGTTCTCTTTCTTTCTCTCTCTGTACCAGGTGTTGATGAATAACCCGTTGTTTGCTGGAAACCCACAGCTGCAGGACCAGTTTAGATCTCAGTTACCCATCTTCCTGCAGCAGGTACCACACACACTTCAGTCAATAACCCAGTCCATTTTTCCTTAAAAACACAAACAGTGACACTGTAACAAGCTTTGATTCCAGTATTGTGTCTGGTCAGTCCCAAACACAAAGATGTTCCGTTTATTAATGTATAATACAATCCATATTTAATAGGCTAAACACGTAACTTTTTGCCATATTTACATATAAAATAATATTATTATAATATAGTTGGCCATTAATTCTCAGTTGATCAACTCGTGAACTGATTGTTACTCTCTCTGTCTGCAGATGCAGAACCCAGAAGCCATGGGAGTGATGACCAACCCCCGGGCCATGCAGGCTCTGATGCAGATCCAGCAGGGTCTACAGACGCTGCAGACAGAAGCTCCGGGCCTCATGCCCAGGTACGGATCACTCACACCTAAAACATGGTGCTTTATGTTGATGATTTAGTTTTTCTCAACTCCTCTGCTTGTGTAGTTTGATGACAGGTGGTGTTCCTGGTGGTGTTCCTGGTGGTGTTCCCGGTGGTGTTCCCGGTGGTGTTCCCGGTGGTGTTCCCGGTGGTGTTCCCGGTGGGATGCCTGGAATGATGCCTGGTATGATGCCTGGTATGATGCCCGGTATGATGCCCGGTATGATGCCCGGTATGATGCCTGGTATGATGCCCGGTATGATGCCTGGTATGATGCCTGGTGGGATTCCTGGCATACCCACAGGTGGGGGCCTGCCAACAGATAACCCGGCCTCCTCACCCGGCGGTGCAGGAACAAATGCCGCCCAGCAGCAGTTGATGCAACAGATGCTCCAGATGTTTGCTGGTGGAGGAGGAGGAGGAGGAGGAGGAGGAGGAGGAGGACTAGTAGGCGGACTAGGAGGAGGATTAGCAGGAGGACTAGCAGGAGGACTAGGAGGAAGTGCAACGGTACAACCACACACACATGCACCAATTTTGTATGAATGACTAATTGTAATCGCTTTGGATAAAAGCGTCAGCTAAATGTAATCATAATTTTTTTTATTCCATTTCTGTCCCCTCTGCAGCCCCAGACCCCCGAAGTGCGGTTCCAGTCCCAGCTGGATCAGCTGAGCTCCATGGGCTTCATCAACCCCGAGGCCAACCTGCAGGCCCTCATCGCTACTGGAGGAGACATCAACGCCGCTATCGAGAGACTGCTGGGCTCACAGCCCTCGTAAAGACATACAGTACATACTGATCCACAGACACGTGCATTCAGACATACCTAAATCATAAACACACCCAGCATCTACAGAGAACCAAGAGAAATTTAAGTGTATTGTCCCAAACTTTACAGAAGAAACTTGGGCAGGATCTGTCAGACCCTCATTCTACATCTGTTCTCAGATTATTTCCCTAGTCCCTATTCTTTTTGGCGTCGTCCAACCAGATCTCTGTCCCAGAGTGCTGCTGTAGAGCTGGACTGAACCAATCTCACCTTGAGGGGTGTTCTGGTGCAGAGAAAAGGAGCGAAAACCTCTCCTGAAAAGGGACTCCCAAGCATTTCTTCATTCATTGTTTTCTTCCCATTAAACTGGAGTCGAGTGTTGCAGACAAACATTTGCATAATACAGATTAAACCCATGTGATGTGATTGGCTGTTGGCTCTGTTTCACACACGGCCATTGTGTTGCAGTTTGTTAGCATTTATCTAGCTAATCAGTTCGTGAACATTTTTTCTGGTATAGAGACGGAAATCATGAACAAGAACAGGAAGATATCTTGTCCATACAGACGTTCAAACCCATTCCTCCCTCTTTCCCCGCTCTCGAGATTCTTCATAAATAGCTGTTTTTGCCCGATGACTTTCACTATTTATTGCAAGCGCTTAAGAAAATTAAGGCCTCCACACTTCCCTAAACTTGTAATTTGTCATTCCAAAAATAAAGTGCCCACTCACGGGTGTCTTTTCCTTCTGAGGCACCGCTGCTGTGCCTTCTGTCCCCCCCCTGCCCTATAAGAGCATTGTTGGCAAATGACACTCCCCCCTTCAGTGGGTCAATTAGACGCCCCTAATAAATCTCACACATGATCATCCGGGACCGTAACCATAACAAAATATCACTCTGTAGCAGCTCCGGAGGACGCTGTCAGGATGAATATGAATGAAACCAACTTTCTTTTTAATCTGATTCTTCTTTTTTTAATTATATCTTCTCTTTTTTTGGGGTGCAGTTAGTACCTAGAGATAATTGTGATTTGTCTCGCATACAAATAAACATTGAAATCGAGTAAAAAGTAAATGAATGGAAAAGCTTTACAAACATTTATGGTATGGTGGCACCATACATTTCTAAAATCAAGTTATAGGTTGTCTTATTTTTTTTCTTCCTTTTTGAAAATTTCAGCATTGTAGTTGTGGTAACCTTGGCAACTGCTTCTATAGCTTTGCTTTGTTTGTTGACCTCAGCTTAAAAAAAAAAAATCCATCTCACAATTGAACATGTTGAAACTAACTTTTAACAGTACTGTACTAAAAAAGAATAAAACATGGTCAAAATCAGTCTACGCCCTGTGTCAGGTGATTATAGCCTTGTGACGGTGTAGATAGGAGTGTGTAGCTTTTCATTCAAATGTCCTGCTCATGAAGTTCTTATAAAGTCATTACGTTTATGATCTGCTTCTGTTTGTTGTTTGATATGAAAATGTTCTACACTGAGATATCTGTTGGGTCATATTGAAAGGTAGTTTATGCACAGCTTGTTTGGGTGACACTTTATTTTACATATGCCAATAGAAAGCATCTTATATTTAACCCTCAATTTATAGAAAACTTTTCTTTAAAAAGATGACAAGTCAGTTTTATTTAAATAGCTTATTTGCCTACAAACGTTGTTTAATAATAATAGCGTTAAACTCAGAAATGTGAAATAATTTCTACATGAGAGCCTAAACTTTCCTAGGTTTCAAGTCATAACTAAACTAGTGAATTAATATTTACTTAGGTTTCAAATCAACTACTTTTTATTTGACTGAACGCAATTGCCTTTTGCAACCAGGAAACATTTAGAAATCTATTAAATAATGATGTATTGATCTGAAAAATTAAGCCTTACCCTCAATATTTTATTACGCAATCTTGTCATGGTATGAATGAGTCAAAGTATCCGTGACATAGTATTTTAACCTGAAAGAAAACGTTAAATATTACCAACGTTTTCAGCCTTTGTTCAAATGATTGGCAAAATGGCGTCGTGCACACAGATCCACCTGTCGGTCAGGTTTATTGTCCTACAAATGAAAGGATGGGTGGGGTCTGTGCCTAACAACTAGCTGCCAGTGGTTCTACCTGTTCCACCTGCTCTCCTCTCCCAGCGCTCCCTCGGGTGTCAGCTGATGAGGGATCGGCAGGCGACAGGACTCTTGCATGCCTGTCCTCAATCTGAAGCTGCCCCTATCCACAGATAAAGGAGGAAGCGGTGGAAGCAGCTAAACCTCTTCTCTTTTTCTTCATTTTCACCTTTTCTCTCTCTTGCTTTTCACATTGGAAGAAGAAGAGGAAACCGGAGATCATTTGTTTTTCTTTCTCTCTTTGTTTTCTCAAACTCTTCAAAAAATATTGCAAGTGGCTTCAGGATAGTTGCTAGGTGAAAGAGGAAAGCTACTAAATGCAGCATGGGGTCTGATGAGTCGTACAATTTCGTCTTCAAAGGTGAGTCGTGTTTATTTGAGCTGTGATGGTTTAAGAAGAGGTTAAAGTGAAATAGTGTGTGTTACTTCTGTACTAACAGAAGCTGGCAAGATGTCAGGTACAACCCTCCTTTGTAAGTTCCTGCTCTATATTCTGTGGAGGTGTTGTCTCACTGTCTTTTTGGCTGTAAACAATTTGACCTTTGACCTACTGAACAAACATCTGACATTTCCTGCTCCACCGAGAAGCTGTTATTTGGTTTGTATAATATTTATTTAAACGACCTAGGATTTTTTATTCCATTCATTCCAAAGTAAAGTCAGCCACTGAGGTGCCACATGTATGGGACGTCACAGGGTTTGGTGTCTCGTGAGGGTGACCGCAAGTATTAGATCAGATCAAGTTAATCTGATTTAAACCAGAAAGTTATAGTTTTGACCAATTAACAGTTCTATTTTTGAACTCCAACTAGTTCACGTGTTAATCAGCACGAGTATTACTAATGACTGATTTTCATCTTCTCCTGCCTGTGCTTGTTTCAGTGGTTTTAATAGGAGAGTCTGGCGTAGGAAAGAGCAACCTTCTGTCTCGCTTCACTAAGAATGAGTTTAATCACGAAAGTCGCACCACCATCGGCGTGGAGTTCAGCACGCGGACCGTTCAGCTGGAGAACTACACCATCAAAGCCCAAATCTGGGACACAGCCGGGCTGGAGCGCTACAGGGCCATCACCTCAGCGTGGGTTCACACACACACAAACACAAACACACTCTCACATGTATATACAAGTAATAAAGACACTATAAAGGAAGATACAATTCTCACATTTGGCGCACACATCTTTGTCAGTTTAAGTAACACTGCATACAATTATCAGTCACACTCTGGTCACACATTTTGCAATAAGCAGAGAGCTTCCAGTTTGAATAATTAAATATAACTCATGTTCTCTCACCTGGTGGACTCAGGTATTACAGGGGAGCAGTTGGAGCTCTGTTGGTTTACGACATTAGCAAGCACCTGACCTACGATAGCGCAGATCGATGGTTGAAAGAGCTGTTAGACCATGCGGACCCTCACATCGTGGTCATGCTGGTTGGGAACAAGAGAGACCTGGAGAACCTCAGGACGGTGCCCTCAGAGGAGGCCAAAGACTTTGCAGGTCTGTTGTATGATGAGGATTTTATGAAAGGTTTCCTGTGAAAATAAAATGTGTTTAAAGCTCAGTTGTGGTAACACTGCTCCTTGGAAACGACAGTGTTTGTTTATTGTGATTTTTGATTTCCTCCCCCCTTGGAACAACCCAGAGAAGAGAGGTCTCATGTACATGGAGACGTCAGCCTTGGACTCCACTAATGTCGAACATGCTTTCAATGAAGTCCTCACAGGTGTGTTCAGTCTCTCTGTCTATAGCATATCCTCTTTGAACGACCTACTGATGCAAACCTGCTGTCTTCCTTTCCTTTTTTCCAGCCATCCATAAGAAGGTGGCCAGCAGAGAGGTGACCCGTGGCTCCATCAGTGCTGTGACCCTGTCCAGCCCCATCGGACTCTCCGGGGACGGGCAGGAGGAGCGCAGAGGCTGCTGTAAGAGCTCCTAACAGACTGCTGTTAAGATCTGACCAACATGAACCCACAGAACGCTCGACTGCCTTTGAAGCTCGACATCATTCACAGCCCATTTGAAGAGTGAGGTACCTACGTGACACCGCTGTCAGTGTACAAACCTCTTAAATATACAAACTCTAAAGAATGTAACTCAAAACTAAATATTAAGATAAGCAAATATTGAGAAAATCTTTATTTTATACATACGATTTATACTTGTGGTGGCACGTTTTACTACAGATAGCTGTTCGATTATTTCCTATCAACATGTTTTTTAAAGAGGCTTTGTAAAGTTGTTTTGCTTTTATGAAGAAATGCACTGGGATTCCCTTGGAATACATTATTTATGTTATTCTGTCTGCATGTAATTACCACACAAAGATATTAGACACTTTATCTTAACTAGATGAGGGAATAGGAGAGAAGGCTGATGTGAGATAAAGACAAACTCAGAAGCTTTACTTTAATAAAAGTTGTGATTACCCAATGTCAAACAACTCTGTTACCAGTGAACGTCCTTCAAATTGTTACTTAGATAAGGGTTAAGAAGTTTTATCATCCAAATATAGTATATATGTAGTCAAAATATTGGCACAGGTTTTGTAAATTAACCCATTTACACTATTGTAATTATTACAGTGTATTATTGGGATGATATTATCAACACATTGGGATGTAAGCAAAGTTTAATGTAGGAGCTGGTCTGACAAACTTATATTCTGTTAGGTGGTTGAATCTATAAAAATGCATAATATTTCATGTTATGTTTTGTATTTAAAATGTGGACCAGCCACTGCAGATGAGATAATAGTGTTGTGGATTTTTTTGTTGTTGTCCTCCTTAATGTTCAGGAGTATGACTTCAACATGGTACCTAGTGTAAGAGCAATAGTAGTTGTTAAGATATGGAGTGTGAGTACATGAACAAGTAGAATATATATCACATAGAGTCAGTTTAGAGCAGTGGTTCTCAACCTGCTGATCGGGACCCCCGAAAGAGTCGTGCAATTATGTAACTGAGGTAGAAATAGTTAATAACACAATATTTTTTGTTCTTGTTGAAATGCAATTTTACATCTAAAGAACCTAAGAAGAATTCAGGTGAAACAGTCAAAGGAGAAACAAATCACTCTTTGATGAAAAGTCATACATCTAGTAGACATATCTTGTTGACGGTTGAAAGTAGATTAATATTAAGGGTAAACATATATATATATAAAAAGGTAGCACTGCTTATATAAATGAGTTGCAGGTGTGTGTCTCTCCTGCAGATGGCAGTGCTAATGTCGCATGTTAAATTAAAAGCATCAGTTCAGTGTAATGCATTTGTCCGCTCTTTATTAACTCCAGTCCGACTCACAGCATCATCTAATCCCCGGTTTATTCCATTAATGATCAGGATATTAAACTCATGATGCCCTGCAGGGTTGTCGCCATGGCAGCAGCCTCTGATGCCTATTTGACAAGCTAATCTGTGTGTGTGTGTGTGTGTGTGTGTGTGTGTGTGTGTGTGTGTGTGTGTGTGTGTGTGTGTGTGTGTGTGTGTGTGTGTGTGTGTGTGTGTGTGTGTGTGTGTGTGTGTGTGTGTGTGTGTGTGTGGTGTGTGTGTGTGTGTGTGTGTGTGTGTGTGTGTGTGTGTGTGTGTGTATGAGTGTGTGGATGATCTCCAGACTATGGATGTAATTGGACGGTCTCATATGGCATGACTGAGAGAATATAAATCTACAGCAGTGGTAGTTAATGACATTCTGGACAGATAGTGCTCTATCTCTGGCTCACAGATGTGCATAAGGAGTCTTTACGTCTGTGTGTGTGTGTGTGTGTGTGTGTGTGTGTGTGTGTGTGTGTGTGTGTGTGTGTGTGTGTGTGTGTGTGTGTGTGTGTGTGTGTGTGTGTGTTGTGTGTGTGTGTGTGTGTGTGTGTGTGTGTGTGTGTGTGTGTGTGTGTGTGTGTGTGTGTGTGGTGTGTGTGTGTGTGTGTGAGTTTGTGTGTGTCCCCAAGCAAGTCTTCTCTGCCAGAGATAATTTTGCTTCGGTGAACTGACCACAAATGCTTTTATTAAGTTTCTCTCCTGAAAATATGATGGGGACGGCTCAGCACCGGGCGGTAAATGTTTAATTATTTCCTGTGAATGAGGTTATTTTTATGGGCTGAGTAAAAGCATCTGGAGTAATAATCCAAGCGGGCGGAGCAGGTTGAAAGCCTGGTCATGATATCTGTCCCGAGCCTGGAGGTAAGGGTTATATTTATTAAAAAAAACATTAAATTAAAAAACTTACAAGCTCTTCTTTGTTCTTTCTTAAGTTAGTTAGATTTTCTTCCATCCCATTACAGATTCTTCCAAATTCCTCCTGGGTCTGTGACCTTGTCTTAAAGCTCTTGCAGTGGTTGGAAAGAATTGGTTTTAACACTTGCATGTGGAGGCTATTACCCACATGCTATTTGACATGTGTAGCCTGTAAGAAAAGTGTGTCTGAAAGCAGGACTCGTATAATATTCTAAAGTGATGAGTGGTATTGCACCTCTGACCCCAACATGAAGCTGTTTATCTCCCGTCTACGAGACCTTTTCCACCAGCACTTTGTGGAATCTTGTCCTCCTGCTATTTACAGTTGCAGCAGCACATCTGCATGCATATTATTGTGCCCTTTTAGTTCTTATGACCTTTGACCTCATGAAACAAGGATCTTTTCTAGAAAAAAACCCATACTTTCCATCCATCACTTCTTCTGCCTTGCTTTTTCTCTTCCCCTCTCCCACTGCTGATCTCCCAGATTCCTAATTTTTTCCGACATGGTGTCAGGCTTTCCGGAGCTCTTTTCCTGCTGTTTATTTCTGCCTCCTGCATCTGTTTGTTGACATGTTTGATTACCAGAGGCCCCACCAATCTTCCATTCGCATATACACAATATACAAAAAAACACGCATGCCCTTGCCTGTTTTTCTATTTGTGCATTCAACTCAATCTCTCAACCACAGAATACCACAGACAAACTAACAAAAAGGTAATTTCGCAAATGTATTTCTGTCTTGATAAAAACATGTATTTCCATGATGTCAATTTTTATGACCACAGAGAAGAAATCATGTTTTGTGTTCTGTAAAACTGTTTTGGATTACCAGAAGCCCCACACACTTCCATTAACATTTACACAACATTTCATAAAACATCCACGTTGAGCCTTTTATTTACCTGTTTTTCTATTTGTGAATTTAATGAAATCTCCCAACAAGTTATCCCACACAAACATAAAGGTGTATTTTGTGGCGTTTTTGCAAATCATTTCTGTCTTGAGACAAAATGTCAACATATAATCAAGCCTTTTTTGTAGCTTTGTGAAGTTAGAAGTATTTTTTCTTAATCTATGACGTAGGAATATTTATTCACCCATCATCCTATAACCAAATGTGGACATACGGCGGGTTTATTGGATAGCTATGATTCAGTATATCATTTAGTAATAAGACATGTTAAAATACAGGTGTTGAACATATCTCTGTATAACTGACAGCCAGATTTGTTACCATTGTGTCATATTATGTGATGTGTGGGTGTATAATATATAGTTGAGTGTGTGTGTGCGCATGCCTGCATAGTGTGCGCGCAAACAAAAGAACAAAAGTTCAAACACAAGAGTGTATGACAGCGTGCATGCCTGCGTCTGTCAGTGCATGTCAGCAGAGAGCACACACTTTTTAAATATCCGTCAACTGACATCATCACACTACTTAGAAAACCAAGTAAATGCACGCTGATTACCATGGTGATGTTGTTATGGCGAGCAATCAAAGGGAGAGGTGAACTAATGGGCGGTGAGAGAGAGACAGAGAGAGTGAGAGGTGAGAGGTGAGAGGTGAGAGGTGAGAGGTGAGAGAGGTGGAGGAGATTGCAGAGAAAATGTTAAGAGTGTGTTCATCACTTTGTGCTCTAAGACTGTAGTCTCAGCCCAGCTTGACATCAGATCATAAACTGTTTCCATAGCTGTGTGCCTTCCTGTGTGTGTGTGTGTGTGTGTGCGTGCGTGCGTGCGTGCGTGCGTGCGTGCGTGCGTGCCTGCCTGCCTGCCTGCGTGAACTATTATTTGACTGCTGCTTTTAGCCTCCTGAAACCTGAGACCGCAAACAATGCATGTCATTAACATTATCTCAAGTGTGGCAGGTGAGCTTTCCACTCAGTGTATATTTAAGTGATGACATCTGGAGAGGACACAGATGGGGTTTTAGTCAGTGAATGCCAATTATTTCAATCACTTAAGCTTAAATGAAGTCTTTTATCCACAGCCATGACACTTGACCTTTCACTAATCACTGACCGAAAATTAACCCAGAAAATTCTGTCCAAAATGGATACACACAGACAGTAATTAAAATATATAAAACACTGATCTTCCAAACTCTGTGTGCAACTTTTCAGCTTCTCCTTCTAGAGGTGGGAAAAATCTGAGGATACCACCCAGCCGCTAAAATGTGTTTTGCTCTTTCTCAGAAGAACACAAAACGTCTGGCAATACAGTAAGTGACAAAATGGGTGTTAAATTGACTTTATGAGTCGATATTTCCATGTGTGTATTTTTCTCCTGCTAAGCTTTTGTTCCATGTGGCTTGTGGATGGAGGTGCAGCCAGATGACAGGTTTAAGCCAGGAGCGAAGACACCATGGTCGTTTTTACAGATGCACTTCACTTCTTGTTCCACTGAATCATTTCAATGAGTGGAGCCTTTCTGTAGAGCAAGCTTATCATTCCATTTTATGGTTTTTGTTGTGTAGGTCCATGCAGTGAGGGCTCCACTTTTTAATCAGAAATGTGCAATCAAATGCTTCCTAGGCTCAAGAACTCAGAGTTCGTGTGTGTGCATTTTTAGGAGAACAGTTGTTGAGTTGACAGACTTCCAGTGCTAAATCTCACTGGAGTTGGATTGTGGGAAAACACATGTTGTTGTACACCGGGGGGGCGGGGGGGAGTAGGGGGAGACATGTCTGGGCTTAGGGGGACAAGAAAGTTGAGTTAAGGTCACCGCCAAGAGATACAAATCTTAACTCTCTGTGGAAGTGTGTGTGTGTGCAACACAAAATACAGATATATACACGCAGAGTCCTTTGCCGTGTGAGTGCATGCATATATGCATAAGCCTGTATAAAAGCGTGACAGCCTGTGATGTTTTTAGCTGTTGTTATGTATCGTGTGTAGTTTCTTCTCTAGCCAGTGAAAGCTCCGAGATGCATCTAAAAATATCACAGGCCCGAGAGGAAAGCAAGGATGGGAAAACATTTACTGAAGCAAAAGAAGAGCATGGAGCTCCTTCCAGAGACAGCCGCCCCGGAGGGAAGCCTGCAAACAGGATCAGAAAGGATTTCCCCTCATTCTTCCAAGCATGCAGGTTTGTTTTTGATATTACCTGAAAGAAACTGCATAAGCTGTTAAAGAATAGACACCCTGTTTTACTTTTATGTGGTGTTATATTGAGTGTGAATGAAAGCCAAGTGTGCTTCTTGCTCTGTTGGTATTGCAGGTTGCTCTCATCCAGGGTGGTACTGCAAACTCATTAAGGTCATTTCCGTCTGTTTACGGAATTAAAAACAGATTTCTGGGAGATGTAGATAGGAGCCGACTTGTACACGAATCGTGAAGAGATGAGGAGGAGGAGGTGGAGGAGGAGGAGGAGGAAGAGGAGTGGGCGGGTAGTAGGGAGGAGGAGGGAATCCAGATGGGAAGGAGCAGAATAGGCGCCGCAGGAGAGAGATAGAGAGGGGAGACAGACTGTGGAGGAGAAGACGCACAGCTTCATCTCTGCCTGGAGATGAGAAATACTTTGATCTTACACTGAGTGAACTGTCGGATTTCACCTGTTGCCGCCATGTATTTTGGTACGTAAACGATGCGTTTTCCTCTCAAGAGTTGTTGGTTAATATAACGCAGCGGAGTCACTTGTTGCTATGTTGAGATGGATGTGAGCTTTGTGAAGTCAGTCACCTGCACAGCGGAGCACACAGTGATCGTGCAGTTTACTCAATACAGATTTAAAAGACAACATTATGGTCTAGGTTTGTGTCATGAAGCGTTTTAGTGCGCTCAATAATCCTCATGATAAATAACAACAGTATAGAGACAGTTCTTCAAAACTAGTGAGACAGCATTTACATAATAGCAGGAAAGCTTGATATGAATTATTATGTTACATGCATGTTTGTTGAATGCCTAATATACATGTATGATGTGATTATAGGAAATAAGCTGTGCAAGAAGAAAGTAAGACTTTGCTTTTTAATATTAAAAGTTCTGGAAATAATATTTAATAATGACCGATCGCACTTTTAAGTTGTGGTTTTTAAAATCATAATGTGTTCGTTGATCATTATCGGTTTTGAGGAGGCAACACATCCCTTCAGATTGTGAGTAAACATTAAGCATGTAACTTCAAACAGTCTTATTAACTGAAGGAAACGTTTAAAACTAATTCGACAAAACAAACACGTGCAAAAAACTTACTGGCAGTGCATGGATCATCGGGATGACAAAAAAACATATACAAATACAAACATTTTACTTTAAGGAAAACTCTCCACATGCCAAAAAAGTCTGACTTGGAGGCCTGCTTAAAGTGGTTGAAAGTAGTGAGAGTTATTGTCCCACCCCTTGTTTTAAATATGATAAAGTATTATTTAGGATTCCACCCCTGTATCCAGCGAAGCCACAACTGCGTAAAAGCGCGTCTGGTTACGAAAGGACCAACAGTGTGTTTGGCCCAGATGAAGCCTAGCAGGAGCGCACCTGCGATCTGCACAGTGCAGCTTAAAGGGTCTGCATAGAAAAGGTCCTGACAGCTGCTGATTTTAAGGACAGAGAGGATTGACACCTTTTGTTTCTGAAACATAAAGCATCATTCATAACATGCTGAGCCAAACAGTGGGTGGAAACCAAAGCAGTATGAAGCTTTACGTTTATATTTTAAATCATTCTTTGCGGTTTTGGCCAAGCGTATTGTAATATTATTCCCGTGTAAAGTTGACAATTATAAACGGTATTGTGATACACGAGGGCAGTCCCCGCCCTTACTGAAAAGACGTTCTCTTGCAGTGGCGGTTCTAGACCAGTCTTACTGGGGGGGGGGGGCCGCGCTCGGACCAGCTGTTTTATGAGAGGGGCACATTTACTGTTGGACAAAAGATACAAATACAGTCTTCAATATTTTTTATTCAGTATAAAGTCATCATTGCCCACAAAAACACATAAAATACCATTTGTGTTTGTTTTAGCAACGTACATTAAGTACATGACTTACAGTTTTATTTTATTATAATATAAAGAAGCCAAACATTACTGTTATTTTCGAACCAAGTTACAACACAGTCTTTGCTGCAACACTTTCCAAAATTGTGTTATCATATATTTTTCTTTTGGAGAGGGGCTGCAGGGCCGTCCAAGATCAGTGTTACAGGGGCCCCTGTTGGCCTCCCCCAGAACTACACATCTTCCTGTGCAAATGCAAAAGCAAACACTTACAGTGTGACGTGCCCGCGCACGCGTTCACGTATGATTTGAGCTTGTTAACAGCAATCAGGCTAATGGCAGAGCGGATGGGTGTGTGTCCTGATTTTTATTATTATGATTGCACATGCAGGCTGGTCCTGAATCAAACTGTAATCAAGCTCAAAGTTCATGCTCAAACGAGAAAACAAAGCCATAATAAGGACTTAGCAACACAAACAAGGAGCTTATCACATGGCACTTGTGTGTGTGTGTGTGTGTGTATGTTTGTGTGCGTGTGAGAGTAAAGGCACATTCGGCCCAATGAGTAGATCTGAGACTGAGATTTTTCTCCTATAGCCGCCTGGACATTTCTGGCATATTTTCATTGTTTTCTATGTTAATATGCACATTCTCTGAGAAAAATAAACGAAAAAAATGCAAAATTACATTGACATTCAACTGTTAATGAGGTTCCGCTTGGTTAGCTGTCCTTCCACATATAAAGACTGACAAATAGACAACAAGCTTTACACAAAGTTTAATTGCAAAGACAATAAGAGAGGAAAAAACTGAGGGAAACACTTTGTTCTGCCAATCTTAAACAAACAATACAATCAGACAAGTTTCTGAGCACATCATCTCAAAGCGAAGAATGTCTTCATCTCGTTTTCTCTGGTGCACTCGCCTTCATCTTTGTACATTTCTATTGAGTCCTTCCCCCTTATGTTCCTGTCCCCTCCCCAGGTAGTGTGTGTCACAGCGCTCTGCTGCCGCTGGCCCGCCCCACGCTGGGCAGGACGCCGCACCCCTCCCCGGACCCGAAGCCCCTCTTCCCCTTCCACCTGCTGCCTCGATTCACCGACGTGAGTATACTGTCAGTAACCGCAGTTGTCACGGCAACAACACTCTCACAAACTGTGCCTTTAAAAAGATGAAAAATCTAATAAAAACAAATTGTTCACTTCATGATGCTGATTTCTGCTGCAAGTGGTTCAGTTTATTTCACGGCACAGTCTGTATTTTTCAACACACAGATGCATGAGCCAGCTGCCTACACCTTTCCAAATATATCACCTCTGATGCAGAGAGCTGTGACATTTCCACACAACCCGGGGGGGGGGGGGGGGGTGGGAGTGTATTCCTTGATGTTCCTCACACAGCGTCTCTTGGAGATGTCTGTCCCGGTGTTTGTGAAGGGTGAAAGAGAGGAGAAACAAAACCAAAGTTCAAGCCCCCGAAGAGAGGGTGGGCTGACGTTAACATGGAGATACTGCTTTATGACTCCATGTACTCCTGGCTGTATAATGCATGAAATAATATTCCAGCTCTGAATCAATGGTGTATAAGTAATCAGATTTACTAACAATACAAAATTAAATCTCGCACCTCTATTTGTTGCAAGAACATGCAGCCAAGAAAACATGATGTGTGTTTTTGTCCTCACACCTCGCTAATACCAAACCTATTACAAAACCTATTACAAAACCTAAACTTGACTTGATGTTGCTATGACTCATAGGCCCTTCACTGAGTCTAGCCAAATACTGAAGCAAAATGGACTTTTTGTGGCTCTGATGTTAACAAGGGAGATGTTAGAAAGACAAATTGAGTGTATAAAAGAAGAGAGGATGTTGTGGTAGTGAGGCTTCTAGTTTGCAGTTAATCTATTCTCTCCTTTGTCAAAAAGCCTTTCTGCCACCTAAGGAGGTTTGAGCTCCTTCCATTTGTCCTCTCTCTCCTGCCTTCGCATCCTTTCACTTTCTTGCATTTCTCTTGCTCTATCACCCTCTTCACTTCAGCACTTCAGAGTTTCAACCTCTCACCATCCTCTTTCCCACTTTCTCCACAATTTAAAATGTCTAAAATCACAAAAAGCCTACCCAGGTGCCCAATTTCTTAAAAAGTCTCACGCGACAATCTAACCGCTGACTCATAACCCCTCTCAGCAATTTATGACTCCCCTTTCTTTCACTTTGTTCCATTTCCACCTCCTCTCCCTCTCTGCATTTTCAAGAAAGAATTCTAAAAAAAGTGGCTAACATTTACAATGCTTGGAATAGAATTGGTTGCTTTTAACATAAGTTGGAAACGTATTGGCTGTGTCTATGACTGACATAAAGTGCAATGTTTAAATATACAGCGTGTCTCCTTTACAGAGGGCTGCAACCTTTATTCTGCTGACTTATTGTCTTGATTGGTTCATTAGAAAGTAGTGAAAATGAATATCGTCAATGAATTCCCACAGCCCAAATTATTGAATTTAATGTCAATCAGCCAAAACCACAACATAACATATTTATAACAATATATAACATATTTACTTGAACATTATACAGGACAAAGACAAGCAGTGTTGTTTTTGATTTATTAATATTTTGAAGGGCTCATTGCATGTGAGGAATGTTGACCTAAAAACATGTTAAAATGAAAATGTCCTTCAAAAATGATCCAAGACACACTGAATTGTTCTTTTATTTTACATGGCAATATGTTTTTGAAGGGATAAAGCGATGTGATTGACGCCAATCTCCATGAGGTAGATCCTCATAAATGTCATCTCAGTCCATCAATTGGCTAATTATTTCTGCTCCACTGTGTTTATTAAAGTACACCATTGACATTTTCCTCAGTTTCATTATTTAGATTTGAATATTGTTTCACGGAAACCAACATAAAGAAGCTTAATGTGGTTTATTCGGCGTACTGGTAAGCTTAGAATAATGTAAAGGGAACCTTCTCCCTGCTCTGCTTTGAACCTGTGGGTGTTCAGTAAGTGGGCACACAGCTGGACTCTGGCTGCCTGCCTTTCTCCTGGCATGTGTGTTTTTACATGTGTGTTGTGTGTGTGTCGCCCTCTGTTAAATGCTGCATTTGTTAAGTGCCCACATGGGTTGTCGTGGTTACAGGATTGCATGCATGTGTGTGTGTGTGGATGTTTGTCGTGAGCCAGTGATCCAAACTGGGACTGGCTAGTTGCCTTATAGTTTGACAGAATTGGAAACAAATAAGTGTTTTTGTTTCCAAGCAAATCATTTAAATAACAAAGAAGGAAAAGCAGCAGCTCGTTCATCATCAGCAGCCTGCCATTTTATCAGGCTTTGACGTCATGCTGTACACAGTGTAAATCCAGGAACATTCATCATTATGAATGTCGAGGCTCTTGACTGTGCTCCAGGTAAAAGTCTGCTTTACTTCACTCGACCATATGTTGCAGCAATAACTCAGTCCATGGAGCTGAGCTGGTGTGACGCGCCACCGCCTGATTAATACTGAAGCTTTGGTGAAAACAGGAAAACCAAGTCAGAAAGATACATAACTGCAGGGGGAGATGGGAGTTCTCCCCTAGATGGGAAGAATTTCCTACCTTTCTACACATTCTTAAACTTCTTTGTGTAACCCTCTGCTAAATTCCAAATTATAAAATGAACATGGAAATACAAAATATTAAAAGCAAGATTAATCTTAATAACATTTTAGTCTACTCCTTCCAGAATGTCCTATCTCCACATCCAAATCTAACATTAAGTGGGTTTGCTACAAAGTTATCTAACCTTGATTTGCAAATCCGGCATTTTTGAGAGAGTAAAATCCTACTTTTAGCTAATTTTGCTAAAGTTTGGCTGGTGACAAGAGGGCCAAGCAGGTTCATTTAACTTTTGCTAGTCTATATTTTCCTATATGTTTCGTTTTTAATCCAGCTAAGATAAAGGGCATGTTTCTTACCTTTATAAATAGTCAGTTTAAAATGTTTCGACTGAACCAAGGGTGATCCACATATCTGGTTTTTTGTTTTCAGTCAGTTGCTGAAAATAGTAAAATGATCATTGATATACGTTTTATAAATATAAGCATGTCGTTTTTTGTATAAAATTCAGTGTGGATGCATCAGCTCCACTTGCTCCATGGATCGAGCACCTAGGATGTGGTTAATTTCTTTATTTATATCATCCACTGAATGTACTGCTTATATTGCTTTTGATGTCACATCAAGCAGAGAGGGAATACAGAGAACGGAGACTGATCGTTTGGATGAAGTCAGGTGATGTAGTGTGTGTGTACAGAAGAAAGAAAAAAGAGGCAATGAGTAAGAAGGGCGAAATGACTTTGCCACAGGTGCAACTCCACCCCAGAGCGCGGAGTGGGAGTGAAGGGTAAGAGAGTGAGTCCTCTGGGAGGCAGGAAGGTGACTTTGATCAAACGGAGACGAGAGGGAGCAGCAGAGAGTTTAGAGGGGAACAGATGGAGGGGTGAAGTGAGGAATGTGTGGTGGAGGTCAGATGGTGCTACAGGAAGGAGCCTTACGGTCTGAGGAGGGAGGGAGACTTTCACTGATGTTATAATGTTCAGTTTCATTCAGAATAAACTACACTCTCATAACATGAATGTGGCCTTGTTGTTTTTCATGTGTGACATTGTATAATTCCATGTCATGGTCATCTAGTTAATTATTTCTTTCTTTTTATGATTTCATGGAGTGTATTTTCAATATAAGGATGCCCAAGAGAAATGAATGTGTTTGTTATGAGTGTGTTGCTTGAGTTTTACATAGACAAACAGCTGCAGGGAAGCAGAGCGAGAGATAAGAGAGCAGTGACTGCAGAGATGCATTCCAGTGTAGCAGAGTGATGATCAAAGGAAATGAACACACACACACACACACACACACACACACACACACACACACACACACACACACACACACACACACACACACACACACACACACACACACACACACACACACACACACACACACACACACTATACAAACTTCAAGAAAGATATTGTTGCATTTTGAAAGTTAGAAAAGAAAAGTAATTCATCTTGCCACAAAAGGAACAAGCGTAATCTCCAGTGCAGTGCTTCCGTAATATCAGGCCTTACAACAAAAGCTGGTTATGAAGCCTTTATCAACATATACATTTTTATGTCACCTTCAGCCAGATTTCCATAAAGTCTCCGTTGGTTGTGGCTGGTTATATGGCTCCCTACATTTCGTCACAAGTAATAGGTTTGTTTTGATCCACAAGGGCCAGTTGGGTTTTATTGCGTTGGGTACATGTTCACATTAAACCTCCCAGTAGGTAACGTCCAGAGGTGCACAGTGCTGTGTGGTCACACACACACACACACACACACACACACACACACAACACACACACACACACACACACACACACACACACACACACACACACACACACACACACACACACACACACACACACACACACACACACACACACACACACACACAGAGATATGGGAGGTTTACTTCCTGTTTACTCTCATACTGAAACCTAGTCTGGGGTGAAACGTCCATTATTTTCAAGTTAGTTGATTTTTGTGTGTTCATGTTACAGGATTACACAACACATGATTTTAAAACTATACTATTTATGTGAACTGTGACATGCTGTGTAGAAAGACCATCGGCAGGATCTGAGTATTTTCTTGGAAAAGATCTGGGTGAGGCTTTGGTTTCCAGCCTGAAGCACTCACCACCTGTAGGTTTGAAAGGTGCCTGTAAAATGTTTATAGTTTGTTCCATCATAGAGAGCAAAGGCCGTGGTCAGCTGGGATTCAGGGTGGTCAGGTTGGACATGTTTTTGTGTGGAAAATAAAATCATCAGAACCTTGAGCCTTTGACTATTTTTGCTGCTCATGCTCTGTGGTCTACTCAGTTTGCTGCATTTAGTTTTGTAAGTAGTAGTAGGTAGGCAATAAGTGAGCAAAGATAAAGTGGTTCTGACCAATGAAAGAATGGTTTGAATGGAGTTTGGAACATGTTGCAATGGTGGTTTGTCAGGTTTATGGTTTGTCATGTATTAAAATAAATTGGATATTCTTTGAATCCAAGCTAAATCCACGCTGATCAAAGCCTCATGTTCTGCACAATGGAGTAAACTACGAGTCTCTGACTGCCACCTTTCCCATAAACAGGTGTTTCACAGTCACTTTAAACCTGTTGGGGTGAGTCAAGGCCGAGCCTCAGTGCAGGGCGCGTCATTTACACACTCTGTTGTGTTCATGCGTGACTGGATGCTAGACAAGCTACTCCCTCATTCAGCTCCTTCTTACAACTCCCACCTCTAACCTGACATATTATAAATCTGTGTCTCTCTCGAAAGGGCGTACATGAACTTGCAGACAGCATGTCATTAACACCTCAAGTGGTCTATTTCACCTCCTAATAAGTCTTGCATTTCACAACCTTAAAGCAGTCATGACCCTGACGTTACGCTCTCCTTTGTTGCAGATGGATCACGTCCATAAAGTTCTGATTGGCCCCGGCTTCGGCCTAACATCGCCGCTGAAGAGGAAGCCCAGTCCCTGTGGAGTGTGTCGACTGTTCAACTCTGAGGTGGGCGTTGTCGTGTGGGAAACACTAACTTTGATTGTTTTTCTTTCAGGGTAATTTTATTTCTCACACACACCCTTACATGACAGTTGAACACTTACTAAGCCTGCCTTAGGTAAAACCGGCCCCATTTCATAACTGGGGGAGATGACACCTCTCACTTGTTTGACCTTTGCAATCATCACTCCTGTTTCTAATACAATACAAACTGATATAAAACACCTGTCAATCAAGAAGTTATAGCAGCTTCTACTTTGTGCTTGATCTACTGTAATGTTCTCATAGCTAAAACAATATCTGCAATGACTTTACACCTTCTTGTTTTGCTGTTGTGTGCACAGGCGCAGGCGTCTTCTCATTATGTTGGCACCAAGCACGCTAAAAGGCTGAAAACGATGGACGCCCCCGATTCAAAGATCAGGACCTCTGAACCAGTCGCCACGGAAACCACATTGCAAATTCTCCCATCAACCTGCTCGCAGCCCTCCAGCTCTGAAACAACATCAGGAGGTGTGTGTCTACATGCTCCTCCCCCGTGTGTGTGTGTGTGTGTGTGTGTGTGTGTGTGTGTGTGTGTGTGTGTGTGTGTGTGTGTGTGTGTGTGTGTGTGTGTGTGTGTGTGTGTGTGTGTGTGTGTGTGTTTGCAGGAATCAAATGTATGACAGCCTCGGATGTGGGGATGTAAAGCTCAAACCTCCTCTTCCCAGTCACGACTTTCATTCTTTGATGTGATAAAACCCCTGCTGCTTTTGGTATCACAGTGAACAGATTAAAGGTTGAGCATCATCCCGTGCTGCTTTTCCATATCTACATTTACTGACCTCTTGAATGGCCTCCAGAGATCGAAAAAACACATTCAATATTCTCACATGATGAGTGGGAACTCTATAGTGCATGTGAGGACATGTGTGCCAGGAAATGTGTTGATATTATGTGTGGAGGTGTGTCGAAGCAACATGTCTCTGTGTGCCAGTCCTGACTCCTGATGTGTTAGTCTTGCATGTGTGTGGGGGCGTTGCAGAAGGAAAATAATACATTTAGCTGCAAGCCGAAAAGCAAAACGACTGAAGAATTGTACTTGACATTACCCATGTGAGAGTGTATTTGAAGAGTGAGAGAATGAGTGATCATTTCCAGTTTGGATTTAGTTTCAGGGAGGTGGATGAGAAGGCATGCAAGCTTTTTGAAGAATACTCCAGCAAACTGCCTCTTCAAGTGGTGGGAGTCAATGGTAACAAACAGACACCCACTCAGGGAGGCAGAGCTAATCATTGTTATTAGCAAAGACTGAATCCTTAAATCAGCACGCATTCCTCCTGAGATTCTAACAAGTCAGTCTCACAAAAGATAATCGAGCCAAATCATTCCTATACAAAACTGTGAGTTTAAGTGCTGGCAGGCAGATCCTTGGGGAAATCATTGATTATTAGTGCGATTAGAGAGGTCGATAGAGCCCATAATCACCTGTAGCCTGGTGAGGTTTTATCTCTTTCTCTGAGCATGGCGTGAAATTGCTGCTTCTTATTGTAAGCAGTAAGAATACAAAAAAACGTTCAAGTTTGAATCATCAGACTTTCTCGTGCTCCACCTCGGTTTTTTTCATTCTCGTTCTCTTCTTTCTTTTTTATGCCATGGTTTATACCTGAGGCATTGGGTTTTATGGCTGTCTGTCGGTCTGTTTCTTCAAATTTGGCACAACATCCACTTTGACACAAAGATGAACTGATTCGATTTTTGTGTTTAAACAGGTTTTTGGCCACAACTCAAGAATTGATCAATTAGTGATGAGAGTTTCACACAGATGTATAATATGATAAAATTACGAAGTGATGAAATCTTCGACAGACATGGATGTGGTGTGCAAATGTACGGGCTGGCAGAGGTTGTTCTTGTTGTTTCTCACACTTCTTACACTGTCTTATTAATATCTTTATGTATCTTTTTGTTGGTTATTTCAGAACCCTCACCCCCAAACCCTACCTCAGAGATGGCACCGTCGAGCCGTGCCCCCGCTGAAACTGAGATTCCGCCTTCTGACCCCTCCCTGTCGCCCGGCCCTGCAACACTAGAGAAAGAGACACAAAGAGACGGAGAGATGGACGTGGCTCCAGAGGAGGAAACAGAAGAAGAGAAAGCCATACGTCTTCTCTACTGCTCCCTCTGCAAGGTGGCAGTGAACTCTGCCTCGCAGCTGCTGGCCCACAACACTGGTGAGAAACTGCAGCCGTAGTCAAGCTTAGCCTGCTCGTGCTATGTTTGATGCTGTATTGACGTGACTTTATATCTGCTCAGGCACTAAGCACAAAACAATGCTGGAGGCAAGGAGTGGGCATGGGGCCATCAAGTCTTTCCCGAGGACGGGGATCAAAACCAAGTTGGTCGTGCTGCCTGAGGTGTCAACGGGACTCCAGAACAAAACGTTCCACTGTGAGATCTGCGATGTGCACGTTAACTCAGAGACGCAGCTCAAACAGGTCAGCTGCTGATGTATTGTCAATAACAAAGCTCAGAGGGGTCTTATTACTGGTAAAAACTAACACAGTCCATTACAGACAGCAGTTAAGGCATCAGGTGAGATATTGGATGGGAAACTCCAAATGTCAGACATTCATTTTATTGTCATATATATTGCATTGACATCCCTGGATTAGTGAGGTCACGCTCACTTCATTCATACTTTTCAACTCAGTGCCAACACAACATACAGTACATTTGAAGAGGCAGGAAATAAGAAAAAACTCAATTCTGCTACACACATTTATATTTATTTCTTGGACTTTCATCTAATCTTTGGTTGGCAAAACATGTGAGAAGTTCAGAGGGGAACTGAAAACACCTGACAGACATCTGAAACTTGACAGAAGTTGCCACGTACACATTGCTTTTTCTCAAAAGGTCAGAACCCATAATATCTGGATCCATTGGTTTAATCTTCATCAATGTGTCATCATTTGTCTTTAAATGTAAAATCCAAACAGTAACTATAATGGTCAGATACATGTAGTGGAGTACAAATAGTACAACATTTGCCTAAAAATGTATTGGGGTAGATATATAAAGTAGCATTACATTGGAGTGTTTTGCGTCCTAAAGTATATGAAATTGTGCATGAATTAAAAGTAGAAAGACAAACTAACTTAGTGTAGTCGGGTTATTGCTCTAGCAGAATTACCACTGGGTGGGTGAGATACTGTCACTTCACATTTTTCACTGCCTAATTCCTCTTGTTGAAAAGGTCAGGTGTCGCACAGATCTGCCACACAGTTGAGTCACTCAAAGGCATCAACAGATTCTATATCACTTAACCCATCGCGCATTACAGCAAGTCAATTCAGTACTCTGCATATTTTATTCCAAATCACAGTGTCAACATCTCAAACCTGTCGCTGCAGGTGAGATAAAATCACAGATCTCTAGTGATAATGAGCACAAAGATACTCAATACTCTTTCAGCGAGCATCTGAATGTGATGTTACTGTAGCATCTCTGTTCGTGATGGGAATGCACAGTGTGGGTCTGACTGTGTGAAAGTAAACTTTGGCCAGGTGCTCATGCATATTTAGCAGTTCACCGCTGATTGCGTGGCCGTAGCCATCTGTTTGTGCCTGTCAATCAAATCAGAAAGACGCCCCCTCATGAATATTTTTTATCTCAAATTTTGAGCCAACAAAATACAGACATGCTGCCCAACATGTTCAAACTTTGATTAGGCTTTCTATAATTTCCTCTTCCCTGATTATTCAAATTTCCAGACAAACGGCAAATATGTTTTCTTCTTTTCTTAATGCTTTTGCCTGAGTGTGCCTGGTATTTATCTGCCTGTTTCTCTCCTTCATTCCAGCACATCAGCAGTAGGAGACACAAGGATAGAGCAGCAGGTAAACCAGCCAAGCCTAAATTCAGCCCTTATACTCCCACCCAGCGTCACCAGAGTTTCCAAGCAGTGAGTACCCTGCTGTTGATTCATATGCTTTCAGCCCTCCGCGTTGTGTTTGTGTGCACTAGTTGACTCCTCTTCCAAGAAGCTCCACTCCCTACTTCAAATGAGGCCAATCCTCAGGTCTCTGGTTCTTATGTCTGAAATGTTGCAACCCAATGACATTGTCTTGGGAGAAAAAGGCAGATTATGTTAGATAGAAGCGCATATTAATGGAAAGATTGTTTGGCAGTAACTGGGACAGCCCAGACCTCTACTGGCCAAGGAGCTGCTAAGACTTTATCTCCTTGTCCTTCTCTGGTTTCCTGCTCAATTTCCTTTAGAGAGAAAAAAAACAACCTTGATTGCAGCTTGTTTGTCTGTGTTTCCCCCCTCAGATTCATCTCGCTCTGTGTAAGAACCAAGACCTGACCAAACCTTTGGCCTCCTGTCTCTTACAACGTCAGCTCTCCGTTGCCACTGCTGCCGCCATGGCAGCGCTGCCCCCATTCCATCTCGGTCCTGCCACAAACTCAAGCCCCGCCCTGTTTCAGAGTCAGCCCCTCCCTCAGGCGCTGATGCATACGGCCCCTGGACCCATCTGTTCAACACACACAGCGCTGCTGTTCTCCCCATACTGACCCCGACGTCTCAATCAGCCCTGAACTGCAGCTAAAAGCAGACGTGAGACCTGAACAAGATGTGATATAAAACAGAGATACTGTGCTCTACAAACAACAGCTACTGTGGGTGTTAAGGACCAGGACTGAACATTATTTGCTCAGCCCAAACCATAAAGTGGACTGGGATAAAGTTAATACAAAAGCAGCGAAAGAGAGAGTGCTGTCTGATGTGAGTGTGTGTGAATATGTGTGAGTGAGTGCACGCACAGATATAGCCATCATTCACTATTTTAAGATGCTGATAATTACATGACAATCAATAAAAAGCCCTTTTAAAATGGACATTTTGATTCAGCATAAGAAAGGTGTTTATGGTAAACTTTAATGATGTCTATAAATGTGTGTTTGTGTGCAGAGTATGAATGGCAATGACAGCATAGTTGACTGAATATGGTTATTTTTTTCCAATAAAACTCAGTTGTGGATATTCATGTTTGATTCCAGAAAAGTATTTATTACAAATGTAATTCTCCATAACAGCCTTTTTTATTCAATAAATAAGTGCAAAGACCTTTCAATGTAAGCATTTAATAATACATCTTGGTTCTATTGAATGAGATGCATATGCTGTAACTAAAGTCTGTTAGTATTTACAGATTTTGCGTACGTGTTCAGCCATCACTGCCATCACCTCCGCCGACAGCAATAACTCTCTGCATTCAGACACAGACTAAAGCCCATTTCATCCTCTTAACCACTTAGCAGTACACAAAAGTCTATTCTTGGTCTTTATTCAGGTATTTCCCTAAAAAAATAAATGAAAAGGGCACATCCCTAGACCATATACTTGGCTTCAGAGGACTTTGAAGAGTTTATAAGAGTACAGATAAACCTTTGCTCTTTATCCCCTCCAGCTTCATTCTCTGAGATAAATCAAAGCTGGAATGTTCAACCTGACTTTATTGTCTGTGTACCTGATGATGTTTGCTACTCTGCAGCCTTGAGCGATGTTTTTCAAATTGATAAGTGGTTCAAAAGAATGTGTACTGCTGCTTTTCGGGCATTGTACAGAGATCATGTTCTGTTTCAGTTTCAACTGATGAGACTCCTAAGCTGATGTTAAGTGAATGATGGTTATTTTAACCTTTCTCCGAGGTCCAAGTCTTAACTTACTTAATCAGGACAAGGTGCTGAGTGATCGCTGCTTCTTCAACTTTCTACGACCTCTCAGACTATGTTTTTGTTTTAGTCTTTCATCAGCCAACTGACACTAAAGTGGAGTAATTAGTGAGATTTTTTGTTCTTCTGTCTCCAGCAGGCGCTCCAAAGAAAATAGTTCTACAGGCCAATTCAGATAAATATATTCGAATCAATCACGGCTCCTGATAATCCTAGTTGTCACAGCAGTCATTATCATCACTATTCCTTTTCAGGGGTGAGGATTGTGAACATCTGTGTGTGGGATGCTCTTTTCTCTGCAGTCTGTCAAGAATCCAGACCTTCTCTGTCCTCTTTACTCCTTCCCTCATTCTCTCTCCTTCCTTCACTGCCTTTTCTCTCTCACTTTTTGTCATCTTAATAATAATAATAATAATTTCAATTTTTATAGCGCCTTTCAAGAGACCCAAGGACGCTTCTTTCGTTATCTCACTTGACGTTCACGGTCTCTCTCTCCATCGCCTTTTCGTCTCTCACTCCTCTAGCCAATTCGTGGCAGGCATGCACACATAAACATATGTCAGCAACACAAAGCCTGACTTGGCATCCGGGGAATGTTTTATTCTCGGATACCTGGAGAGAGTACAAAGGTAAAACAAAGGCCTTTGCATGCCATGTGAGGGCAGGTCACAGAGAAAAAGAACGTAATGAGCTTTTGGCGTGGGAATGCAGCATTTTGACTTCTGTATATAATAAAACAAAGGTGGTCATGGATAAGTGCAATCAGATACACTTAGATGACTGTTGGAAAATAAATCTCTCTGAATATCATCTGGAAAATAAAACTTGAACTCCATTTGCAAGTACATTGTTGGCATTCATATCAATTAAGTTTATTCAGTCAGCTCAAATACATCACCAAAATGCCATTATTATACTTTAAACATAGGAGAAAAAAGTTAAGTTGAGGGACACAGCTTAGGTTGGTACTTCTACACTAAAATACCTGTAAAAGCTGCCTTGGTAGCTGTGTTTCTCTGGCTTTAGTGAGTAGACAAAAGATGAGTGGGCAGTGGGGAGCTGTGGCACAAGCACCATCTGTCTGTAACAGTTGTCCAGAGTTAAACTTTTAACAAACCAGTCAGTTCAAGTTCCTTCCTTAGCCATAGTTGCTCTTACAGCAGCAGACAGGATTTGTTAAGTCCCAGTGAGGCTTTCCTGCGGTATGGCATGGAGCAACAGATCAGTAAACGGAGGGGATGTAGGCTGTGAAGCAAATGGCTCAGCAGGGTTTTCAACAGCAGGCTGCAAGGCATAATGACCAAGCTGCACCCCACAGAGAGCTAAATGTGTGTCTGGGGCTCAGTGCTGCTGTTGTTGGGTTTCAAAGGGATGTTGCGGTTAAAGCTACAGTTTGTTGGCAATGCAGTCTGACATTGCTTTTACCCATAGAAGGAAAAATTGCCATATTAGGGTCCTCTACAATACTGAAATGCACTTTTTCCCCTTTAAATATCGTCATTTAGATGAATTGTGTTATGATGTGGGTTCGAAAAGGCTTTTTGTCTCCGACTTGCAAATGAGAAGAACAGCTCCCTAACACGAGGAACAGGACTCTTGCATCTTTGCTATCTTGCATCACAGATCATAAAGGGGATAACTTTATCCTGTTATCCTTGACATTTTTCATTGACGTGTGTGACCTCTATGAACGAAACACTAAAAAACATGCTAAAAAGGTAGCTGGCTACCTGGTTTTCTGCCCTACAGTTTCCCATGAAGTTTGATTAAACAAGACATATCTGATTTCCTGAGCTGCTTCTGTCTTACGGGTTGCTTTTAGGGGTTGATTAATCAACCTGTGTTATAATTTCATTATCATACATTTTTATTATGGCACCATACTCACATTTTCCATATTAAAAAGTAGGGCTGTATATTTTTGGCCACAGCTGAAGCGAGTGCACAGATTAGAGCTAATTCTTTTCATCTGGTAGAAAAGCAGATGATCTTTTCATTGGCCAGTCAGACCGTCTGGCTAGTGATGAGTGAGCTAGAGAAGTGACTGGACAGAGATCAGTTTGTTATCTCTTATATCAGTGCATCACTTCAGATAAATAGATTAAAAAAGCAAAGTATTCATCTGTGCTGATGGTCGCCGGCATCTGTTCTTTGTATCCACGTGTGCCCTAATTTGACATTGCTCTCTTGATTTTCATTTCAATTAGTCGCTCTTATTCTGTCCTTTTGCCATACCTGTGATAATATGTTTCTCTCCCGGCGTCTGACACGTGAATAGTAAGGGGTGGCATAAAATAACTGTTTGATGGATTTGTCCATTAAAGCAAGCTGAGCTAACACCTGTGGTGGACTCACACAAAACAATCACTGAATATTTCCCTGCTTTGAGGGAACAGCTGCAACACTTGCATTTGAGACAGAAAAATACACCTTTTACACAAATAGAAGTGATCTTATTATTCAAACAGTGAGTCATTACAGGTCTGTAGCCCACTTGGTAACAGAACACTTATACCTCACACCTACAAGACTTTAAAAAAGCATGATGTCAGCTGCAGGTTAAATACGTCTATAACATTGTGTGTATAGTTTGTAATAAAGCTTAACGGCTACTGATACATACTTGCATTGGAAAAAAAAAACATTGAGAACATATAAAGCATCAAACATTTGAGAAAAGTCAGCTAAATCAAGAACTCGAGCTCATGGATCCTGAAAGTTCACAGCTGAGGCGCCCTGCTGAAGTAATTTGTTTTCAGGGTGAGACTGACAACACCCAAGCTTTACCATAAGCCCCTCCTGTAGCCTTATGCCATTCAGTTGGCCGTCATGGCTTTCTTGGATCATCACTGACAGAAGGTCCTAATGGATGTTACATTAGCTGCAGTGGTTTGCAGGGAAGGTGGGAGTTTCTTCCCAGCACCCTGCCAAATAAGACATGCCTGTTTGACTTTGGAAAGTAAATGAGATCATGAAGAGGTATGCTTTACATTACATTCCAATATTTATAGAACATTTAGGGTAGTAATGGGTACTTAAGTACTTATGGCATTGAAGTAAAGAGCTTTAGGAAAATGTTGTATATGCATGAAGAAGAAATATCTATACTTGTAAGCACTATGCACAATGGTGGGGGGGACAACATAGGAGCCTTACCCTGGAGTATTGTCAAGACCAGACTGTATAGGCTATAGCCTATTGGCCAAACATACTAGCTCAAAAATAAAAAGTTACATTCATCTAATAATTGACTTGCTTTCTGAGCTCCTATGCAATCTAATTTTGAAAGGGCCACACGAGTTTCAGAAAACCCTCAAGGAATATAACTCAAACTTTGCTTGTCATAGGGCTTTTAGATTAACACAGTTATCAGCTCTCTATCCACGTGCAGCAAAGCACTTTAGAGCACTGCTCCAGCTCTTATCTTCACCAGTCAATTATAAATACCCAATTAGTCATTTTTCATTGGCTGAATGAACCTGACCCTTGATGAGGGCTAATCCAATTTTCTTTTTCTTTTTTAGATTTGTACTATGCCTCCATTTTCCCAGTGGTTTGCTTTGTTTGCCTCCCACAATACAAGCAGACATACAGGCAAAAAGGTGAAAAGATGCCGATTAAGACGGCAATAATTATACTAGGTATTCGGTGTGCTGCTGTGTTGTGGTCTGACGTTACTGTTTAGTCACAAATTATCAAAATATGCAGACGAATAATGAATACCAAATCAGTTACAGCTCCTCATCAAGGACATGTACATCAAGTATTGCTATCATGGATGAATAATAAGAACGGTTGCTATCCATTGGCGCCACCTTGTGAACAGTAGTTTCATGTGACGGAAGTGACGTTGTCTCAAATTCTGACCAATCAACAGCCCCGACTCAAAATTCGAACGTCAACTCGCGTCAAGCAACGCTGTTTTAAAATGGAATAACTGTTTTATTTATACCTTACACATTTTTTGAAGCGATAGTTAACATTCACAAACCGCCTGGTGATATACTCGTGCTGGTAAGTCCAACTTTACGGCACACTGCAGACGGCTTGTTGGATAACGTGAACGGTAAATGTCGAGCTAACGTAGCTAGCATGTTAGCCTAGTCCTTTGTTTTGGTGCATAATATCACTGCGCTACGATGTTGATATGTTTGATAAAGTAAACACATTTTTAACTAATCAAAAATCCCAAGCAATGGCCAGAGAACGGGCCCAGAAGAAGTCCTTTCAGCAGAGTCTGGAGGACATTAAGGAGAAGATGAAGGAAAAGAGAAACAAACGGCTGGAGAGTGCCTCAGCTCCCAACAGAGGAAGGTTAAAGAAAAACAACACAAACAGTGGTACGGAAACAAGGCTTATATTGAATGTCAGCAATCAAATTTGTGATAAATGTGGTACATAGATGTAGATAAATATGTTGACATGCTGGTGAAGTATAAAACATCCATCCAATGTTTTCTTCTAGTGGTTCAATCTGCCAGCACCCTCCTGCTCGGGGTCCAGCAGAACAACAAGCTGCTGGCAGTAGCTCTGCAAGCTGAAAAGGAAAAGCTGGGTCATGCTAATGTAGTGATCCTGCAGCTGAAGGGGGAGCGACAGGCCCTGTTCCTTCACCTCATTCTGCTCAAGAGGAAGCTCAAAGAACAGGAAGCTGCAGCTTCAGAGGTACACCTAGACACTTGTTGATAAACTGTTCCTGTCTTTTAATTGTTGTAATGCTTGATGCCCTTTGAAACAAAAAATATAATTTCATTCTCATTGATTTAGACTTCAACCGTTGCTGAAACCAAGTACCATGTGGATTCACCAGGGTAAGCTTTTTTTAAACACAAATTATTTGACAAAACTGTATTTTATCCTGAGTTTTATGAATGATCGGGATATTTTACCTCTTGATTTACAGGAGAAAGCGGAGCAGCCAGAACCTTGAAAAGCCCAGTGTGGTTAAAGCCTCACCACTTTGTACAGGTATATACACACTACTTCTACTAAATACTACTATTACTACTCTACTCTTTAATATAATAACAATGGTAAGGATTGGCCATAATTGTTGACTTATTGTCAGTTGAGTTCTTTTATACCATTTTGTTCATTAAGTTGTGGAAGCATTCTGCCATGAGTGTTATCCGCAGGCAACAAAACATATTGAAATATTGGTTGTTCTTCAGATCACCTAGTTTACTATTTATTTAAAAAGTACTTGTGCTCATTATGACACTGATAGCTATAGCTCCAAAATCAGATCTTGACATCCCTAGTTGTAATGATATTGTTGATTGTGTCCTTTTCTTCGCAGACCCTCGGCCCTCTAAGTGGAATGCACAATCTGAAAGTCAGGTTACCTTGCCATCTTCGGTAGTTGTGAGGCGAGGCCATGCGGATAGAGCAAGAAGGAGGAGGTCTGAGTGTGTGCAAGAAAACTTGTCCCACGTTGCAGGCTTGGATACTTTGATTGCAAGTCCAATTCGCAGTGATGTTGAAAATACAAATCAGCCACAGCACGAACCAGAGCCAGATTTAGCGGACCCCGTTGACACTGTGGAGTTTCAGCATTCTACTCCTGAACCTGTCCCACCAAAGGAAAACAACCAGCAGCGTCAAGGCAGAAAAAGAGCTCAGCAGACGCCCTCCACAAAACCAGAACCTGCTGCACAGAAACCAGAGAGAGGCCGCAAAGCAGACCGGGCCCCGTTAAAGAAACCTTGGGACAACCCCAAACCCAGAACTCGCTCCAAGAGTCGGGACCGGTCAGCAACAAGGGCCAAAACAGGACCTCTGTCACAAGGGAATAAGCTCAACACCTCACTGGGATTTAACGACACGTTTGACTTCGACTGTGAAGAGGCGGTTCATGTCACACCGTTCAAGGCCAAGGCCGGGGACAACCAGTCGTCCACGCCTGTCGGGGAGGAGACTCCACAAACTGAAGCTCTACCTATGGTTTCCAAACAGGATGAGTCCAGCTCTTCTTCGTCATCTTCTGAATCAGAGGACAGCCTTTATGTCCCTGAGAAGACCAAACGGAGACAGCCTTCACCTGACAAGTCCAAAAAGATTACCACTCGAAGAGGGCGGGCCTCTGAAGTCATCAGGCAGAAGAAAAGCGTCCCTTTGCAACAGGAGATCTCTGGTAAGTGTCAAGTTTTGTGGTTCTTTAAAAAGTTCAAATCAGGACTTGATCGGTTAATGAATTGGTTTTCAATGGAATCCCTTCGAGATGAAATAATATATTGAGATATAAACCAACTGAACTACAACTGGCAGCAAGCTTATCCAACCTTTGAGCTCCATCACCCCAAAATACAATATTTCATTCAGCTCAGGACAAGGTTTTCTCTGAATAATAATTGTGGAGAGTAATGTGTAAAGGTCTAGTTACAACCCGTTAAACAGCAGTGTGTCATTCCTTAAGCTTTATTGATCAACTCCTTCGTACTTATACACATCATTCTGCTTATGGGAATACCCTCGTGTAGTTAAATCAGACTATTATCTTAATTTGATTACTTTGTTTTTGTGTGCATGCAAGTAAGTGTAAACATAGTCAGTGTTTTCACTGTCACGTTCATATTGCACTAAAGTTCTTAATTACAAGAGAAAACTCTTCGTACTCCTTGCGTTTGTATTTATTCACACAGGAGGACAAACAAGCCTTTGCAACATGCTTATTTCACATGGACAACCTATTTATTTAATTACTAAAATAAATGTTACATATGAAATTAGCTATATCGAGTTAAAACATTTGGGAGTTATTGCTGAGCCCTTGTTATATTTTAACCATTTATTTCATTGTTTTGTGTTTTTAGTTTTCAGAGACGAGGCTGCAGAGCCTGAGGTGGAAGAAGCTCCTCACTCCCCTGACTGCAGCTTATTTAACAGCCCTGACCCAGCCATCTTGAGACAGGAAAATAACCGTGGTGAGTAAATGTCTGCTTTGTGTATCCTATTGTTATAGTGCTCATCAACAAGGTGCTGCTCAGTCACTGCCATACTCCCGTCATATTAATGAATGTTGTTCGGCAGCAACTCGATGCATCTCATGACATCACATAGTAAAACAAATGTATACCTTTTTTAGTATTTGCTTTCGTGCAGCCCAAAAATGTAGCACAATGTTATGTTCTTCTTTTGTCTCCTAATGACCTTACTGTGTGATATCCTCTGAGACCTATAATAAAGACATTGGTTGAGCAGTTGTTGAATGGCTCCTTTTTGTGCTCGAGTGTCTGTTTCTGCTGATCATAATTCCTGAAGTAAAGATGTGTGTTTTTGTTCGTGTTGATTTTTCAGAACCTCTCCCAGGGGTTAGTGAGAAGGATTGTTTGCCGTCTGTCAGCCCTCTGGTTAAAGAGGAGATGAAGAGGATAAACAGCGTCCTGTCCAGTTTTGGAGATTCCTCCGGGGAAGGTGCTCCTCTTTTACCCCACACAACGCTCAAGACATGCAAGAAGCGTACGTATTGTCACTGAGTTGCTTTGAGAATTGAAATCTTAATCACATGGGCACTTGAGAGGCTTGGCCAGATCACATTTTCACTCAACTGTCACTTCTTGTTGAATCAGCTCCTGTGTACTTTTATCTTTATCTGTTCACTGGTGTGTGCACATGAGTACCTTCTGTGTTTTCTTCTCTTGCTTCTGGATCACGTCTAACTTCACAGTTTCTACAGGTGGGCTTGGTGTAAGGACAGCAGGGCGGGGCTTGAGTCTGTGTGATGTGACCAATATGTCCCCTGCAGCCTATCGCCCGTTCTCCAGGATCTCCGAGGCCCTCTGCTCCACTCCTGTTCCTGCTCCTGCTCGCAAGAGGCGCTGCACCATCGTCGTGGACTACAAGGAACCCACCATAAGTGGGTAAGTTCACATATGGATGCTTCCCTTTCTCTAACTGATTCATTGATTTCATTTATGTTCACATTTTACTGTATGGATGCTCAACTGTATCGTTGTCATCTTGACAGGAAACTTCGGCGCGGAGATAAGTTCACCGACCTGCAGTTCCTCCGCTCTCCTATTTTCAAGCAGAAGTCTCGCAGGACGTCTGTGCCGAAGTCAAGGAATTCAAATAATGGCCAGTTGAGAAATGCAATGGGTCATTTGTTGAATTAATAGCTTTCACAAGTGATCATTTGGTTTTTCCCTCAAGGTTATTTCTTTACTGTGATCATTTTCAGATGTTATTTTATTGACTTTGTTTGCTGCAAAACAAAACACATTTTAAATTCTACTTTTAATCTCTAGCTAAATGTATTAATGGCTTTTTTATAATGATTTTTATTAAAACATCCTGATTAAAGTAATATTATACTGTGACCGTGTTAAGGCATTTTATAACATACTGTCAAATGAACTTTGCATGTGTACATACTATACTATGACATTTTAAGTTAACTTACGAAATACTGTGAGCTTTTTTTCAGAATTTTATGACAGACTACACAATGTATTTTTTCTGAATTGTATGTCATACTATACTACGGGATTTTATTTTACAACTATGACCTTTTAAATGAACTTACGATAACTATACTACGGCAACTATACTATGAATTTTACTATTACTATTAAACTATGCTGTAAACCATCATCACTGCGATCATTTAGCATTGTTAAACATTTATTACATTAAAATGTGTTCCTGATGTGACCTGTTAGAATCCAGTGGAAAGAGGTATGAAAAAGGTATTACATTTAACTTCAGGATTGTTGCAGAAACAGTTAGTGAATGAGATGAGCTTTGAAAAACTACAAACACTAAATTAGCCTCACTTCTGTTTTATTCAGTCTATAAAATAGGCTAATACTATGTCATTAAAACCAGTCGTACAAAGAGCATGAAATCATTCTTTTCCAGACATCTTACAAAATGTATTTTTTTCCTAAAGTTTGAAAAGTACAAACACCTTTTTACAAAACAGCAAAACTACATAGTATTGCACAATCTTTTCATTTATCTCCAAAGTATAAAGTTATTAATCTCCATCTGCATGACAAAAAATAAGAGAGAATAAATTAAGACCTTGTCTTAAGCATAATTCTTTTAAATTACAGAACATAAATAAGAATAAACTCTAGATCATTGAATTAGTCCTTTGTCAACAGCGTTAATTCAAATGTAAAACCAATTCTGAAGAAAAGACAATGCTGTTATTTATGTTAACTAATACTTGGAAAAATAAAAGTGCAATTCGATAGTCAAACTGCCCTAAGCGGCTTATTGGGAAAAGAAGATTGTTTTTTTTTGTTCTGAAACAGAAAATATATGATATATACACATTTAAAATATACAGTGGGAATAAGTGCTTTCAAATAATTGAACTCTGTACACATTTAAAGTATGTATCCCTCTTTTGGCAGGATGAACTCAGCACACAGAAAAACGTTGACCTTTATAACGCTCTGCACAAGAACCAAGTTAAAACTGACAGGAAAACCTGAAGTCTCAGTCACTTTCCTCACAGGAAACACTTGTGTTATGACTTAATACAATGTAGGTGTGGTCGCTGCTCTTAAGAACTCTACCTGAGTCAACTGAGAGGAGGAGGCAGACGCCCAAAAAGGCAGGGGGTGAAAGTATGAAAAAGAAAATAGAGAAGAGATGAAGGGCGACAAAGTAAGGTGTACGGTGAATCTCCAATCAGCTGTCATCCTGTGTTACCTTCCAACGTCTAAGACAGAAATAATAACGGAAGTTTTCTGCCCTGTTCAATATGTATCACCTTCCTCTGCCCTGTTTTTCCATGGGATGTGTGATGAAATATGAAGACACAGTTCTCTTGCTTGATGTCAGCAACAGTCCCGCAGGCCTTCAAAAAGGGCCTTCCCTCGTGGATTATCCTTCAGTGTTTATATCAGTCAAAGCTACTGATTCAGGATCCGGCCCAGCATGCATTGTACATTTGAAGAGTGCTGATCCGAGACCCCTTTGCACCTTTAACATGAAGATATGTGTTTCTGAAACGTCACCCCTCCAGATCAGTAGTCCTATTCTTAATTTCTCCATGCACATACCCATGACCTAACGTTAACCCTTCATAGTCTGAGTCTGTGTTCTGTGAAGGCGAGGAAAAGCCTATTTTTTCCTCTCCTCTACTTCTCGATGAGGCCTGCTTCTTTGATCTTGGTGTAGAAGAATTTCTCCAGTAGGTTGGCACACTTGTAGTACTCGCTCTCTGGAGGGTTGTATTCACGACAGTTGGTGAAGATGCGCTGCATGTCGGCCATGAACAACTTGCGTGTCATGTAGTACCGGCTCTTCAGACGCTCGCTCATTGTCTTAAGATCTGTGAGGAGAAAAAGAGTGAAGTCCACCATTTATACTACTTTCAATGTTGACTGTCAGAAGCTGAATATGTACGCTACCAAACCTATAGCTCTTCTCTTTTTAACACATAACAAACTTTATATTTTCTCTAGTACCACTTGGGCAGCAACTATGAATGAAATCAATAGTGTGCTAAATGTGTTGTCAGGAGATCAGTTTCTATTCTACAAATAAATGCACTGTGTAACTGTTGAATAGTGCATACGATTTTCAAATGGACAAAAAAATGATGATGCACGAATACTATAAAAATATGAAATGTTAAGTCTCCTCGAGAGGAGACTGACCTTCAGCCAGAACACACATCCTACAATCCCAGCATGCATCTGAACTGCTGATGTGTCCTTGAACATCATCTGCAATGACTTACCCCTTACTATTTTCTTCTATGATTACATTTTTCTGTAAAGAATAAAGTCAGTCTATTAGCGAGTGTGTTCCAATGATATATGCTGTGTTCATACCCATGGGGAAGCGAATGACTTGGTAGTACCCAGGTGCCTCTGTTTTTTTCACCGGCTCCATGAAAGGCCAGGCGTTCGGGTGACTCTGAGACATAAAGAACAGTCGGATAAGAATTAAGAGTGTCTTTATTTATTATAAAACAGATCTATGGGCTCTATAAATACAGTGAAAGTATCTATGTGCTTAATATGCAGTACGGAAACGGTTCCTTTAAACAAGCTGTCAGGGCTACCGTAAGGCTCTATGATTTTGATTTAAAATGAAATAATTTACAGGTAGGTGTCCCTACAGTGTCATCACAGTTATTCCTGACGGCAATGCCGCTGGAGAGATGCCTCAGATGTGGGAGACAAGTAAACACTGACCAACCAGACACAGGGACATTTTCGAGATTGGTTTACAGAAACAGCTGCTGAGCTGATTCTTTCTTTCTTTCTCAAACACTAAAGTATGGTAATATATATGTTTCTTTTAAAGTAACTGTTGCTCACCTTCACATGTTGGAGGATGGTTTTCAGAGTGCTGTACAATTGATCTGGGTCCTTCAGTTCCTTCCTAAAGTCATATAAGAAACAGCACCAACATTACATTTTGAAGTTGAAGGCACTCTGCTAGGTTAAACTCTTGTACAGCAGAGACAAACTCACCCTTTTCCTATAGGCTTCCAGCCAGTTTCACCTGTTGATATAAAAGAAACTCAAATTAACCTCCAATATCCTACTGAAAAAGATTAGATAATAGTGTTGAAAAAGATAAACTATATGCTGTAAAGTCAATATTGTAAATAACATACGTATGCCGGGAATGCTCTCGATGGGAATCTGCCGGACTCCTTCCTTAAAACAGGAAAGCCCCGGATAGACCTTTCTGATCTGAGCCTGCTTCCTCTCTATCAGCTTCTTGATGATCTGAGGGAGACAAATAATGCGAAACGATAGTGATTGCAGGAGAAAAAAAGAAAAAAAATAAGCCGTTTAAACAGTTTAAAATGTAAAAACACACACCTCCTTCTGCTTCTTGATGATGACGGAAAACTCTGTGTAGGGAATGCTGGGGTTGAGTTCACAGCCCATGAGCGTGGCTCCTTCATAGTCTTTGATGTAGCCCACATATTTGGCCTTGGGAACCTTGATATCCTTTGAGAAACCCTGAGAGACAGAAGATTTATTTTTCTTTAACCTGTACATACACTGTAATATACCATTACAAAAATAAGCCCGATAAAAAGCTTTAATTTAAACTATTTCATTAAAAACTAAATCATTAAGAGACTTTCAAGACCAAAAAGTAAAAGTAAGTGAAAAGCAGTAAAAATGCTGCCAAGTGCTAGTTAATTACTTTTAGTAATACATGTCAGTATTAGAGTAAAAAAAGGCAGATTCTCAAGTATCAAAAAAGCAAAGTTCATTATATGTTCAGTAAAATAATTTGTATGTTTTCTTGTTTGTTTTTGCAGGTCATGTTAAGGTTTTTATGTACGCACGGTGAAGAGGATCAGGAGGGAAGAGGGAGGGAGAATATTGCATTTTATGACTAAAACTATATTTGTATTTAAAGCATGTTACACTTTAATGGACATCACATGTTACCTGTTTCTTGAAATAGCCGATGGCGTACTCATCAGCATACGTGAGGAAGTTGAGGATGTCGTGCTTTATGTGATATTCCTTCAGGTGGTTCATTAAATGGGTTCCATATCCCTTCAGAAAACACAGCCAAAAAAGGGAAGAGTTCAAACTGAACCATCACACAGAGTGAGTTCACCGAGCTGACAGACAGGAAGTGCTCTCACCTTGACCTGTTCGTTGGAGGTCACGGCACAAAAGACGATCTCCGTAAAGCCCTGCGATGGGAACATTCGGAAGCAGATCCCTCCGATCACACGGCCATCTTTGATGAGAGAGAGCGTCTTGTGCTTCCTGTCAAAAATAAAGAGATGAATTTCAGTCAGAATGTACCTCCACTTCATCTCTAAATGGGATGAGTGGTGATAAAGTACGGTGGCACCCACGGATCAAACACCAGCCGTGTGATGTATTCCTTGGGCATGCGTGGCAGCTGGTGAGAGAACACATTCTGGAGGCCGACGAGCCACATCAAGATCCTCTTATTGGGCTTCTGGTTGAGGGAGTTCCCGATAACGTGGAATTCAATCACCCCCCTGCGCTCCTCGTGACGGGCAGCTTCATCGCGTGCAGAGTGAGCCGACAGCAGACTGGTCTGCACATGGAGGAAGGGATAAAGTATTATGATCACCTTGTTCTTATCATCGAATGTGAAGATAAACACACACAGCACTGTTTACTACTTCATAAAACTATTACTGACACTATCTGGGTCTCACAAGTGGATCATTGACAGTATTAAACATGACCGGCAGTTAAATGTCATACAGTTGTTTAAATGTCATAGAGATCTATAACCTATCGTGCCTAGTGAAGAACATCTTTTTTCTCAATTAACGTATATGGAGTTCAGCAACATACTTTGGGAAGATATTTTTTAAGCTCATTTGTTACCTCTGGAACAGCGGCAGGGTCTGTGATTGTTGCCATGACTTCATTGATGAGCTCCATGGGGATGTCCCCCACCACCCTGGGGCGCTTGTTTTCCTCATGGGGGAGAGGCTCTGAAGGTTTACGTTTCTCTCCAACTGTGATAAAGTATGTAAGCAGAGGAAGGTACTTGTGTTAAACTTCTATATTTGCACTTGTTTCACTTTGTATTGCAACTGCTGAAAAGCCATTTCCCTTGAGACTAATAAAGTTTTATCTTATCTTGTCTATCTAATTACATGTCTCTTAAACACAGTCTCAGCAGTTAAGTAGTGTATCTATATCCAGATAAGATGTGACCTCGCATTTAAGGTGAGCTTACCCTGAGTTCATCACTTCTGTTTCTTTATACAGCTTAAAGGCCAACATTCAAATAAGTGTTTGAGGAAATGTGTTTGCTGCACTTTTGGGACATTGTATTTTAAATCAAAATTCTAGTCAGATGGCCAATACATATCTCTCTTAGCTAGAGGACTCAGGTGCATATGTCATGACAATAAATGTAAAACATTAGTGCTCACTGTTTTCTCACAGATGTTTTGTAATAATGTGGAATAATTGTAACCTTATGAGTAATAACAGGTTTGACCGTCATACCTGGGTTTGGCTCCAGTACGGAGGCGGTTTTCCTGGCAGGACTGACGCTGCCGCAGGTGGATGGGTCCACTGACACAGGGCTGGGGCTGTAGTACAGCGGCCTGGCCACAGGAGGCGCACTGATAACTACAGAAAGGACATCTAGTGTCACAACATGTTTTTATGATCATATTCTTAAATGTTGTTTCTTACACTCCCAACATCAAGGTGTGTGATGTTGTGTGAGTGTGTGTGCTACCTGTGTGGATAGGGATCAGCCCTCCTGACGCTCCTGCCAAAAAGTCTTGGCTCCAGATTGGAGAGCTATGGCTGTACACCTCCTCCTCCAGCATAGACAGGAACCTGAGCCAAACAAAACAACTATATTAAAAAGGCTGCCGGGCATGCATACATACATGAAAGTGGTAACTGTGTAGCTTTATACTGGAAACATGCATGCATGTGTAGTGTAAGTTTCTCTGCTGTACCGCTAATTATAGGTTAGTCTGAATATATAATTAAGTTTGTGGTATATGCCTTTGGCATTTTAGAGTTTCTAAATGTTTGTTTATCTTACTTGGGAAAGTGTGTGAGAATGAGTGTGCGTTTCTCAGGTGGCAGCTTGTCCTTTTCCTGTCTGGCCTGCTCCAGCAGCTGCTTTCTCATCACAGTGAACACCGATCGCACAAGCGTCCGTCCGAAGATCTGGGTGGTCTCGTACCGGGGTAGACTGTCGCAGAACTGAGGCACGTTGCAGTAGCAGAGCCATCTACAATGAGCACAACACAGAAATAACTGGCTGTAAACAAGTGTATGTTGACAGGAAATCTGGCAGGACGTCTGGCAGTGCTGCTACCTGGTGTAGTTGGCTTTGTATCCCGCAGCGTCATCATTGGGAACCCTCTGCCGCCTCTGGGACGGCGTCTCCAGCTGCCAGTAGTTGATCTGGTTGAGAAACATCTTGGCCAGCTCCATTATCGTTTGACGTTCCTTTGATGGCAGGTGGCTGAATTTGTACTGGACGAAGTTATTCACCCCCTATTTGGAAAGAGAAGATACTTGATTAAGTACTTGATTTGCGTTGATTAACGCAAACACAAGAAGGTTATATTTCAGTTGATTTACAGGATAAACCCTTGATTACCTGTTCAATGCTAGGTTTTTCAAACGGAGGACTCTCCTGTGCTTCTAACATTGGCTTTCCCATCTGTAGGATTGATTTCCTCAACAGCTGAAAAATAAGCAGTATTTTAACATGGAGGATGTTAACATGTACACAATGCTGGTTGTAAAATCACGTTTTTATATGTTTGGATTGTAAAAGCGGAGACTTACTTTGAAAAGGGAAAAGTAGACCTGTTTAGTGTCAGCATCCTCCTCTTTGTGAACACATGTGTAGAGGTATTCCACATCCAGGACTATACCTAGAAGTCGGTTCATTTCCTCCTCGGAAACATTTTCTAGATGGGTCACATGATCACCTAGGAAAGAAAGAATAAACCTTAAAATGGTATAGCCAAAACAGCTGATTATAATATAGTATCAATATCAGCTGTATGTTTAATTACTAGACTGGCTGACATACCCAAGGTGTGAGAACAACTCCGGCAAGGCTCCTGCAGGTTGACTGTGCTGGACGGCTGGTCAGTTGGCGGGGGCGTAGGAGGGGGGTTCTGACTCTTCCAGCCGTTACACTTACAGGCTCCCTCTGCCTAGGAAAAACAAGCAGGAGAACAGATCAGGACCAACCTACTTTATTTAATTAACCACCTTTTTATCTGTGAAACACATAATTCATACTTGCTGTTGATGCAAGTTGAAGTGATCTTTTAAGAAAAAACTTTAGGTAGAGTGGCTGATTTCAGTCACTCGCACACTTTAACCGCTTTTTAGTCAGTGCCGAATTATAATTATAATTTCTTATATATATATTTTTTTATAAATGGGCCAAAGCAGCATTAACATATATTTAAGAGCATCTTTGGCCTGTCAGCGTCAGCTGGAGCTGCCGCACTGAGCATGCGCATTGAAACAAAAACAAACTCCGCCCCTTCAGCAGCTGTCACCCTGTCAAAACAAAGACCCCGTCCCACTCTGCGGAAGATTTACTGCATAAAACCAATAAAATACTGTCTATTTAACACCGTGCGTTGACAGACGGCACGGAGACACAGTATCGTTTCCCGTGTAACGCCACAGACCGCGCACGAGCACAAACAGTGGGATCATGCAGCCATTCTGCACACAGCCAGCTACTCCCAAGTAACAGCGCCAAGCCAATGTTTACGTTCACCGACCCCCCACCTAGACAGAAATATAGTAACATTACACATCCAGCGGAAAGCTTGCACCTGAGAGGCCTCTGCTTAAGAGTTCTGCAGAAATAACGCTTTCATTAACTATATTATTAATATCCCTCTTTCAATAATCGGTCTGTGCATGCAAAATGAAAAAAATGAAGTGCGGCAATGGCTTCCTTTGCTGCGCTTGCATTTTGTAAACTATTGCAACCAAACCCAGGAAATAGGATTAATTAAGAATAAATCCATCAAACCAGTGTTTTAAGAGTCAGGCATCTGCAGGTATCGCTTACTTTGCAGGATGAATAAACTCCGAGTTTTTCCAGTTTCTTCGGCCGAGGTGAAGAGCGGAGTTGCGCCTTCTTTACGGCGATACGTGCGGATCCTCCAGCGGCGCCCTCCGTCCCCCCGGCTCCCGGAGCGGCCGGGACCAGGCCCGCCGCCCCGATGGCCGGCGAACCTTGCTGAATCCCAGCGCTGTCGGCCATGATTCACACGGACCCCCGACGGGACCCCCGGCCCGGGTTATATTCGCTCTGCCGTCCTCTCTATTCCACAAGCGGAGGATCAGACATGGCGCTCATCCTTATTTTTTAATTTCTCACTGTAGGCCCATTTTCCTCCGCTAGGGGACTCAAGTGGGATAGGCCAAATTCACTACAATTCAGAGGATAGGTCACAAAATGCACCCGTTTGTAGCAAATGTTCAAGGTCAAACTTAATAGGAAAAATGTGGCTTACCATGCTGAGCCATATCTGAGCACAGTGACTAGTGAACCGTGTTTATTCAAGGCTTGCATACAGGAATTAGTCAAATTAATAGAAAAACCCTATATCAATAGAACATTAAAACGACCTATATGGGTAGGGATGGATGAGAGTTAAACTGTATGTCATAACCTATAAAATAACTAACATGACGTGTTTTTTTGGGGGGGGGGGGAGTTCGACACACACACAAAGTCTGATGACAATAATAAATGATCAAATTGATTTCAGTATTTATTTGGTCATTACATAACAGTACTGTAAAATGCTTGCATTTAAAGGTTCTCGGGTGCAATTAAGTGTTAATGAAAAAATAAAACATACAATTTACATCCTTATTATGTTTTAATTCATTTATTTATGAATGACCATCGTGCCAGCTGATAGTTGTAACACGTTTCCTACAATATCTTCACAAGACTACTGAGATGTTAAAAAGGCAGACAGTTGGTTAATCAAACTGTTTTGTATTAGTTCTGCCTTCTCTGGAGCTTTTACAACCAGCGTTTCTGGAAGTTCAGATCTACTTACAGGGAGAAATGTGGACAAGTAGCCTGATACCACTAAAAATGAGATTAGTGAATTGCGAGAGAGAGATAATGTTAAAAATATAAACCAAAATATTTGGATATTATTTTTTTTCTTTTGAGAAAAAGGGTACAAGACAGACATCTAAATAAATGCAATTTCATTTTTTGTTAATAACACTACATACATTTATAAAGACCACCACTGATTATAATTTAACCATTTGTGTGAAAAAGTTACAGCAACCAAACTCCAAACCCAGATTGTAGCTGTTATTTTCTGCTAACTGTACAGTTTTTTAGATAGATTTTCTAGACATCTCCCTAGCAAGCATTAGTCCTGTCACTGGTAAATCGAAAAAAGTAGACTACACGGCAACACCCTATTTACAGTATATTATTTATATATTTATATTTTTATATATATATATATTTATATCACACTGGCTGTAATTATGACAAGATATAGTAATGAGCATCATTAGTGCAAGGCATGAGTAAGAACTGGAAAAAGAGTTATTGACCACATGTATATGTGCGTGTGTGCATGTGTCGCTGTATGTAACAATGTCAAGTGTGGGGGTGGGACAGGGGGGAAAAAAGTGTGCTCAACACAGGTGACGGACAGGTGTAACAGACTGTGTGTGTTTATGTACAGTTATGTTTATGTCTGACACAGTTCAAAGGGAGGAATTCAACGTAATGTGTGTGTTCATGTGCAAATGTGTTCAAACCTCACACAAACACACACAAACGGGCACGTGTGAGTGAGTCAATGGATGAAATCTGTCATCTGCCAGCCAGCCCAGGCCTAGTTTGTACACACTGTGACGCACAAATGTTTCTAAAGCACTTCCTAAAAAGGAGAAGATGACTAATATTTATGATTCAAACTGGTGATTATGAAGCAGCCTTACATATTGCAACTCCCAACTCTCTACCATCACCTTTTGCTTTTAACAGGTGCAAACCTAGCAGCGGTCCGACAACATTAACACAGTAGAATAGGTAATCTGCATAAACAAAACCATCCAAGGCAGAAACCAAGAGACCCGAGGATAACCACAAAGAGATGGTCTGCACAAGATGTATCAAAGGACACTGCATCAGGAGATTGTGACCTCAGAGGCCCCTGCGCCTTGTTGTGGAGAAAGCTGTGTGGAGCAGGGTTTTCTTTTTTATTGTGCTGCATTGGTCCTTGCAGACACTTAAGTCACAGAGTAAATACTGTGAAACATTGCACAATGCCACTATGGACAGCTAGAAGCAGGCATGGCCCCAGAATGGAGCTTTAGAGAAATATACACTAGTGCTACTTTAGGTTAAGTAGGGGAAAGGACCTGGAAAACACAGGCAGGCAGAGGGAATCAGAGAGAGAATCAAAAATGACAAGTCAAATGTTAAGATAAAAGTGTCAACATGAGAGGTGTGTCTCTCTCTCTCTCTCTGCCCTCCGCCTTTCCTCTTTCTCAGATTCACGATAGTACCCTCCTCTTCTATGATAGACCTTTGTTTCTGTGCTGCTGCAGACTAATTGTTTTTGACAATAATAAGTAACACGATTATCAAAAAGAACAACAACAGAAGACCAGAATAAGAAATGCAGTAGTAAAGTCTTAAGCTATCCCATAATAGGGAAGTAACCACTTCCTCTTAATGAGAAGAAAGGATATGGAAGGCAGGGTGCACTAACATCTCTAATATCTGCTATCGTTAATCTATCAATAATAATTGATAGATGTAACAAGCTGGATGGCGGAAAAGAAGAAAAAGATTGGTTATGAGGCATAATCGAGTAGCAGCGGAACCGTGATGGAAGAAAAGAGGCGTGGCCGTGTGAAGAGATCAGTGTAATGGCATTGAGTTCGTTACTGCAAAAAGAAAAGGGGGGCACAGGGTATATTTTCTTGTTTTGCAGGAAGAGGGATAAGAGTACACCACATTGCATTAGTAACTGCGGTGGCATTCAGGACATCGGCCGCATTAGTTACTGCTCTACAGGTGGTTGGAGGGTGGGGGTCTCCACGTTAGGTACTGCAGCACGGAGCCTTGGCCGGCTGCGGAGGTTCTGTCAGGTCCACCCCCCGGCTCCGCCCACTGTTAGCCCCCGCAGCCTGGGGCTCACTCTTCGGCAATCTCTTGGCTTAAGGGAAAAGCAAAACTATACTTAATAACAAAATAAACTGCAACTTTTTATCTGCAGGGTGCAGTGGTATATGTTCTAAAACTCAAAATAATCTATTTATCAAAATCTATAAGTTTCAAGAATTACCCACCAATAGCCATAAATATCTCGTTCACATTCATAGATGTCTTGGCCGACGTCTCCATGAAAAGTAAGCTGTTGTCATCTGCGTAGGATTGGGCATCCTGTCAACATAGTGTAAACACCATGAGTACACATGTAAGTATTTAAAAACAATTAGATAGAATAAATCACTTGTGTGTGTCTTGGATACATTACATTACATTTAGCGGACGCTTTTATCCAAAGCGACTTACAATAACATAAAAGAAAATTGAGACAAAATAGAGATAGCTATGAGAAGATTAAGGGGGTGTACCGCAAACTATCAAAAATGTATAGTAGCCTTATCTGGCTGGAGAGAGCTTGAGACTCCATACAGAGACATTGGGAACAACAACAGTGATTATCTGCTCTGTTAACACAGGCTTTGATCATCGGGCTCTGTGCACGTTCCCAATAAAGGGGCATCATTTGCCTTTTCTATAGCACAACATAGACAGATTGCATGAACCGTACTTGTGCTATTATATATAAAACATTTAAATATAATGTATTAGCCCATATATTGACTACTGACAATAGAATAACGCTATATTAAAAAGGGGTTGATTAGACAAAGGTGCTTTCATTCTGAAAATCTGAACATAAGTACGACTATAACCCTAACTTAACCATTCATTTCACTTCATGGTACACCCCTCAGTATTTCCAAGAAACTCAAAGCTAATACCGACTGTACGACGCAGTTTGTTTGTTTGTTTGTTTGCTCTGACCTGGAAGTCGACAGCTCTCTTGGAGGCCAGGTCGGCCTTGTTGCCTGACAGAGCGATGACTATGGTAGGGCTGGCTTGTCTTTGCAGCTCCTTCACCCAGTTCTTAGCCCGTGCAAAGGACTCCTACAAAATAGAACATATTGTGTTATCTGTCATTTCATTCATGTGATCAGTAAGTTCAATAGATATTTCCATTAAAAATCACATTTTCACATTGGCAATCACCCGCACTTCAACTTGATGTATACTCCAGAAGAAATCTGACATTTAATCTCGAGGGCAGCATTATGCTCATCTCTCCAACGTTAAGTGAGAGTAAAATGTTGGAAAACTATGTAAAGAACTTATCCAAGGGGGAATCAACTAGCCTCGTTTGTGATGTCGTAGACCACGATGGCGGCCTGTGCTCCTCTGTAATACATGGGGGCCAAACTGTGGTAACGCTCCTGACCGGCAGTGTCCCAGATTTCAAACTTCACCGTTGTGTCATCTAGACACACTGTCTGGGTGAGAAAGGCAGCTAAAAGAAAAGGATAAGCAGAGGGGTGAGTAAGCATTAGATAATCAATATTGACACCAAAACAACACTACTTTATAACGCCATGTAAACAATATAAGCCATAAATATATGAAAACAAGAATTGTACATTTGCAAGACCAAAATATTTTATTCTTTCCACTTTTGCCGCAATGTGTTTCTACAGATGACACTTGTGGCGTAATTCAAGCGCTAATTTACAAATCTAGCGACTATGACTAAACAAATAAAACAGTTAACTTCTACAATTATGTTTTTTTTTTTACTTTTAAAATGTTTATTTTTAAGGTGCTGTCATTACAATGGCAAAGCACCAAATTAGCTAGATGAAAGACTGTCATGAATCTCACATAATTGAGTTACAACCAACTAGCAGCTATTGAGACATAGTGTGTTGATATGAAGCTGACCTCCTATCGTGCTCTCCTGGAATTCATGGAATTGCCCTTTAACGAATCGGAGCACTAAGCTGGACTTCCCCACAGCTGACTCCCCCAACAGCACCAGCTTAAACTGACAGATCTTGTTCCCTGCATTGGGTCCGTTGGGTCTCGTAGCTCCTCCCCGATTGGCCATGACCTAGTCAGATCCCCCGCTGTCCTGTGTGCCAAACCTCACAAGGAGGACTTCTACTGCAACATCCAAGAAAAGAGATAGGTTAGTATTAATGAGTAAGGAACATGTGTGGAACTTGGCTCAAAATAAACAAAACTGCTAACATTTATTGTACTGCTAAACACTTCTATGTGAGATGTTAGATGGGAATTAGAAGGGAATTAGAAATACGCGACCTGATCTTTCTGAGATACTGCGTTGGGATATCAATTAAATGGGAGGGACAAATGGACAGACAACAATAACACTCGAAAACATTAAGTCCTCTGCTGTTGCAGGTGATGGAACTTAAAATAACAAGACTGTCCAACAGCAGGAAACAACTGTGAGAAAAGAACATCAAGGGCAACAAACCAAACAAGTAAATGACAACAATCATACAAACTAGAGTTAAATCAATAGATAGACTGGTTAAACTATTGGAATTAATTATTAGGGAGGCCTTTATTCAGGCACATATAACTATACATCAGTTGGATGATTATTGGTTTAGTCCGTAATTCATATTTTTCTAATATATCAATTTAGTAGAGTATCATAAGAAACACCAGCCAGCATCATCCCTAATTTGAGAAAGTTAGGATAGTGTTGTCTGGTCCTACCTGACAGACAACCCCATAAGCATGCCTTGCCTTTATGAATGCAATTATAAAAAAGGCAAAGAGAACATTAAGCAAAGGAAGCCTTGTCAAGAACCAGAGGAGTTTCACGAGTGTTTCACCCACACGCATTTCTTCAGTGTCTTGACTGCAAGAACCTCTGTATGGATACATGCCAAGCATTCATGAATAGTTTAGTAACTTATTTAGGATTAAACTTGCTGACTCATTTAACAAGAGATGGGTGTTGTCAGAACATAATCCCAGTCTATATCTAGTTTGCAGGGAGAATTTGTCTCTGGAATCTTATCCCTGACCGCAAAAAACACTATTATGACTTAACCGTCCACGTCACATTAACTCCCTTATCCAGGTAAAAGATAAATAAGCAATAACATACAATGGATCTGCCAAAAAGCCCCTCTGTAAAGCATATCTTAGACATTGTTGATGATATTGGAGAGGTGTTCACGGCCTCTATGGTGAGGTCTGAGGCCATAGTTTAAGCCTGTTTATGCTAAACCTTAAGTTTTGTTGCAAAATCAAAGGCAACGCTAAATTAATATCAACATAGTGACAGATGTTGCTTTACCAAAAGCGTTCACACACATGTCAAATTAATTTGTCAACATACAAACAAATACCTCAATACATTGAAAATAACATTATCTAGGACAGAAAGCCCATGAAAGTTACTATTAAGTTTCGCTTCAGAGGATATGAAATCAAGCATTTATTATTTGTTTTCCAAAAACATTTGACAAGTGATGAAGCAAGAAGAAAGCAATTATGCTAAGACACACCTGGGTGAAAAACTAACTGCGTGCACTCAAGACAGGGACTGTCAACAAACGCTGCGCACTGCAATGTTCGACATTTGTGACCGTCGTTAGTTGACTGTAAACACACTTGCTTATGATAGCTGTAGTCATGCATCCGTTTTCGTTCACTAGTTAGTTAGCGTACTTGTTTTTAGCCTAACACAGCTCTTTAACTGACTAGTAACTTTAGCCTCCCAACCACTTTCAGAAAAGCACCTAAAACGACAGGGTCAACTTTCAAATAAATACAAAAATACGATTGCATAACAGGCCAGTCGTTGTATTGTCATGAACGACAAGAAACTGAAATGTTGTGTTGGCTGACTAAGTTATTTAATGGGGAGTAGCCAACCCCCAATTAACAAACATTGACATTAGCTTGTTAGCATTGTTAGCATTCCACCCACTGACCTGATAACACCCATTTAGCTGTTTGCTGTCACAAAGTCAACTGTAAGCCTGTCATTCAGCTTGCTATACCAGACATTACTGGCCACTTACTAATGACAACATATTAACAAAGAATAGGAAAAGCTGGACCCAGTAAGACGTATAAAAAGGCCTGTATTTCTGCATTCCCTTAGCTATCAAACATCACCGATACTAGCTACAGGCAGTAGCACAAGCTAACGTTAGTCCCCCGTGAGCGTTAGCAAGTCAGCCAGCTGGAAACCACAACTTGCCGATTCATGTCAAGTACTCTACCTGAGAGCCAGACGATGTTCTTAACTTTAAATACCACTGATGCAGTATTTACACACGGAACCCGGGACACTGTGGTGGTTGGTGTTTGGGAACCAAGAAAACAGTTTCAACAATCCCGTCACGTCTCCTCCTTTCTTTCTTCTCGCAACTCCCCTCAGAACCAAAACACAAACAAGCTCTTCCGCCCCCCGTGCCACGTCACACAGCACGAGCACGCTGCCCTCCAGGAAGGAGTTGTCAGCTTAACATAACATAACACAACATAACATAACATAACATAAATAGTTATTTTGCTCTATTTTATTTCTATTCTGTTTCTTTTAGCAATATTTTGTATTATTTTATATATTTATGTTGCATTGTTGAAGGCGCCTGGGACGATGGATTTTCATTGCCATGAAAAGTTTATTAACAGCTTGTATATTGGGTACAGTACAGTACAGCCATAACTACACTGTAGCTACTGTGGATATGACAACAAAGTATTTTAATCTTTGAATAGTGCTGCAACTTCTAGTAACAGACACTATTGGAATATTCACTTGATTGGTAATTAATTTAGAAAACTTTTTTCTTAAGGCAAGTGTTGTTATTTATTTTTTTAAATAATAAAGTAACCATGCAACTGAACTTATAGGAAGTTACCTTTTGGCCTGTTTTCAATTGTATTTAACCCTATCACACAGAGCTGCTAACAGTACAAAGAGAGTATTACTTTTATATTTCAGATGCAATCACTCATTAGAGGCCTTGAGAGGTAGAGGTATCCAGTATTTCACAAGAACAGGCAAAACATATTAAAATAGTTTGAGAAAATAGAAACATCCTAGCAAACAGGTTGCATAAAGGTTTGGCTATATTTCTTGCAATAGACATTTTGGGAAAGTTGCCAGATATTTTAATGAAACCTACAAAGACCCTCTGAGAAACGTTCCCAGTTACCAAAACCGGTTTTCAGACACATTTGATAAGCCTAAACATGAATTTTCAATCAAGATAAGATTGAAAGGAGCAGATTTACAAATGTAATAAGCATTATATCTTACATACAGTAGATTTAAAGGTCCCATGTCATGGCCATTTCTACTGATCATAATTCCATTGAGGTATACTAAAATAGATTTATATTGTGCAATTTTCCAAAATCTCATTGGTTTCTCATACAGCATCTCTGTATAGTATGTGTATTCACTCTGTCCTAAACGGCTTGTTGGAGCTCCTGCCCCCCCCCTCCCTGTGAGCCCAGTGGCCGTCTGCGAGACAGCGTGACACAGCGAAACCCAGCCCGAAACCAGCCCGAGCACACACACACACCCGCAGCCTGGCTGGGAGTTTGTGTGTGTGTGCTCACACACAGACTCACAGCCTCGCCGCATCCCCCCCAGAAATCGGCGGAGCTGCAGCTGAGAAAAGATTGAGTGTGTGTGTGTGACTTAACGGCTCCGCGGACGTAACGGCTCCACGGATTGGTCCATTTGGACCAATAGCCGCGTTCACACCAAGTACTTTCCTGTACTTAGTTCCGGCACTAAGTGCCCCGGCGCTTTTAACCCCAGGGCACTTAGTACAGATCGCGTTCACACCGGAGTACTTTTCCCTGAGGGAAGATTACGCAAATGAGCCGCTGACGTCACTTCTTCTTCTTCTGCTTTGGCTTTACTGGCAGGCCACAAACCACTTCACGGCGAGTACAGTAGGTGGCGGTATGCACCTTAAAGTTGTTTGCAATCCGCTGCAAAACAAGAGAGGAAGAAGAAAAACTTCCCGCGTATACTACGACGCCCACCCACTCGCTGTACATTAGGCGTCTGTTGTTTACCTTCCGACCTCAGACATGATGGAGATGGAGTCGACTGAAGTTGTGCTGTTTGTGCTCATGTTATACAGCTTTGTAACTGAGTTAATGCAGCCTGAGCAACTTGCGTACAATAACAAAACAAGCGAGTGGTGGTTGAGAACGCTTTTGGCAGACTGAAGGGCAGGTGGCAGTGCTTGATGAAAAGAAACGACTGCAAGATGGACAAGATCAAAATCCAGGTGGCAGCATGTTGCATATTACATAACCTTTGTGAAAGTAATGAGTACAGGGACGAATGGACTGCCTTACCGGCGACCCAGCTTGATGAGGCATCTGAACAGCGTGTAAATTGTAAACATTTTGACAATAAAGCTGATCTTTTGTACAGTGCTTTTGTTTCTCTTTTATTTTCCAGTCAAGACAGGCAACATTAAAATAGTGTACAGTGTGGCAATATAATAACAATAAACTGTGCCAGGTGTGTTGTATGCACAGTAAATAGGCTCAGCAGCAAACCCACCGTTATTTATTATATATCTTCCTGAGACCCACTGCATCCGTCTGCCATAAACACTATGGAAACATACATGTTAGTTTCGGCCCATAGTGGACTCCATTTTGTGTTGTGTAAAATGGGGGGGGGGGAATTAAAGGTTTGCAAATCCCCATGTCCTCCTCAGAGGACAATCATAAAAACATTTAGTTTTAGGTCAAATACTATTTAAAATTATATAAATGATCATATTTGTGTATGTGCCCCTGCCATTCCTCCACAAGGTTGCAACATTGATGATAAATAAATGACAAATAAAGCTTTGCCAGTTTATAACCGATGAAACATGATGGTATCAGAATAATCACTTACATGTGATGTATAGGATGCTACGGTCACTAAAGATAAAGTGTCAGGAGAAATAAGCAAGCTACAGGATCTGTTTAACAGTAAATAGAAGTTCACATTTTTAATGTAAATAAAATAGAAGTTGTACATGTAAATTAACATTATCAATATAAAATAAAGTGTCAGTTGTATCAAGACTATATAATAACAGTAATAACAATAATATAAAATGAACTGGTGAGCATCTTGTCCTCCGTTTCCTGGGCCTTGGTGAACAGCACCATCTGATCCCCGTGCATCGACTCTTTCACCACGGCACGCCGGTCCTCCAACGCCTGGGCGGTGTCAAAGAAATTCGCATCCCGTGTCCGCTTTCCTAAGAGGGGAAAATAAGCAAGATACAAGATCTGTTTAGTCGCCATGTAGTTTTACAACATACTAGGAATGTGTTTTTTGTATTTTCACAAATAGAATTAAGGTTTCACAAATCTGAAACTGTGTTATAAAGAATCTTTTGACTCTCTGGGATAATCCAGTCCAGATTTGATGAGTCTAGGTATAGTGGTTTTAGATCAGGACCTGGTCTAATGTGGCCAGGATGCAAAAAGCACTGAAATCTCTCTTTTTTGTATTTTCACAAATAGAATTAAGGTTTCACAAATCTGAAACTGTGTTATAAAGAATGTTTAGCCTCTCTGGGATAATCCAGTCCAAATAAATCGGCTATGCAGCGATTTAAGAGGTTCAAACACGGAGGATTGTGCTTCATGTATGCTTGAACTTTGTTTAATGTTGTTGAGGCAAGTTTTCGTACCGGAAGTCATGTGACCTCTAGCCCGGATGTTTACAATGTTTGTGAGAGAGTAAAAAGGCGCGAACATTTGTAAATGCCGGTCTAGGCGAATACGTTTTCACGCTGTTTCATAATTGTACCAAGAAGGAAATAAACATGATTGTGAACATCAGTTCGATGCGTAACGTTCTTTCAAGACAAAGTTACAGTGTGTGTACCTTTGCGTTTGGTTGCTGGTAAGGGGGACGAGCTAGCGCTGTGATCTAGAATGCAAAGCTCGCTTGTTTCCAATCCCGAGAGTTGTCCAGCCTCGCCTGAAACAGACGATTAGTGCCATGAGTTAGTGAAGCAAATTACAGAAACACTACACAGTTATTCACAAGTCAAAACGTTTTCATAACGGCCGAGAATATCTAGCTAGCTAGATGTAGCTAGCTCAGGGCCGGTGTTAGCCTATTCAGCCTAGCATGGCTAGCTTGATCTACTGAGCAAATAAAAGTACATCTGAGACCATTATTGTGCAGATTAAAACCCCAGTGCATGTAGTTGATTTTACCTTCATCGTGGTCGTCATCGTTGGCCACTGAATCCGCCGTTTGTAGTCCTGCCTGAGTTTCTTTATTTTTAGCCGTGGGGCTGTGCACGATTCCCAGGTCGAGTGAAAGCTACTGAACTGGCTTCAGTAGCATTCCCTGGGTCGCGTCCTCGGCGTAGATCTCCAGAAGAGCCGACACCTCCTCATCATTTCTTGATGCTTGCCATAACTGCTTTCAAAAACAAACTACTCTCCGTCGGTGCGTTGGGATTTTGTAGCGAGGGAAAACAATGGCGGCTCTACAAAACATTTTCACAGTTGTACGGGGCGTGGTTTGCAATTCGCCCAGCCAATCAGCACTGGGGCACTTTTCACCCACAGGAAAGTACGATCTCTCAGCGGGCTCTAAAAATGGGGGTAAAAGTTCCCGAGATTAAGTACGATTTTTGGTGTGAACGCGACATAAGGGGTACTAACGGAACTAAACGCGAAAAGTACGGTGAAAAGTACTCCGGTGTGAACGCGGCTAATGGGTCCATTTGGGTATGGGCACGTCACTGTACCCAGGAAGAAAACAATGGAAAAAGATAAATCTCCAACGAGGCATTCTGGGGCAGCATAGACAGGTATTTTCTGTGTTAGAGTTTTACTCGCTACAGGGTGTACTTTGAGGGTTTGTGATTTTGCAGACCGTTTACATGCATAAAAACCTTCATAACACACAAGGGGATGGGTAATACATACAGAAAAAGCATGACAAAAAGCATGACATGGGACCTTTAAGCATGTGGCTCAAACACTGGAGGAGAAAATTATCACAAAAGCTCGCATTATTTGCTATTTGCAATAGCCTGGAATTGTATCACTGTATAGGTTTCATAAAACAGTGTTCATTAATGAATAGTTGAGTTATTGTGTGTGTTAAAATAGTGTATTATCAAGTTTTGAAAAGCTGTGTAAAAGCTATTGTGAGGTCAAGGGTCATAATTGTATATAGCCTATTGAATTACCTTTTCTACTCATTGGGGTGATCATAACAAAGGTTGGGAAATAGTTATTAAAAAATGAAGGAAAGCGTGATGTGATGTATGAGCAACAAAGACAACAAGGGGGAAGTGAAACAAAAACTTTTGTAAAAACTGTATATAAGCATAAGCTAAAAAAATAATGACCAAATACAGGTCCCTCATACTGTATGCAGGACAACATGTGTTCTCTCACATCACATTGGTTACACAAATATTTATGCAAATGATAATGATGATTTAAATAAAGAGATACAGTTGGCACCATACATGGCTCCTATGGCTATGACGGGAGATGACAGTGCAGTGTAATAACAAGCCAAGAGGTGGCGCTGTAGCAAAGAAAGACCGAGTTTATTTAAAAGAAGAAGAAATAAGCCCCGCCCTGAATCTTTGTCTCTTCCGGTTAAGGCCATATGAGCACATTTCATTTATTGTGGAGCATATATGTATATATCTCGTTAGTAATGTGGCCTATTTTATGACACAAACATCATAATACTTTATCTAACAGTTTTAATTTCCATATAGCTCGCCCTGAACAGTCTGAGCAGCATCAGCAATGGAGGAGATAGAGGAGACACCAGAGGAGCATCTGGCCAAGCAGCACCGCAAGGAGAAGAAAGATATGCAAGGTAGGTAATATTAACTGTGTTTAGTTCACTGTCAGCTTGTCTGCAGTGCACCTCATGTGTTGTTTGTGTTCTGAGAGTCTGGCACGATCTAGATACTAGCAAACCATGGAGTAGTCAGAAATGTTGTCACAGGATAAAAAACCTATGGTAACGCCTGTGTTATTATTCTTAGGTATTTGTGTGTCTGTGCGTTTTGCTTTTTAACTAGTGGCACACAGTGATTGAAGGTTTAGTGTTTTGTCAGTGAATAATAGACAGAAAACTGAGTTTTGCACAGAACCCAGAAGTCTGAAACTTACAAGCTTTTTATGACTGTCATCCAAACTCCATCACTGATGTCAAAACAAGATTTGTTAAAGGCAAAATAGAAGTTTTGACACCACATATTTGGGAATGGCTTGAGTAGAATGTAGGCTAAATTATTTTAACTCAGAGAGAGGTGGAGAAGCAGTTTCCTGTCGCATATGATTTATGGCTTTCAGATATATGTAATGATGTACTGTGGGTGACAGGGCGTTCAGTGTTGCGGCCCCCACCCTCTGGAATGCACTTCCTCCTGAGATCCGGAACGCTGCCTCACTGGACATCTTCAAATCCTCACTAAAAACGCACCTGTTCACCATGGCCTTCGGACCCTAGTCCTTTCCTGGTCCCCTGGCTTCCTTTATTTTATTTTGTTCTTGTTTTGTTCGCTCCTCATTGTCTGTTTTGTTTTGTCTGTCCACCATGTACAGCGACCTTGGGTCCCGTTAAAGGCGCTTTATAAATTCCATTTATTATCATTATTATTATACGTTTTAATTTCCTCTAACTACTAAACCAACATTGAGACAGGTTAATGCCATCTGTGAGGTTCCCAGCTATGTAATTGACCCCCCCCCCCCTTTTTCAAACAACATGCAGGAACACATAATAGCTCTATTCTGCATTGAGTGTGCACACGCTGTATTATTGATTTGTTGATCTTGCTTGTGTTTCATTTTAGCTCAAATCCAGAGCATGAAAAATGCCATCCCCAAAAATGACAAGAAAAGGAGGAAACAGATGACTGAAGAGATTGCAAAAATAGAGGCTGACCTGAACAATAAACATGAGGAGGAATTAAGTCAACTCAAATCTTCCACTGACACCAAGGTACAAGCAAATATGAACACACATCTTTTTTTATTGGTATCTCATTGTTCATTCTCACATGAAGTATAGGTATTAGATAAACGTCAATGTGGAAAATAAGCTTTCCTTGCTCAATCTTACAAGGTGGAAGAAGTGTTAAATGGAGTGGAGACCATGAAGATGGAGGGTGGAAAAGAAGCAGAAGCAGAAGCAGCAGCAGCAGCAGCAGAAGAAGAAGAAGAAGAAGAAGAGGTCACACAGCCACGTCTAACAAAGGCCCAGAAGAGAAGGGTAAGATACAGGTTCCACATAAGTTTTAAAGGGGACCTATCTTACAAAATGCACTTCTTGATGTCTTTTATACATATATATGTGTCCCCGGTGTGTCGGGGAACCCACCCAGCATCAGAAAATAAAACCCTTTCTCTTTTCCTCCGTACCCACATCTTTTAAAAACGGGGGGTCCAACGAGCTTATACAGATTTGCTGCCGATATGACGTAATTTCGGATGGTGGACCCACAGAGAGTTGCTATCAGAAACAATGCCTGACGTGTTTTAGACGTAATATGGTATTTGTTTACATTAGCAAGCCTCGCTAACACTCAGAGCTAACCTGTACTGGAGAGCACATGTGTTTTAAAAAGCAGGAAATAAAAAAAGGAACTCACCTTGTGGTAAACCCGCAAGAGAAAAAGCATTTGAGCTCCATACTGTTTCAGAAATAATCCTTGATGTGGTTTAGAACAGGATGGCGTTTTATCACAGCAGAATTTAACTTTTATCTCCGGTAGAATTCTGATCAGGCATTAGCTTCGCCTCCTCTTTTTTTTTTTCACCCAAAATCCGCATTTCTCTAACAGGGCTGGAATAGAGGGATATGAGGGATGTCTAAAATGCATGATCTGTTTGTATTTTGAGAAAAACACATCATAGACATGTTTTAATATATTTGTATATACCTGAGACCCATAATATATGCCTAAAAATAGCATGATAGGTGCACTTTAAGACATTTTTAAGTGTTGTTTGCTATTGTCTACAGCACTTTAACTGTCATTTAGTGTGCAGTTGAAGAAATCCTCAGGCTTGTAATCCATCATCCTTATTACTAAAATCCACAAAACACAACACTTTGAATAATCAACAAATGTCATATAGCAGGGTTATTCCTAAGCATTTCCTTTATAATTGGTCATTTTCTAAGCAGTCTGTTTGCTTTCCTTTTAAAAATGTTTGAGTACTAACTAAATGCATTTTATCTAAAAAAACATCACCTCCAGGACAAGAAGGCAGCGCAGGAGAAGGAGAGAGAGAGCAGGATAGCAGAGGCCGAGGTGCTGAACCTGCAGGGTGTGAGGCACCAGGAGGGGCTGAAGCTGGCTCAGAAACTCGCCACCAAACAGCTTCAGATCAAGGAGATCTCCTCTGATGGCCACTGCATGTACCGTGCCATCGAGGATCAGCTGGCCCAGCGAACAAAGGTATTCATTGTTATAGGAATATTACTGCAGTGGCTGAAGTTTGAATACCTAATCAGAAATGTGATAGGCAAATCTCTACACTTCATGCGGCACTGTGTAAGTTGCCACATTTGAATATAATGACAAACTTTGACAAAAGTTCATGCATGTGTTATTACCAAAGCTCATACACAAAGTACATATTTTATTCTGTTTCATTTTAGCCTGAGTTAACCATGAGTATGAAAGAACTGCGGTCTCGCACTGCTGAGTTCATGAGGGGCCATGCTGATGACTTCCTGCCTTTCCTCACCAACTCCAACACGGGGGACATGTACACAACAGGTAACACTCTTATCTTTGTATTAGTAATCAGGAACTATCTCTTGTATTTTAAAGAATATTTTAATGGGTTGGTTTGGATATTTTGCAGTGTGGTATGAGGTATTAATCTGTAGTCAATGTATCGATAATGGTCTGCACGTACGATACTGAAGTAAAGAAGTGCTGCTGTTGATTAGGGCAGCTGAAAACACGTTTTAGTCAACTGAAAGAAAGCCTTATCAAAATAACATAATTACACAAACAAACTAACTGATCAGTCCTGCAACCCTCATGTTCTGCGAGTTATTAGTTTCTTTCAACGGAGCCTGGTTGTCTTGCCAAGAGCATAGATAACGACTTCAGTTCCCTGTTAGAAACAAAGAATGTAAAGCTGTGTCACGGCAAGGAAAATATTTTAAATAAAGCATACTGTTATAGATTTATTTTGCTGGCTAAAATATGTTTTGATGACATCTCTGTCCAGCGTAGCCATTTACTTTTCTTCTGTGCCTTACCTACTGTACACAGATCAATACCTCATACAACCCCACTTCTAAACATCTAAACTATTAGTTTAAAGACCAACAATGGTAGCCATACATATATTTGAGAAAGGAGTTATGTGTATGCCCAGTATTCATGCAGTGTTTTTGGTCTCCAGATGAGTTTGAGAAGTACTGCAGTGACGTGGAGCACACAGCAGCTTGGGGTGGACAACTGGAAGTGAGTTGTTGACGTTTTGTCACAGACACACTGTGCTTTTGCTCGTTGTATTTTTAAATAATTATTTTCTTTTTTCCCAACAGTTGCGAGCTTTGACCCAAGTTCTTCTCTTGCCAATGGAAGTGATCCAGGCTGACTCCCCACCTATAAAAATTGGGGAGGAATTTGATAGTGAACCCGTCACCCTAATGTACGTTGTGTATATTGTGTTTTCTTTTGTCAAAGATTCAGTTTGCATAACAAATACAGTTAAATTAGTAGAACAAAGTATATTGGAGGAACATAATAAGAGTTTTGGACCCTCATTTCATCTCAAGTTAGACATTTTTTAAAACTGATTACATCATGTCTATCACAAAACACACTAAAGCAGGTGTAGAGAGACAAACTAGTTTAACAAACATGTAATGAATATACTGACTATATTAAATGACACATTTTAATAAAGCTTTTCAGAATTTTGAAATATTTATATCAGATCTCTTGACTCACAGAATATATTTTCTTATTTTTTGCAGATATATGCGTCACGCCTATGGACTAGGAGAGCACTACAACTCTGTGGAGCAGCTAAAGGATCCCGCTAATGCAGAGGACAGCTGAGAGACAACCCAGTCTTGGTGTGACTTAAACCAATGTGTGTGATTCAGAGTGTGTTCAAACCACTCACACCAAGGGACCCTAAATACAATCGTATTTTGAAGGAGACCCCCCCCCCCCCTCATTTAAGACATTGTTAAGCTGAGGTTAACGGAGAAGCTGGTTGTTTCCAACACACAGTGGTAGGTCTTAGAAGTCAAAAGATATCAGCGGGGAGTGATATATATTTCTCTAGACAGTATCACTGTGCGTAAGAAAAAAAGCATAAAAGGGAAATTCATGTGAATTAACAATGTTTTGGGAAGCAAAGTTGTACCAAAATAGTTAGGAGAGGATGTAAGATCTATTATTCATTTGACTCCAAATGTTAACAGTCAGTGAGGGGTTGATAAACTGAACTGAATTGTGGAACTTGTGAATCATATCAATGTTACATAAACTCATAAAATACTAATAAGGTATTCAACTGCTTTGTTTTTAATATTTCTGATGAGGAAGATATTATCATAAATACTGTTTTCAACATGAGACTGTGAAACAGCCATTTTAACATGCAGTGACCAGCAGGAGGCATGCACACATCTATTCATTCTAGGCATGTGTGAAGCAAAAGTTATCTGTTGAAAATGGAGAAATACTTGCATGAACCTCAAACAAGCTGTCACTTTTAAAGCAGATATTGTCTCACTCAGGGTAATGTCTGCGTATTGTAAACGGTACATATACCAAAGGCCTACAGAACATACTGTAGCTCTAATGAAACACAAAACATTATTTAGCAATTTGTCATTAAATAACGTTGGAAATGCCGGTGGTGAAAAGTAACTACATTCACTTTCGTACTGTACTTGTGAGTATTTCAAAGTAGTTTGTTACTTCATACTCTTCTTCATTATATGTGGAAATATTGTACTATTTACCTAATTAAGTTTGACAGCTATAGTTTGTAGTTACTTTTCATTGGATTACATTTCATATACAAAGCATACATGAAGAACAGGCTACAGAGAAGAAAATCTAATATAGAAAAGAACAGTCAAAAAGTAGCCAAAGTACTTCAAACTAGCTTTAACTCAAAAATTAAACGATTCTCATGCTTTTATAATCGAGTTACTTCACAGACAATATTAAAGTTGAAGTTTAATCTTTTCTACACAATGAGGATTTTTAATACTTGAAGCTCGTTTTGCTCATAGTACTTCAGTGCTTGCTTGTATATGTAATGGACTTCATAAGGAAGCATTTCTACTTGAAATGTAACTTTGGACATTATTTGGACAAATCCTGCAATTCTAGGCTGTCACCACTAGAGGCTGCTACTCTTCTAAAAAATATAAATTGTAGCATAGTTAAGCCTTCAAATGGCCAGCAAACATAACATTTTAGTTACAAGTTACATCTTTACAGAAAAGACAGGACATACATATTAAGGTACCATGGTGCACACAATTAATACATTAATGAGACAATATAACTAGGCTTTAAAAGTACTGTAATGCTTTCATTACATTTAATTTGTCAATTAAGAGTGATTTCTATTTTGAACTGTTGTGTGGTTCCCTTCTTTAGTCCATTTGCATTTGGAAATGTAATATTACCTTACAATAACTATAATTCTTGTCATTCAAACAAATGTAGGCTAGCTGTTTTCTTAAAGAGCAGTTTAAACAAGGCAACGTTTAAAATAAGTTATACTAATAAAAAACACCTAATGTCATACATTGGCTGTATAAATAAATGGCAGAGGAAGGCTATCTGTGGTGGATAGTAAGAAAGTATTGTACTCAACTCAATTTTGAGGTAGGCTACTTGTACTTTACATGAGAATTTTCACTTTATGCTACTTTATACGTCGACTCGAATGTTGGTAGCCTAAGTGTACTTTTTCAACATTTGGTACTTTAAGTATATGCTTAGACTTTATTAAGACCTTTATTGAGTACAATTTTGAATGCATGACCTTTACTAGTAACAAAGTATTTTTTTATACTATTATTGCTACTTTCACTCAAGCACTTCTTTCGCGCGCTGATGCAAAACGTCACCGACGTGACAAAAAGCGTTGTGTCGCCATGGAGACCTGAATGAGTGCTGGACGAAGATTTTCCCAAAATGGCAGTGGTAAGAGCTTTATACAGCAAAGCGACATCTTTAAATTTGAGTTCAAAGAAAATAAACGTGGTTCCGGAGTGTGTTTCAAGATTACCCAACCTGTCGGTGCTCCTGTTGAAGAACAACTCCATCAGCGCGCTGCCCAATGAGCTGCTCTGTCTGCACCACGTGAGTCTGCTCCGTTTGTTTGCTGTTCCAACACAACTCTTCCAATGTTTTACTCAGCACGCAGATTTGTGATTAAATACTTTTCGTTTTGCGAATGCCTGCAAGCTGGTGGAGCTGAATTTGGGGAATAATGCCTTGAAGGAGCTTCCTGCTGTTTTGGGCCATCTGGAGTCTTTGAAGAAACTGTATCTGTTCAGCAACCAAATTACAGCAGTACCACCTGATGTGATAGGTAGTTTCTCACTGTTCTGCATGATTAGCACCTTGCAAGTTTTGTAAAGAAAAACAAGTATGATCGTTGTCGTATTTTATATTTTACAGATGGCTTACAAAACCTTGTTGTGCTGAATCTGAATCACAACCATATTCGAAGACTTCCACCTGAGATTAAAAGGTAATTTAATGGCACCCTAGTCTCCAACATCTTCACACCTGCAATTATAGGTTCTGAACACCAGTTATGCTTTAAAAAGTGTGATTCTGCATGTCAGTGATGAAAGAAGTACTCAGAAATTTGACTTAATAAGATAGGACAAGTCGTAATATCTACAGTACAACTACAAGTAGCATACATGTCAGTAAACATCTTACTCTGCAGTTGTTCATGTATACCAGTAGTCTGATACAATATTTACAGTTTGAAAGGGTGATAAATGAAATTTGGTGATGATTAATGGTTTTTGTGTTAATGTAATAGCAGTTAAAAGAGGACCGGTCAAATTTGACCGCGAACACCAAAGTAAGGGGGGGGAAATGTATTCACTTCGTATACTGCTGTGTTGCTAAATCCATAATAATCCATCATAATGTTTTACTTACTGTAATGTAAATGCAAACCCATTAGTTTAACCAGGCTTCGACACCTCAGTGTGCTGGACAATAAGCTGGAAGAGGTCCCTGCTGAGCTGGGTCATCTCACCAGTTTGACTGAGATAAACTTCACTTCCAATAATTTACCCTCGCTCCCAATGCAGCTGTACCAGTGTAAAGAACTAACCAAGTTGCATGTAGCCAGAAACAAGCTGACCAGCCTACCAGAGGTGGGTGTCTGCTGGTGTCATTTCTACTTTCTTATACTATACTCGCTGTACTTTTGACTGTACAGTGTGTCCGCTACATAACCTTACCTTTCACAGGGAATCAAGGCACTGACAAAACTCCAAGTTCTGGATGTAGCTGGGAACAAGTTGTCTATGTTCCCTGTTGAGGTGCAGTATACTGTGTTAGCTAATTCAGCAGAGCAATGCTGTGTAATGAAATCTAAAAAACATCCCAGTTTCACTGAATAACACAGGACATTGCTCTGTGTAGTTTGACAGTCTGCCGCTGAAGGAGCTGTACTATGAGGACAACAGGTTTGTGTGCTGTGAGCCGATGTCATCAGTGCAGGATGTGGAGGTGCTTATGTTGAAGGTAAAGTCTCACTGAATTACAGCAGATGAAACACTTGTATTTAGTAGACGTGTGAATGTTTTGTTATCTTACAATTCAATTTAGTTTCTTGCGGTCACAATTCAATTACATTTTCTTTTTCAACACAATGATTATGATGACTATGCTAACTCTTTGTTTCCCAGGAACTAGCTGCTAGGTTTGTCTTGCAGCAGGACAGGGACATGTCCTCTCTTGTCCACAGGATGCTTCCCTACTTTCCTTCCCTGCCTGAACTGTTGGCCAATGGCAGCTGCTGTGCGCTCTGCCTGAACCCCTTCCTCACCACCTGGCTGGAGTGTGTGCATTTTGTCAGTGTGAACAAGGTAGGTTGAATGTTTTAGCTCTACTTAAAAGTATGACGACATTTTTTAAACCTGCAATGGTAATCAAATAAACATTCAAAATCATATACTTGGACGATAAGAGTATGAACATGTTTAATCTGTAAAGTAACCTTTCAGACCCATTAAGTGAAATACAAAAGTAAATTCTTCCCTCTGATAAGTCCTGGAGACGAAGTTTAAAGTAGCATAAAATAGAAATGCTTAAGTAAAATTAAAGTTCTTCCCATTTTTAGTACGGCACAGTTCTAAATGTATTCATTAATATTCCACTACTGATTGTCTTGTTTTATGTAACAGGAGACGAAAATTAGGAGTTCAAAGACCATTCCAGTGCGCGCCCTTCTTTGTTCATACAAGTGCTTCAATACGGAGGGACATTCCTACTATGGTGTTGCTAGAAAATAAATAAAACTATTAAAATTGTACAATTCATGATATAGTTTCCAGGGTATACTTTCTTGTCCATAAACTTCTCACAGATGCTATTTGCCTGTGTGGTCACTAGGTGGCAGCCAATGATCATTGAAAAATGCCTGGTCTGATCCTGCTTCAGTGTAATACACACTTCAAGAGATGTAGATAAACAATCCTGCATTGCATACAATTCCTAATTACAGAGTAAACACTGCCCCAGCTGGATAGCAGATCTGAACATGGTGATTTTGCTTACTATTGTGTACTACTCACAAAACTTTAAAAACCTGTATAAACTACGGCTTTGTTTGTCAACGTTGAAAGGTCAGTGCAGAAATGAAACACAACTGGTGACTCTGAAGGTTCTTCCACCATGATTGTTCAACATTAACCTACATGAAGTTTGACCATTCAAATTCATATTAACGTATTATATTTTGAGTTGCTTGTACTAGGTGTTTGTGTTATTGTGTCTGCCATAATTGATATCAATATGTGTAGGCAAAAAAATAGAAACACCTCTGTGTATAATGCAATACAGTTTTACAGCACAATAAATACTCCAAAATGATCACAAAGCCGATTCAACCCCTCTCTAAAAACAGAAAGACCGAACAATATAGCATCCATAAGGGTATGATTTATTGCAGGTCTGTTGTATTAGACTGAATTAGTTGTAGCTAAGGGTAACTAATAAACTGATGTGAATGTAATGTCTCAATGTAAATCTAGTGAGATCTTATCAGTCAGTGCTGATCAAACTGTACTGTGACTCCATAGTTGCCCCATCTCCATCTCCAGCCAGTGGCATCTGTTCCAACCTGCCAGACAAGAGAGAGATAGAGAGAGGGGGGGGGAGGGAGGGAAAGAGAGAACTTCATTTCTAGCAAATTAATTTCCCATCCACGCCTCCAGAGCTTGCTAGCTCGTTCGCTGGCTGCTGCGGCCGCCGCTGCTGCTGCGTGTGTCTACTGAGTCGGAG